CAACTACAATTAAAGCAGATTCAATAAGTTTGTTTGATATGGCTTCAACATAAACAGTAGAAAAATTATTCAGATGTATAATTGCTTTAGATTCCTAAAAAATATTTGATTCAATCTTCAAATTCGATATTCTTAGTGAATACGTATCAGTGCTATTTATTATTGATGACAAATAAAATACAGTGTTCTTTACTGTAATCTAATTAAATATTATGATTTTATCGATAATAGTATTAGAAGTAAATATAAATATAGATGAGTTTTTAAATTGACATTGATCTATTTTAATATCTTCGATTAATATCTTAAATTTACTAAGTTCAAATTTAAATAAATTTGAGTTAATAAATGAGCAATTTTTCAAAGAAAGAGTTTTGATTGTTATTGTTTAGATTTCACTTTATGATAAAGTCGCTAAAGAAGAAGAATTTCTAAGAGTTAAATTGGTGAAAGAAACATTTAAAAAATTTAAATGTCCATATTTGCTAGTTAAAAAAATCTAAGCTGTATTTATGATTTAACTTGAATTAATTATACAATCTTTGAATAATAAATTAACCTTTTAGTTATTATTGTAAATACTTAAAATATCTGAATTACTTAGGGAAAATACGAATTTATGAAATTCAATTGTATCAAAATTATGTATAAAGGGTCGACTATCTTAACTAATAATCATTTTTTAATTATCAGAACCAATAAATTACAGAGTAAGAAATTACAATGAAAATATTTTTTCCTTTAAAAGAGATTTGAATTCAACAAAATGATTTTGAGGAGAAATCCCCTCTTCAAACATCTCGTATTATTTTTTCATATTAATAGTTGTGACTCCCATTTCATTACAGTACTCATTATTAATGATCTAATTCTCATAAAATTCCCAAGAGCATTCTTAACAAAAAAATTTCTCAATCTGAATAGAAAGTTGACTATTACAATTATCTTCAAAACAATATTTGGCGAATTACAAATATGGATTCAATTAAATCCTACCATCTGAAATTTATTTAATACATCTCATTAGATAAATCTCATTTTGATCATCAACAATAAAATTAGAATTAATACTCTATTGATAAATGGATGATTTACTTAAATTTCCTCAATTGATCTAATAGAGCATACTTAACATAGTTAAGAGCATTTAACACAATTACCGGAATTCTAAACTTATATTGGTTATAGATAGTAGTTCAAGGGACATGTTTTGCATTCATATCTCTCTCCTAATTAATCTTGATCCCTAAATACGCATTATAAACAGTGAGGATCACAATACTTAATACAATGACCATAGGGATTTCTTGCATAACCATCTAGACATTAAATTGACATATCTTAAGTATACCATTTAGTACCAAACGTATAATAATATTAGTTAGGTAGAAAGTTCATCATAAAACTTTGAATTAATTATACCCAACCATCTTGCTTGTATACATCTCCTTCTGTGTTTATCTTAGAATTTTAGAGATTACTTTATTTACACTATCCTCCTAAAGAAGTGCTTGTGTACTCACTCTTACAAACAGTACATTTAATTATAAAATATTTAGTCAAAATACATTATAAACAGTTTTGAATGTATTTTTCACAATTAACTATTTCAGGTGCAACTGAGAAGTCGTCACTTGAAGATAAAAGGCATATTTCATTACCATTTTCATTAATAAATGCTCTTAAACAATTATTTGTTATTGGTTTCGAATACTCACATAAATCAGTTAAAAAATTAAAAATATATCCATCATAGCATAAAGCACATCCTATCCGAAGATATTCATTGAAAGGAAATGGTTCAAAATTCTTATATAAAGTACATTTTGATAAATCGTCATTGTAGAATTCGAAGCAATATTTACACTTATCTATAGGACAATATTTGCACTCCATATTTGAAGTAATATAATAAGGAGAGAGACACTCATTTGGTGAAGAAGTGTCTGGTGGTTTAGATGTACAAATCCCATTTTCTACATATTGCGAAAATCCACATCTCAAACAAACTGCACCTGTTACAAGCATTTTACATTCTAAACAATAACTGAACGGACATTCATAGCATTGATAATTCTATACCTAATCATAAAAACTTTTCCAACAAAATGAAATAAATCCATTGCTTAATAATGTTAGTTCTTCATATTATTCTTCTTGAATTTATAAACCCTTTTATTTACAATATAAGCAGGGATATAGACTATCGCCATTATATTTGTAAAATACTGTATTTTATGATAAGGCTTAGGCTGTATCGCGAGTATCTAATCTTAAGATAGTTGAACAAGCTGAGACTTCATGCCAAGATGTAGGGTTATTTAAACATTCTAAACATGTTAATTGAGTATCGCTTATTATTGATGGACTTAATATTTAAAATCAGTACCATTTAATACACTCTTTATCCATTTCAAAATATCCAAACTCACACTATAACTTTTAGTTTTGATTCAAATCATAATCTATTTCAAAATTAGAGTCCTAATAGGATAAGCAATTTTCATTTTTATCGATCATACCATATGGACAAATGCATGATTTAAATTATGATACATATAATCGCTTGGATGCCTCAGCACATGTTAAACAATCTGTACTTGTTGGACCATCACAGGTTTCACAACTAAAATGACAATTTTATTGTTAGAACTAATCATCGCAGTTCAAAAATACTAGATTCCTTACTTGTATATTGAAGTAATTTTTAGATTTTTATTATAAATTGCCATAATAAAGTTTAAATTAAACATTTGAAAATTAGTGCACATCTAATTATATTTCATATGGATATACTTTATTTTACTCAAAGAACTCGAAATTTATGATCATTTATTATTAAGATTACTTAACAAATATTTTATGCCATAATTTGATATTATTATTTATATCTAAATTTCTAGTGATGAGAAATGGATCATCTGAAAAATCAATATTTACACTTGGAAAAGTATAACTATATGTTGTAATAAATATTTAATTTTAGATGGGTGATATTTTATAGAATATCTATAAAGGTGATAAATTTTTGTCGGAGAGTTGCAGATTTTCAAAATTATGCTTTAAATTTAAAAAATGATATATGAATTCCTCGTCTAATTAAATTACTTCCTATATCCTAAACCAACCAGCAAAAATAAAAGAATCACAATTGGCATATTAGATAGTGAGTATTTCGTATTGCAGATATTGAATATCCACTTTATCAATAATTTTAGGGGAATTTTGGACACACTTACAAATCGAAGTATCCTAAAAGTCTTAAAATGCAGAAGCTATTATATTCATTTCAATTTGGGACTAAAATAATGAGTAATCAATCAAGTATAATTTCCCAGGAAAAAATGAAAATTTTCTTCCGATTTAAATCGAATCAATCAATGAGCTTGATACAATCAAACCTCCTCCAAAAGTTAGTATAATATTAGTACTTGTGAATGGATATTTTGTATTTGTAAGTAATTAAATTAGTTTTTAATCTCTAAATTAAAAAACTTGTATTGATAATTAATCAAAACACTAATATATCTGAAAATAATGCCAAGTATTCTCATATTTATATATATCAATGTTAACATCTTTATGAATTTATAATAACTCATAATTAATAAACTCTATTGTTTTTATTATTGTCTTTGATTCAAAGAAAATACAATCATAATATATGAAGTTGAGGCTCGATGTGGATTTATCGGTAATTGAAAATAGATGGTAGCAGTTGCTATCAAAGATTCCAACTCTTCCAATTTATAAAATATTGCCCAAAGGATTATATTTAGAAAACAACCCTATTTAAAAGCAAGTATTCTCTTGTATTTCATTATATTTGATTTCAATCTACGTATTTCTTAATTAGTCTTATTCGTTCAATGAATCAATTGATGAGAAAACTATCTAAACAAAAATAATATTGCAAAATAGTCTTTATTTAATCATTATTAAAAATAATGAAGGTAATTAATTATTAGATAAAAAATTAAAACAAAAAAAATCCTCATTCCTATTGTTTGAGTTAACTTTATTCAAAATCAATAAAGGGAAAGATGCTGAGGAATAATAATCAAATTCCTTTAATGATTATATCAAATTAGTTTAATCATTTTTCATGAATACTTTGATTTTTTATCTAAAAACTGATATATTTGAATTGAAAATTTAAATTTCTTCATTATATTAATAAGAATTATGACTGGTATTTTTAAATTAATATATTGTTTTTAATAAGATGAACAATAAAATAAAAAACTTATGAAAATTATAAGATTTTCAGAAAATTCTTATTCTTTTTAAATTCCAACAGTTTTCTAAAGTAAAATTATAGATATAAGAATTATCGCTTTCTTCCTAATTCTCAAACTTAGACATGTCATATAGATTAAATAAAAATGGCCTAATTCCTATCATCATATATTATCCAATACATAAATGTGGATTTGGATAAATTTTTTATATGATTCTGATAAACACTAAAGATTTTGAAATGTTAATATGCCTGAATTTATTTATAAGTCTTGAAATATAAAATATTACATTATATTCGAAAATAAATAAATATGTTGTCATAAATATTTGTGAAATTCAATATAAGGTTAATTATAATATAATTTTGTTGAACAAATATTAGATAAAACTATTTTAAGTCGCATTCTAATATTTTTAATATAACAATATAATTATAATAATAATATTTTAATTAATTTATTATTATACTAGATAATTTTCCTTTTTGATGACATTGCTATTAAAACATATCTTGTTGCATATTAAAATATCTGTTATAAATATACTCTGTTAGGATGTGTTACTTAATGTGAAAAATTACAAAGTAGTAGAATGAATTGAAATCATTCCAATATGCAAAATAGAAAAATAATCTAATATTATTATGATATTATAAAATATATTGGAATAGTATGTATTTTTCCAAATAACACATTTCAGCATTTATCAGAAAATATTATTATAAAAAGAAATTGAATTTTATCAATTTATTTTAATAAATGATAAGCAATCAATTGTTTAAACCGTAGATACCATAAAAAAAGTGTATAAATAAGAATGATAAGAAAATCTGCTGCCTCTGTCCTTATAGATTAAATATTTGTTATGATTTCATTAGAAAAATGCCAATACCTTTATAAGGAGTTCATTAATTTTTAAAGGTATAACAAGGCTTCTTTATAGTTGAATTATAATAAACTTATTCAACCTTTGGTTATCAGGAGCCAATAGAACTAGAATACTTATTTTCAATTAATCAAAATGCGGCAGTGACCAAGATGGTTGTTGAATTAGGAGATAAAAAAGTCTATGGAATAATTAAAGAGAAAGAGGAAGCCAAATAAGAATATGAAGAAGGTGTCAAGTAAGGTAAAACTATGGCATATAGCGAATAAGATGAGGAATTTCCTGAAATTAAGAGAGTTAAGATTGGGGCTCTTGCTCCATAAAAAGAATTAAAAATCACTTTTGAATATATTTAACCTTTGGAAGTGTTTTTAAATAAATTTTGGAAGGTAGAAGTTTACCCAATGATTGATGAAAATTATTTCAATCTCCAATAATAACAATAAGTTAGACTTTAGAGTGTATATTTTCAAAGTTTGAACAGATATATTTAGAAATATGTGTACCTTGAGAAATTTGAATACAATTTCAAATAAAATATAACTGCATCAATTGATATAGGGTCTCCAATAACTTATTATAAAAGTCCAACACATTCAATTTTAAGTGGAAATGCAAAAATTGAATCAGCAAAATAATCAATGGAAGAAGAACATCCAAGAAAATTAATCCTGATGTTGGAGGATACCCCATCTAACTTTATTCCGACAAAATAATTTACTCTCCTTTTTACAAGCGATGAAATAAACCTTCCTCGAGCAGTTTTAAGTCATACTAACAATGATGCTTTATTTACTTAAAAATATTGTGCCACAATAAGTTTTATTCCAAAATTTAATTAGACAACGTTAGACGATGCATATTCACAATACTTGGATGGATTAAATATAGCACAGAATTAAGTAATTAATAGAGGAAATTACTTATTTTTCATAGACAGAAGCGGATCAATGACTGGTGCCAGAATCAATAAAGCCAAATAATCTTTACTTTTATTCTTGAAAAGTTTACCCGAAGACTGTAACTTCAATATAATTTCTTTTGGGTCAACCTTTAGATCTTTATGGTCTGAATCTAAGTAATATTCCTAAAATACCTTAGAGGATGCCATAAAACATGTGAATAATATGGAAGCTAATATGAATGGGACTGAAATTCTAAAACCATTGTCTCAAGTCGTTTACAGTAAATACTATGGCAAGTCAAAATCAACCACTTTGAATGTATTCTTACTGACAGATGGGGAAGTTGAGGCCTAGCCTATAATAGATTTGGTGAAAAAGAACAATTAAGCAGAAACTAGAGTTTATACTTTAGGAATTGGGGAGGGGTGCAGCTAATTTTTAATTAAGAGATTGGCTGAAGTAGGAAATGGCAAGTTCTAATTTGTTTCTGACAATGAAGACATAAATGCTAAAGTTATTGATTTACTAGAAGATTCCTTAACTCCTTACTTAAAAGAATTTAATCTTGAAACAAATGTCACTAACATTGCTTAAATAATTCCGAATCCAGAATCTGTTGTGTGCTTAAAGAAGAATTAAGAATTAACTATTTAAGTTTTATTTTCTATAGATCAATATATTGATAATTTGCAATTCACTTTGAGCTGCTTTGATCCGTAGGATTAGAAACCAATCAAATATGAGGTTTCATTAAATTTAAATACTTCCTAAGAAAATGAATACTTCCATAAATTAGCTACACATAAATTTATAACCTTTTATGAAAACAGCCTGAATTATGGGGAGAACGATCTAAATTTTATTAAGATTAATAAGTAGACAATTGATGATTAAGATATAATTAACACATCTATAACACATCAAATATTGAGTAATAAAACAGCATTCGTATGCGAAGTTTGTGAATTAGAGGATAACTTCAAATAGCAGAAAAGTTAAAAAGTGTATATCACCTATAATAAAAAAGAGAATATAGTATATTAAAAAAAGATGAAGTGCTTGTCATCAAGAGCAACAGCCTTATCCTCTATGGATAGGTCTAGACCAATGACGAATTGTTTTAAAAAGTAATCATGTGTTTAAGAACTTCAGTTCAGATAATATTAAATTGGAATTTCACATGTTGGAGGTTCAAATTCAGAAGAAGAAGACGAATGTGAAGAGCAGATTAAATGCATAAAGGAAGAAAAAAAAAAAAAATGCCAAAAAAAAGAATAGGGAAACAAAAAGTCTGAAAACTGTAGAGATATGATTGAAGAAGATTCAATAGCTAGTAAAAAAGAGAAAAGTCGATCAAGAGAAAAATTAAATAAATCAAGAGGTTCATTTCATTAAGAAGATGATTTGCCAAAAGCGTAGATCCCCCCCTAGACTTATAAGATTGAATATGAACAGATAATTTCATATGCCAAAGCTGATGGTGCCTTCGAGTATGATTTAATGTTCGAATAGAAAATAAATTTTTAAGGATGGATAAACGAATAAAACTATCCTTAGAATATCTGGTTTACTTTACTTGCATTGCTATATTTAGATTACTTCTGCTCTTAAAATAGGAAGTCTTGGCAATTGGTGTATTAAAAGGGAATTTAATTCCTTTAAAAAAACGGAGTAAATTATAAGCAGACTAAAGAAGGGTACCTATAGAAATAATTAATACAAATATGATATTGTATTTGGTTTTGAAAAATAAATATATTTATTAATTTATATCATGAATTCAACTTTATTCTGAGTATATTATTTAGATTGATAAGTCATCTATTTTTCTCATGCCAACTTTTCATTTACATCAAATCTTTGTATTTTGAGATTCTCTTTATATTGTAAACTGTTAATTATGATTCCTAATGATTATATTGCTTGCACTAGAACATTTTGTATTAAGATTCTTTTCTAAAATAAAATTTCCTTTATAGGAATAATATAAAATTAATTATCTTATCATATCAAATGATACTAAACTATTTATTAAATTTAAATGTTAATCATAATCACAACATTTAGTCTATAACATAATTTAAAGCAAAATAACATAACTAATCTTAACCTTTTCTAATGAACATCACTTAAATAATTCAAATCCTGTCACTCAAATCCCATATCTCAATTAAAAGAAAATCAAATCATTGATTAATTGTTTGTGATTTTCTCATAATTAAGGTGCTCGAACGTTTTTTATTAAATATACGCATAAAATTCTTTCGTTAATTTTTTATTTTTCAGCTTTTAAATAATTAAGTTCAAAAGCTATTTTATTAGTCATATATTTTCAAATTAAATGGGAGCATCCTTTATATTACAATATGAATTAGCTCATAATCAATTTAAACAGATAGACCAACTATGGATTATCTATTAAAATAACTTGTCGAATTATCTCTTAAAAAAGGATAAACATTTAATGATTAGAAATTTAAGTATTTAGCACCTCGGCCCTAGAGTGATCTTGTTTTGTTGTATTTTGAGTTTTAGAATTTCTCTTGTTATCATTATTTTTTAAAAGCAATATTAATTTTTTGAATTTCAAAAGGTTTATAATATATATTTATTATTTGAAGGTTAGTTCTTTTGAAATTTTAATAATATGATATATAATTAGAATTACAACTGAAAGAATATAATAGTAAATGAATTAGATGAAGATGAAAGTAGCAAATTTATTGAATAATCTTTTATAAATGGATTACTTAGTTAATATCAATTAAAAATGAGTTATTATGTGGAATTAAAGGATAATTAATTAATATTTAATCATTTTATTTCATAGTATTAGAGTTAATTTCTTAGAAGAAGAGTAGTCAATAAAATTATGCTCAATATCAGATAAAAATTAAATAGTTGTGCATAAAGTTTTGGGTTTGAAATAATAAAATCTTTTGAGAACTAAACAAATATATACTCATGACCGCTTTCATTTTTGTTTTATTTTAGAGGCAGCCAATTATGTATAATACGAATTGATTTAATTTAGATAAGGAAAGATGAAAATTTTAATTATTTTCATAATAAAACTGATGATCAAAATTCCAATATCAAATTCGTAATATGTTATGGTTTTCTTTTTTTAAAAATAATTTACGCTTTAAGGAGCATTTATTTAAAAAATACGATTAATAAATTTACAAGAAGAGCCCCCATTTGTATAAATCCTGTATTTGTAATAGTCTCATTCGAAAAATATATCCTATTTATATCATTGTAAGGAAAACATGTTAAGCTAAAAAATCCTATCGTTCCTTCATTTAATATTGAAATCATTTTATCTAAACTTGAACTTTATTCATATCTATAAATAATGAAGCATTGAGTTAAGTTGATTGTCGATAGTAATAAAAATTATAAGGTTGGGCATTCTTAAAAAAATATCAAAACAAAGTGGAACATAAATTTCCTACATAGATTTAACGATGAAAATATATTTGTTTTAAAATCTGACATTTTTTCTGATTTTCCCTTATTCCTTAAGAATTCAATTATATATGAACCATAAACAAATATCAAAAAAAAGCTACCAACCAGTTGAATATACCCTTTAGCTTCTTTATATGAAGAAAAATTTATCTGTAATAATGCCTTAAAAAGCAGATCCCAAGCATTTAATTAGAAGAAATGTTTATAATGATTAAACGTCAAATTCCTTCTTATTTTTATCAAATTCATTACATAATTTCTCAAGGTAGTTGCCACCTTTAGAAATGTTGTCTTGATGACTCCAGATTAAAATTAAAAGTAATTATAAATCTTTTATTTTGACATAATCACCTGAAATATCCTATATATTGATCTGCTCAATAATAAAAGGAGTACAAGCCCTGAACATTAAAGAACTTATGGGAGTAAACTAGTAATCAAATCAGGATCTACATCATAAAGCTAAAATTTGCCATTTACTTAATAAGTTTCGGACTTTCTGGTTATAAGATTATAATAATAATCCAAATTTATTTAATTAAAATAAGTACTAACAGTTAGCATGTCAGATGCTTAAAAATAAATATGAAGGTTTTCAGGGTAATCTACATTTATAAATTTTAAGAAGGATTGTTATTATAATACATCAAGTGTTTCTAGAAGGAATGAAGAATCTCCAGAAAATAGTGATATCATACTAACTGAAATAGCTGAATACATGAATATTTTATTGGTATTTTGCATAAATTATGAAGATTTTACTTATTAACTAGACAGTATTTTTGGGTAATTTAGCTTTAAGGAAGTAAAGTTATTTTAGAGGGTTTAGTTATAAGAATTAATGACCTCTGTTTAGCAAAATGCTTAGAAGATTGGTTTTTCATTTAATTAAGCTAAATTTGAAATTTCAACTATATACTCAGCAACTGTTATTTATTCTGAAGATATTTTTATTTAAGGATGCAAAGTAATTATGTAATCGGTTTCCTGTAAATTAGTAAAATTGAAATAGAATTGTATTTCTTCCTCATCATCTTTCAATTTAACTGGTTAATCAAAAAAGATTCGTACAAATTATCTAGAAAAGGTTTGATTTAGAAAAGTCATTTACATAATTGGAGCTGGTGAATAAACACATTCTAGAAGACGACATAGATAATAATTTTCATCCATTTCCATAGGTGATTTATTTTTGGTAGAATCAAATTGAGTATCTTTTAAGCATAAATTAACTTAATCATCATAAAAATAACCAGGATTACATTCTAAACAAACCCCTTTCTCACAATTGTGACAGTTTATTGTGCATTGTTTTTTCATACAAATATCTCCAACGTATACCATACCTTCAGGACATTCATCTAAACAAACACCTTTATTGCATAATAAGCAATTTTTTCTACATTAAAATTTGCATTCGTAACAACCATCATAAGGTTCCTCATTTTAATCATCACAATCCTCAAATTCTTAAATAATAATACCATCTCCACATTTAGGAAAACAATAAGTTTTTAAAATACCAAATCCTTCCTCACATTTCAGGCATTGTATTTGATTACAATATAAACAAAAATTTTGGCATTCGTATTTGCAATTATAGCAGCCATCAAGAGAATCGAAATTACCGTCATCACACTATTCATTTGAATATGGCACAACAAAATTATCTCCGCAAAAGGGATCGCATAAATGATTGGTATTCAATAGAAAACCATCTTAACAAGCTTAGCAGATCCCTTAAAAGCAATCATAGCAATTATAATCACAAGAAAATCTACACTCATAACAACCATCAAACTATCGATTGTTGCCATCATCACATTCTTCAAAAATTTGAACAATTCCATCTCCACATACTGGTTCAATATTACTCCTATATGCAACTGCGTGAACTTTTCTTATAATACATTCATTATTAAATAAAAAGTATCCTTCATTGCATAGGGAACATTCTTTATTAATACAATAAAGGCAATTTGAATTGCATTGTTAAAATTATTTGCAAATTAGTGATTCTTATTAATTGAAATCATTACACCGTTATATTGGGAGATTTGTCCCATCTCCTTCAAGGCAATACGTTCCATAATAACCATACTCACATTGTTAACATTTTTAATTCAAACATAGACTACAATGACCAATACATTTGTTTTCTAATTGATAATTTTTTATGCAAATTCCAGTTATAGATTCAAGAGTTCCATGTTCACAAAATAAGCATGAATTATTTTACACTGCTTTACAATCATATTATTCATTAGAAGCAATTTGAATTTATTCTATTTTCCTACATTGATAGAGAGAATTTTATTCAAAATGGTTTAGGCATTTACTACAATTTCCTCTTTGGCAAATTTCACAATTATTCGAACATTAATATTAACATTCATAGCAACCATCATACTGATCTGTATTTCCGTCATCACATTATTCATTATCTACTATCAATTAATCTCCACAGATAGAAACACAAGAAAAATCTGAAACAAAATACCCTATTTAGCATTGAATACATTATGTATCAACACAGAGCTCACAATGAGTATTACAATTGTGATCTTGAAGATCAAAATTTGAATCAAAATAATCAAAATCTGTATTAACTTAAAATATCTCATTTTCTGCTATTTCAACAGATAAATTATTAAACAAATTGATTATGAAAATCCAATTTTAAAAAAATTCTGAATCAATGAAATCTAATTCATATCCTAATTGAAATTTGAAATAATGAGAAATTTCATCAGATTTTATATAATTATGACTTTTTCTTAAGAATTCCGACTACTAAATATTTCTACATGTCTTCTCAAGTAAAGAGAAATCCGTAATAAAGTATGATGAACATTCATTTATTAAAAAGCAACTATTTTAATCTAAATAATATGATTCCTTGCATTCATAACACAGTCCAATTTTACATATAATACAGCTGTCTTAACAAGATGGTACACAATCACCGTTTAAATTTAACTCATATTATTCATAACATTAAAAGCATACATCTTAAATTTATACTTTGCATTCCAAATCTTATTTGACTAATTGCTCCACCTTATGACAACCTCCATCCCAAACACGAAATGAATCTTGACATGACAAGCATAATCCATCTTAACAATCTAGACAATCTTCACTGCACTAAAACTTACAATCAAAACATCCTTTTTTTTGTAAATCGCATTATTCGTCGTGAGCTAATATGCCATCTCCACAGTATGATGTACATATCATTTTAATTTAATCTAAATAATAGCCAACATCACAATTAACGCATGCGTCATTTAAAGATTACTTGCAATACTATGGATGAACAAATAAGCAATGAAAGCAATTTTCGTCATTAATTTCACATTCTTCCTCTTATACTAGAATGCCATCACCACATTCAGATTAACATTCCTGCTATTCATTAAAATAATACCCTTATAAACAGCCTATACAAGTGTCTTCATTACAGATTTCACAGTTTAAAAAGCACAATTTACAAGATGTATTCTATAAAGTAATTTATTATTTAATATCATTCCATCCATAATTTGTATGTTTTATAATCCTTTTCTTTTCTTATTACAAACATTCAACATAATTTGAATATTGATGTTATTCAAAAGCATTTATTAAAGCAACACATCTTGAATTAATTAATTGATAGCCTTCTTCGCAATCTTGGCAAATCCCTTTTATGCAAATAAGGCAAGTAGCTTGGCAATTCAATTTGCAGAAGTGACAACCATCATCAGGAATTAAATTTCCATCATCGCATTCTTTATCATATGTCATTAGAAAATCTCCACATTTAGAATAACATAAAAAGTCATTCAATTCATATCCATTTTTACATTGAGTACATCCCCATCCTCTAGTACTACATACAGAGCAAGAATCTTAACATTTAGGTTAGCAATTTTAACAGCCTCTATACGGCAAAATAAAAGAATCTTCACAGTATTCGTTTAAAGCTTTTATATCATCATTACAATATGGTTTACAAATATTGTTACTTGAAAGATATTATCCAGGAATACAAGATATACATCTTCCTTAAAAACAATTAGTGCATTCCAATGGCTAACATGGATAATGAGCATTAACCCCACCACAAACATTACATGTACCATAATAACTATTACAATATTCATCACACCAGGATCCATAATAATACTGAGCTTTTTCATAATAGAATCCATATGGATCAAATACAAGCAAACCATCATTCTAAATAGGTTGACAATAGTATTAATAAGGCTCAAATCCCGGAAATTCACATCTCAAGCATTTTGTACGTGTTTAATCACAAAGAGAGCATCCAATCCTACATAAAAATTTACAATTATGACACCCATCAAAGTTATTAAAATTAGCATCATCACATTCTTCAATTCCAACTTTTAAACCATCTCCACAAACTTCATTGCAAAGTGGTGGTTCAGACAAGAGATCGATTTACCATCCCAAAGTAGCACATTCAGTACATTTTCCCTTAATACATTTAGTACATGCATTTTGACATTAATATTTACAATTATAACATCCATCATATTACACTTGATTTCCATCTTCGCACTCTTCATCGCCAGTAATTAACCCATCTCCACAAATATCAGGGCATGGTAAAGTAGTGTTGATGTCACAAGTCTGACAATTAATCGGACATTAGAATTAACAATTATAACATTTATCATTTTAAATAGTATTACCATCATCACATTACTCATCTCCAACAACTTAAAGATCCCCACAAATTGGAATGCATTCATTAGATATTAAAGTAAAACCTGATCCACAAGCAGCACAAGGATTCAAATGCCATATTCGATCACCATTATTACAATATTTATAGCATTCTAACAGTGATGTATCGATATCATTAGGACATTAAATACACACATTATTTAATGTTTAGAATCCTGTGTTGCATCTACAATTTAATCCTGTTAATACTCTCTTCTATGAAGAATCACAACTTAAACATCCATCAATGCTGCCATTAAAACAAGTTAAACAGTTTGAATGGCAAAATGTACATCTATTAAATTAAATATCATAAAAAGAATTGTTCGGACAAATACATGAGGAATTTACTAATTAGATATTCAACACTTCAATATTGCAAGTTAAGCAATCATTGGAAGTTGGGCCAAAACAAGTACCACAAAATTTATCACACAATAAACACACAAGATCTTGATCTTTTTAATAATAACCTTCTGAGCAGAGGCATTGTCCTTTTGATAATTTTCGATTGTTTATAGACAAACATTCAGTGCAATAGGTTAAACTTAAACATTAATTACATTAAATTGGACAATTAAAACACTAACTAGATTCTTCGTATTGATTTTGCTTACAAAAGCATCCAAAGCTGGTTAAGGTATATGTAGGATTTAAGCAAGTCAAACATACGATTTTTGATTTACAGGTTGAACAAGTTGGTTCGCAATCGACACACAACATTTTATACTAGTCAAAATATTAATTGAGTTAGCACTCTGCTTAAGAAAATTATATTAGGGTTGGACTATAAGTACTATTCCACTATGTGCAACTTTTATCATCCGTACATTCTAAACAATATGGTTAACAATAATGAATAGCCAAGTAATAATTATAAAATCCGCAATAAGCTTAAGTTACTTCATTGTTTGGTCCAAAACACTCCAATTCTAATACTAAATCGTTTTGAAAATGATTCACTTTTTTTCTTATTATCTATTGTTTTGTTCCATTTGAGAAGGTACTAGCACCAAACGTAGACGTAAAAAATGTTTAGGAATCAATTTAGTAGATAAACTTTCCGTCCGATGGGAATGCTGGACCAAATAATACATAGAAACCTATCGAAATACTATGATGAGGACCGAAATTTTGATGAATCCTTCTAAGCCTAGCCTATGCCCAAATAAATTAGCCACCTAGAATTCTTTTTCCTTCCCAATATGAAAAATATCTATCAGATCCTGTTAATAAATTGAAACCACTTTAGGATACTAAAGTATATTCAGGGTAGTAATCTTATTCAAAGTGATTCAAATCTTCTTTTATCAATAGTGATGAATCTATATTTACTTTATTTTTTACATGGTGTTTCATCATCAAAATCCTTACAATAATCTGAAATCATTTATTAATGGGGTTCATTACACTAATTTGAAGGAAGGCATGTTCCATCTCTATATAATAGAAAACTTGAATAACATATTTTGCATTTCAAACTTACATTGTCACAACTTTAACAGTTAATTGTACATTAACTACTATAAAATTCAACTGATTTCATTGCCCAACCAAATGAAGGATCACTAAGAATTCATTTTTAATAATGTACCTAAAATTTCCAATAGCAGAAAACAAAATATTATATTTAGGATAGTCAAAAACACCATAAATGTAATATAAATCCGAACTGGAATATGAATTTTATGGGCCTACTGAAATTTATTAGAATTCCTTAAATTTGTGCAATTAAATTCCAGAAGTATTTCTATATATTGATCCAACATAAGTATTATTAAATTTAAATTAAATTCCACAATCTAATGGAAACCCATCGAAGACAAGTATCTTAATTGTAACTTTAAGATAATTTCCTAAAATATTATTTATTTTAATTTGTCTCATAATTCCTGAGCTATATTTAAATATTCCATATATTGTAAAGAACATAGGATATGTAATATTAAATACATCAACAGAATCATCAATGAATTTTGGGTCATAGATTTTAGACCACAATAAAAAATCTTTATAACTATTCGGGTTGCTAGCTATTTTATACTAAACTTAATTGAATCCCAATGAAAAATTATCTAAATTCAATATATATTTATGTATACTTGGACAAGTATTGCAAAATCCATCAAAACACAATGGTTAAATAGACTCGCATTTCGATCGACACCCTACATTTTTAACGTAATATAGGTCTGATGGACATGGGGGACAAATATTATTAGTTGGTGTTCCAAAATAACATTATGTACATTAATTTTTTTTAGGCCCTGTACAGCTTTCGCATGAAGGATAGCAACTAAATTAGTAATGCATTTGATAAATCTTTCTAATTGAAACTGAGCCACTCTCATTCTGATTAAAAATTCCAAATTAAAAGTCTCCAGAAACATCTTAAGGGATGTTAATTTTAACTTTTTTGATATCATATGAAAAATCATCACAAAAAGAACTATTTAGTGTATAGTTTTCTGGTGAATCATAAAAATAATCTTCTATAAATGAGCCAATTGAAAACGTCACCTTTCCATTCGTCCAATTACCTTAAAAATATAAGTCAAAACATAAAATTCCTTTGTAGAAGTAACTTTGAATGTGATTATAATAATAATGAATATACCCGTTTCCTTAAAATTATCCATCTTTAAGAAAATAATATTAAACCTTGGGATATTCATAATCCAAAGTTATATAGCTAGTACTTGGATTTGTACAATTGATAAAGTTCGCTGTCCTATTAAATTCTAATGGGATCATAAAGAAATTAGTCCCTTCAACGAAAGGGTAGTTTATATAATTTGGTGCAAAGTCATCTTAAAAATAAGTATTCAAATATAAAAGGCTATATCGGATCGTCCATTAAGAATTGACAAGGTTAAGGCAACCTAAAAATATGAAGAAAACTTATTAAAACATTATTATTAAATTAATGCTTAAATTTCATAAGTTTTCAAAGACAAAAAGAGGCGAAAAAATGTATAAAAATTTACATAGATATGGAATTCCTTAGATGAAGTATAAAAAGGCTATCTCTTTAGTCATCACCTAAGAATTAATTATCTTATAAAATGATATGAGCTCCCCACCTGCTTTAGGAATTTATGAAATTTAGAATGGGGTAATATGATGGGAATTAAAAAAAATTATGAAATTAACAATTATATACAATCTATTTTCATTAATATTCATAATCCACTTTAGATTATAAGTAAGTGAAAATTGTCTTATCGAAGATATGAAATATCTTTTCAGTATCATTCCAATTATTTAGGGAATAGATGAAAATAACCTCCATATTGATGATATTTTACCTCTTAAAACATTCACCTAATATAAAATAGTTTAACATGACATATTTAGTGAAAGTTCTGATAGTAATGAAAATGTTATCATTTAAGTCTGGTATGTATGTTAAAATCAATTTAATTGTGTCTACGCATAAATTCAAAGAAATTGTTATGCTTATTGTGCAATATTCATAAACTAAACTCATGAATATCAATAGTTGTTCTACAAACCTTTCGAACTCTAACCTCACTATTAATTGACACTAGATTTAAAAATGTTGAGGAAATAAAATCACAAATTTTATCTACATACACTATATGGATGTAAATTCCCTAAATTAAATAACTACTATGATCTTAACATTTTATTTTACTTTAGATAGTAAAATTGAGCACTAAAGGATTTATACAAATAACAGTGTTTCAGTTGATTCATGCTTAAGTAACCAACAGTATCTCATTTTCCCAATTTCGATTACATTTTAACAGACAAGTTCTTCTCTTACAGCAGCTATGTCAGCTTAAAACTCTTATTGGATAGGAATATACTTTTAATTATCAATTTATGAATGCTTCATGGGATGTGACTTCTGTAATTCACATGGATGTTGTAATTAAGAATTATGTTTGTAACTATTTTAGTTTAAAGAATTCTTGAGTATTCCTCTTGAGGAAGGATGGTATACAGTTGCTACTGTAAATAAATTCTTAGGCAGGTATCTTAATAATACAAAGGATTTAATAACGTAGTTTCCTCTGGAGGCGATTTGCAAAATGTCATCAAATTAGATTTACATAATGCCATAAGTTTTCAATACAAACTATTTGTTTTTAATCTAAAATCAACTTAAATTTATATCTATATTGATAAGAACTTAGAATCTAATTATATAAAATATTGTATAGATCCTAAAATACGATACTTACAACTAATTTTATTTAAAGGAACTTTAAATGAGAAAAAAATTCTGATTATAAAAGTAGAAATTTGTGATTATATTTCAATGTAGGAAATTTATTTATTTCCATGCTACCATCAGAGTAGCAGGTTAAATATACATATAAAGTTGATTTAATTCAATAGGCGAGTACTACACCAAAATATATTGGAATGAGAGATTCTTTAACTATTTCTTATTATCTATGATGAAATATGTGTGGATAACAACATTGTGCCATTTGACGGATGCTTTATGAATTATTATGATTGCATATATGGTTTGTGAAATTTGCATCAAATGGAATTTGTTATGGTTGTTTAAATGGATGGGAATTTTTAGAGACAAGTTACTCTCGTAATCCTTTATTTTGAGATGCTATTATCACTTCTAATGAGGAATTCGATAATGTTAATTATTTATCAAATGATGGATGTCATTAATGCAAATATTCTTGCCCTAATAATTGTATAAAATGCCAATTTGGAAAATGTACATTAATTACATGAAATATAGATTTCCTCCCCACTAAGGTAATTTCTTGAAACATAAACCAAAATCTCATTATAGCCTATTTTAGATAGCTTACATGTTGATGAAATTATTGTTAAGCTAAGTGGAGGTACTCTCCCTTATTTAATCAAGAAATCGCAATAGGATTAATTGTTGTTATATGGATGGTTACACATTGCACTATTATGTTTCATAATTTGTTTTACTTTAATTATTGACATTTTGGAATACATATGTTTGCATCTATATAAATAATTAAGTATTAATTTCTTCGAATCCTAAATATATATAATTGCTTCAAAAATATGGTATTAATTGATTCTTAGTAATACTAGTTAGTTCCGTACAAATGCAAAATTTTTGATTCTCTAAATTGCCCTTTGTTTTTGAGTATTTTTTTAAGTTAGTGTAATTAATTTACAATATTGTGTTAATCCTAATAAAATCATTTTGATTGTACTCTATAAATTTTGGCACTTAATCGATAACTTATATTCTGAATATTATTTCATGATGGCATTAAATCTTGTTTTTACATTATAACTTTGGATAAATTCTTCAATTTTTGATCTAGATAAAGTATTTAAAAAATTCAATACACGTTGAAGTAGTAATTAAATCTGTAAGGTCGGAGGATTCTTATCGAGTAGTTTTTTACTAAAACCTACTAAAAATAGAAAGAGGGTGTAGATTACTTATAAGAATGGTATATATACAGATGAGTGGAAATTTACACATTAATCGAGTATAACAGTAAATTTGCATTCTTACATTTAAATAAAAAAATATTATATAATATGAGGATAAATTAAAAAATAGTTTTTCATAACTTACATAGATATATTATATTAAATATATGTATTGTAAAAATCTAACTGTTCTCTATCATAAAAAATCATTTTAATTTTAAATATTTTGAAACATTTTCTTTAATGTAATAATTTAAGTTTAAATATTATATTTGAATTCCTTAATAAATAGTATTGCCATCTTAATAATAGAAGGTGAAGTTGAATTATAAATTCTGGAATACTTTGAACCTTGATACAAATACAAAAGTTTATTTAGAATAGAACTCTATATAAGATTTATAAATGTTATTTTGATTTGATACTTAAAATTTCTATAATAATAATATTGAAATAAAATTGGATAAAGGGTGATCAGTATGAGTGAATATAAATATATGATTGAAATTCAACAGTTGATTTGTAAATTGTCAATAGAGTCTGTGTAAATTCTTTTTGATTAGGAGATAGCTGGCTGGGTACTTTTAGGAAATGATGATATTCGAATCATACTTATTGAGCAATTGCTAGCAAACATCAGTATAACAATCAGATTAGAAATCATGATTTTTGATGTTTTTGAGTGTAAATGATATGATCTAAAATGAATGAAGAGCATACAATAATAGCAAATGCGATTTGAGATGGCTCGTAATTCAATTTCCAAGGTAGTGACATTAAGGATAAAGCATATATCAGTCGAACTTGTTCAGCAGATATTCTTTTTGTTTTTTTGATGTAATAGATTAATTGTTCAATGAAATCCATGGCAGTTGGTTTAGTTATTTCAAAATTTAACTTTTGTAAAATGTGTGTTTCTATTTCTGTGGACATCTGCCATTTGCATCTATCCTATTGATCGAATTTGGTTGCAATCCATAGACTTGTCAACAAGTAATCCTATGTTAATATATTGGTTCTTAGGTAAATTGATTTGGCGAGGTATAATGTTGAGATTTTAAGTTTTAGCCTAAATTAAAACTGAGAGAGTATTTTAAACTCATCCAACATATCATATGGTTAAAATATGAGAATTTATTGAGTGTGTAGGTATGCAACAATCTCTTTATAATAAGGATTCAATGATTCTGTTTCGGTATCACTCATTTTAAAATTTAAATTAATTATTCTCAAAATTAACTGCTCTATTCAATTTACATTAAATTCCTTAGTATGTTTAATTTAAATACAAAAAATGCAGTAACAACATAGGCTAAGACCAAAGCAATTTAAAGGCATCAAACCTCTTCCTCTTTGTATCCCCTAATCAAACTCTATTTCATAATTCTGGAACATCAAATTTGAATATGTCACACACTATAATAATAGTAATTTAATTGGTTCCTCAAATAAATGAAAGAGAGTATAAATATGATTTTTAAATAAATAAGGATGTTCCTTATTCATGTTTTCGAATTCATCAGATTCATTTATTTCCCAATTATTACCATTCCAATCTCCTAGTGTTCCATTTACTTAACTATTCCCTACAGATTGATATATGATCTGCATATATTTATGAATTGATCTAAATGCCTATTTTGATTATTTTGCCTTAGAGTCAGATCTTCTGGTTCCTCAAATTACATAGGAATAGTATACAGTTTCATTAGTTCTTGAAAACGTAGGTTAATAAGCATTGGAATCTTTGGTTTTCTTCTGTACTCAAATTCTACAGAGTTCAATAATTGAATTTGTGTGTACAATAATTTTATTTTTAATTATGATCAATCAATTACTATCAGAACAGAATTTTCTCACCTCCATCACTCATCACAAGCATTCATCTTTGGTTACTCATCTATCATCACCCCATAAACTTTAGATTTAGGCAAGTCGATAAAATAGACATATAGATTGCCAAGGGGAAGTTTATGATAAAAGAGACCTAATTAATGCAAGTAACGATAATCAATTGTTGAAACCTGAGACTGTGAGAAAGAATAATCGACTTAAGTCAAAACCAGCAGTTTCAAGATTTATGAAGAAATTAATTATATCTAACTTCAAAGACAATAAGGAAATATTCTATTCAGTTACTCCCATGCAGCCAATTTATGATCAATTTAAGGAGAGATATGAATAAAGGGAAAGAGATAGAGTATTTTAAAATCGACATTTCGATAAAGTTTATAAACATCACCTAAGCAGAGCTATATAGTACATATTGTAACAAGTGTTAAATTTTCTATCATTCGATGATGTTTTTAAGGTTAATTTGGATAGGAGTGATTATGATAGATATTTAAAGAGGTAGCCAAAATTACTAAGGAATTCTGTAAGTTCGATGGATCTAATAAATCTGTAATAAACTTAATTAGACAATGAATTGACTACCAATAGGAAGGTGTAATTGATTGCTAATGTGTTTTCGGATCCTCATTTTAATGCAAAGGAAAGATAAGTGCTGTATTAGGTACTGAGATTTTAGATTGCATAAGCCTAGAAATCTATTGTGAAATTGGAGAAAGCAAGTATTGGAATTAAGGCTTTGAATCGATTTTAGACCAAGAAGGAAGGTCATTTAGAATAATTGGCCTTCATTCTTGATTATATGTAAAACAACTATGATAAACTTGTTAAATTAATATGATTAAATATAATAATTATAAATTAATTCTATTTTATTTATGAGAATCTCAAAATACGTATCAAATTAAATGTATTGTATTCTCCTTAATCCAATCAAAAATTTAGTTTACATCATAAGAGTGAGCCAAATAATTGCAAGACAAACATTAATAACAATAAAAAATGGCAAGAACTAAATAAACTGCAAGAAAAAGTACTGCTGGTAATAAAAAACCAACCAAACATTTGGCCACCAAAGCTGCTAGAAAGACTGCTCCAGCTGTTGGTCCATCTGGTGGCTTAAAGAAACCACACAAATTTAGACCAGGAACCGTAGCATTGAGGGAAATCAGAAAATATCAAAAGTCAACTGAATTGTTAATCAGAAAGCTACCATTCTAAAGACTAGTAAGAGATATAGCCCATGACTTCTAAAAAGAACTCAGATTTTAGAGTTCTGCAATTTTGGCTCTCTAAGAAGCAGCAGAAGGATATTTAGTAGGATTGTTCGAAGATACCAATTTATGTGCAATTCATGCAAGAAGAGTGACTATTATGTCAAGAGACATCCAATTGGCCAGAAGAATAAGAGGAGAAAGATTTTGATAAATATGTTTTAAATTAATGACAAAATAATCGAATGTTTTTTTATATTTCTCCTTATTTAATTGTATTTCTATAACTTAAAATGCATGAATAAATCAGTTTGCCATAATCTATTATGCTTAAATATTTCATTAACAGAATAACTATAGAATAAAAGAAAAGGACTCTAATTTGATCTGGCAATCGTTTAAGCATGAATAAATTCTTAGCAATTTGTATATTTATAAAAGTCATTTTTATGAGAGATATAAATCTCGCAAATTGTTTCCAATTCTTACTTTAACTTAGTCTCTGTAGTTTTAATTTCTCCATAAAACATAGTTAATAATACCCTTATGTACATTCCATCCATAACTAGTTTGTTTGCCTACTCTCAAATCATCCAATACATTCTTCACTAATTAATTAGGCTCTATAACTTCGAATCCTTATTTCATAGCCAACATTTTTGTTCTTACTCCCAGGGGTGTGACACTAAGAAAATGAGTGTTTTTGTAGGTCAACCCTAAGGATTGGGTAAAATAATGAGTAAATGACTTGGTACAAGAATAAACAGTAAGATAGGGACATGGCAAATATGCTAAAGCAGATGATAGAGTAATCACAGCAGATTTATTCTGTCTACATTCTAATTTGTTGATTAATATTCTGGTCATCATTAGTGTTGACAAGGCGTTGACTCTAAGTATCTTCAAAATGTTATCCATTTTCTCATAAGCAAACAAAGTTCCTTCGCTCATACCCACATTGTTAACCAAGATCGAAATGTCCAAATATCTTAGTTCAGATTTAACCTTTTCATAGAATTCAACTGAATGTCCCTGACTAAAATCTACGACTATAGTTTTGGTTTCAACGTGAGAATTTTGTAATTATGCACAAAGTTCATTCATCTTTTATTCGTTCCTTGCCACTACAACAATATTAAATCCTTATTTAGCTAATTCGATACAGAACTCTTTTCCAATTCCGTCTGATCCTCCTGTCACCACAGCCCAGGAGTTCCTTCCGTACTTCGAGATTAAGTTGCTTCGGACTCTTGGAACAGTCAACCATAAAAGTTTAGCAAGAGTCTTGATTAAGTATAAGGATGCTGATATTAACACAAATCAATACCAACTCCTATGAAGAATGACACTAGTTTAGATCTCTTGTGCATATGCGAATAATAGAGGTGAATGAACTCCTTGTGTAGTCGAATTAGCCTTTGGAAGATTAATAATTCCATAATTAATGAATGCTATTTTATGTTTATCATACTTTTGGTATAATGCATAAATGCATAAGTAAATCCCATGTTGTACAAATGGGGAACATACAAACCTTAACTGATTCACGCCATTACTGAAAGAAATATGCAAACCTTCAATCCTCTGACCATCACCTTCTATTACTTCATGAACAATAATATAAGATGGGAGAAATCAATCAAATACAAAATCAATGAAAGAAGCAATGACGAACCCACCTATTACCAATATCTCTATCATGATGGCGAAAGATATGCCATCCACGAAACCATAGATGGGGAATATAAAGTAAGATTCACAAATGAATTCTATAAGTAAATTGCTTCTGTATGACTAGAGTCAATCCTGAGAAAATAGAAGATTGGGTTACCACTGTTGTGAATAACGATGCCTTGGTCGGAGATGAGGAATACATCAGTCTAGTGTACTCTATTGCAATTGAGAAGTTGAATCAAGAAAAAACTGATCTCAGAAAATTATAAGTTGAAGAGGAGGGAGATTCTCTCAAAGTACTTCTCATCTCAAATTCTAGATTACTATTACAACAGCTCAACAAGTAAATTACATTTATGTGGCCTTGGAATCTAATGGCAAACAAGTCAATTTAAATCAAAATGACAACTTCGGTTATTCTTTGCAATTTCAGAATCCTACCTTAAATTACAATTTGAGAACACTCCTCTATAGCGAATTGAGAAAAACCAAAGAAGACATCCCGTTCAAATTCAATAAAACTATTGATTAAGAATAAGGCAACATCGTCTTCGTTTAATACGTAGCTAAAAGAAATGAATTGTTTAAATTTTAACTAAGATATATGCAACGAGAGATATCCGTATCAAGTGACTACTTTTTCGATGCTAGAATATTAAAGAAATTAGACAATATGAATTTCTTCTCTTAATTCAATAGAACTTTCAATAAAATACCATTAAGTATCAATATGAAATTTATTGATTCTAGAGAACCCATTCTATTTATCGTGTTCAATCAGTTCATTTGCAAATCTCATTGGAGGCTTTGCCACTTCTTTTGGAAATATAGAATGCGAAGAGGCTAATCCAATATGTTCACAATAAAAGATGATGTTTACTCCAACTCCCTCTAGATTTGGATTCCCCAGACCATTTTTATGGGATGACGGATTCCATAATATGATTGTTTGTCGATGGAAATCTCAATTATGTATCTAATCTTTGTTAGATTGGTTTGATACAATGTCAAGCAATGGATGGATACCTCGAGAATAAGCCAGAGTAATATCTTATATCTTAATTGCAAGAGTCCTGAATAGAAAACAGCAGTGCCTTAAGCATTCCTGGCCTAAAAATAAAGCGAAACTAATCCGCCTACTTTTATCTTTAATTTTCTTTATCTTGATTGTAAGTATCATGGATTATAAATTAGCCTTGAAAAACGGGGAAATACAATAATAGGTGAGAAAATTATACACAAAAGCAATAGATTGGTATCATTTTTGGATTAAGTCTCAAGGAGTAAATGAAGGAGATAATTTCTTACTCTTCAAATGGTGGGGAATGAATGATAATATTAATTTTGGATCAGGAATGGATGACTGGCCAAGATCGCATAATGGATTGAAAAGCAAATTTAATATTGATGCTAGCATGTGGGGCTGGTTTTTTGCTGATTCAATGCAAAAATTAGCTGCTATATATGATCCACAAAAAAGCAACTAATTCCATTAAACTGCTGAAATGATCAAGAAATCTATTAATAAATATCATTTGGATCCAGATGATAAAATATTTAAAGATGTTTTAATTGATGGATCATTCTCTCCTCATCTTGGCTACCCTAATTTATTTCCAATTGCTTTTGGATTTATTGATCCTACAAAATCAGACATATTGGATGCGTATGTGAATATGATAAAGAAAGAGTTGTGGACTAATCATGGTCTTCGATCTTTGAGCATTAATGATAATCATTTTGGAAAAGTTATTGATGCTATTAACTATTATAGGGAGACAACTATTGGACTGGACCAGTTTGGATACCAATTAATTATTTAGTTCTCAGAGGAATCTAAAAGTATTATTCAACACACAAAGGATTAATGGATCTCTATAAGGAACTTAGAGAAAATTTGATGAATACTGTTTGCATTAATTGGAGAGACAGAGGGTAACACTATTCCACATATACTAGATACTTCTTTGAACATTATAACCAAAGATAAGATGGGCTTGGAAGAGGATACCATCCCTTTAATGGATGGACTAGCACAATTACATTAATTATACACGAAATTTATGATTGAGATTATTTTTATTTTTAAATTATTAAATGATACATAATATTGGCTATTGTTATAATTTAAATCATACTAATTAATATGACATTTCTTTGTTCTGTTTTTGGACTTCTTTTCTTCTACAGTATATTACGATGATGAAAATAATAATAATAAGCAAAAGTACGCTTGCTGAAACTATAATGATGAGACTTGATTTAGATTTTTGATTTGGATTATCAATATCGTCATCATCATTATCATCATTATCATCATTATTATTATCATCATCATTATTATCATCATCATCATCATTATTATCATCATCATCATCATCATTATTATCGTCATTCTATTCATCCATTACAAACAAAGACCTTTAACACTGACTTTATTGATTTAAAGCTAGAATCTCAATTTCCGCTTATTCACTCTCTTACACACTAACATTGAATCTTAAATCATTTTATATTGTAATAATTATTGATCTACTCTCCTAAAATCCAGAAAACAACAAGTTATTTCCATTCACTTAAAACAATACTTTTGAGGAGCTAAATATGTTTGGCATATAACTTATATATGGAACAATTTGCAAATTAGAATAAAACCTAAAATTAAATCATATATGTTACAAATGTTCAACATTATAAATATATAAGTTCTATGATTGATTCTGTGAGATTACAGAAACGTTATGTAGAAAAATTACATTATTTGCACAATTTAATGAGTATTATGAAGAAAAATCTAAAAACAAAGATCCAGAAAATTAATATCCAATTATCCTTCCATTTGTTAAATTAAACTATATCCTATATACTCTAACATTGTCAGTATACGGACAAGCTATAAGTATTTGATTAACTTGATCACTAATAGGTTTTGGCGATCCAACCTATTACATATATTTTGAAACAGAAACACTCACCACTTAGGTCTATGTAAGCATCCAATCTTAAATTAAAAAATAGAGATTGGTAACATTAGTATATTAATTGCCTGGAAATCCAAAGTATTATGCAATTGATGATGGCATACAAGTTTTAAGTAAGTAAAATTTTGGATTAAGATTTTCAGCAATTTAATTTTAAAATCCAAGTATCTAACATGGGTCAGAAGTAAAATTAGAGGATAGCTTTACAATCACTTGATCTATCTAACTAGTTTATTAAAACCTTGCATAAGTATATATTTGTGTTAAAATAATTTCATCATCTATGATTTGTAAGTAATATTAGTTGTAATTGTGGTAAATATTGGTCTAAGAAATTATTTATAAAATGCCATTATTGTAGAACTTAAGGTAGAGTGTAACCAAATTGGAAAGATCATACTGCATAATAGTTTTAGATGTCATATTGTAACTGTATATAATACTATTTGAACAAATAGATATTGGGAATTAAGTGACTATCTCAACAAACAAATTATAACAAAATTATGCTCTTTTAGGAAAATCATATAATTTTGTTAGTTATCCTGTTGATTATTCCAATAAGAATACACTTAAATTATTTTGAACATAAAGGAATGTCTCATTTAAAGAAATTAGTCCTTATAAATACTGACCTAACAATACTTAATTTTGCTGACTCACAGGTTGAGTAAAATTGAATTATTAACAGTTTTTGCAAGTTGCAGTGTAATTATCAACATTTCCATTAAAAAATTCTAAAGGATTCACTTCGAATTGGCTCTGATTCACTGTTAATTCAATAGTCTTTTTTTCCAAACCTTATATCTGAGGCAAAATGACTTTTTTATCATATAGGATGGTAACGTCTTATTATTGAAGACTATAGCATAACATATTTGATGCGTTGTAGGTAACTTATGTTTAAACAGCAAGGTCACCAGCTCTATACAGAGGAGTCAATTCAACACTCCAATCTGTAATCACATACTTCTTGAATTCAGTTTTAGTATTGATGATCTAGAGGTATTCTAATATTTGTTTTCCTTATTCAAATTCAATAACACTAAGCGAGGATATGTAATTAGAAGATGAAATTGCTTGGATCCAATTTGATTAAAACAAGGAAAAAAATGATGATCCACTTCCCTAATATTAAGCCCAATAAACTGATGTGGATTTATATAAAATGATATAAAAATTATGTTAAGTATAGCCTGTTTAAAGTTAAGAAAAAGCAAATTAATATCCCAATAAATTCAATTCATAATATGATTGGATTGGACTATCAATGTAAACTGACTAGATAGGATAATAATACAATTATGTGTTCCTCTAATTATTTATTATAGCTATGAAAATCCCGGTATTCAAAATACCTAATTTTAATTACTCATAACTCAGTAGTGGATAAGGAATCTAATTTACAAATTAACAAGATGACTATCCATTATATGATAAAATGACTAAGCTTTATTAATTATCAATAAATAGATAATTTGGATAATTTTATTTGTTTAAGTAGATTTAATTGAATTGATAATTTTAAACAGTAAATTTAGGATTTTTATTGTTGTTTTTAGAATATGCTGATAAATTATTATCAGTTGTGATTACAAATAATGTTTCATCAAGAAATGCTGAACTTAAGATTCCCTAACTGAATGAATACTAATACAACCCTTACTAAAATAATTAATAATCGATAGTCTAGATTAATATTTAGGTTTAAAACTACATCAGTACTTCAATTTAAAAAAATGTTTAAGAACAGGTACACTAAACAAGATTTTAATTGAAATTTATAGGCACAACAAAATAAGTGCTTGTCTTTGTTAATTATAAAGAATCTGAGTATTAAATTCTGACTTCATCTTCAAATTAAGCACAAGTGATGATTTAAGATCTATAGATGCTACACATTGCTGAATAAGTTTCATTGGAATCTGAAAGATATTTGTTTATTTTAGATTTTTGGAAGGTTAAATACTGTTTGTCCGAATTTGTAATTGTTGTAGTAATATTGGGACCTAGCGTCATTGTGTTACCTTTAACTGTCGTTTCTATTGGGTACACCAAATTAGCATTTGGGAAATTATTGGAAAATTAAACAGGACATTAAGATTAACTAATATCCGACATTATTATATTCAATAAAAAAGTATGTTCAATTTAACGTTAAATTTATGAAAATATTTTTATTTTTATTTTGACTGCTTACAAATTTGATACCATCAATTGAGTTTAATATACATTAACCAAAATTTATGGTTTATTAAATAACATGCTTTCAAATTTCGTTGACTATTCACTTGTATCAAATAAAATGGCAATTTATCTTTCATTCATTATTAGTGCCATACTCGTCAATGAATAATTATAGTAATTTGTAGGTTTTATTGATGAAATTGAGTTCAATTTAGTAACATAATTATTTGTAACAACATAGATTGAATTTACGTTTACCTCTAATTAAATTATTTTTTTATAGGCATTCAATACGAAATGCTTATGATTCTCGGTTTATATATTTGAATTAAAATCATAATACAATTATGACAAGTATTCGTTTTATAACAATACAACATGATATATGTTTTTTGATAGCTAATACACAGCCATTTAACTAAAATGTTCTCTTATTCTAGGTGTTGTCATTTTATAATTGGCTATTTCTTTGAAGCTACTCTGAGTTGACAAGTTTATAAAATAAAGTGATTTCTTACTCATCAGAAATAAGAAATTAAAGTCTTGAGATAACACAATCTAGATGAATGTGCCATTATAAACTTATTCACTTGCATAATCCAATTATTTCAGGTTGTAACTAAAACTAATTGCAGTAGCATTATCTTTAGTTAAATAAGTCAAATAAATATTAAATGCGCTTTAATTAAAATATTGTAAATTTATTTTCCGATTACTAAATTTTTTAGGGAAGGTAACATTGGTTTCATAGATTTGATGAGAATAGTTAGAAAGATTAATTAATACGAAATTCAAATATTTCTTTTAGAGACAACTTATCATTCCCATATTCTCTGTTACTAAATTAATATAAAAGCAACCTATAAAAATTGATAATATATACTTAATTAAGTAAAATTAAAAGGTACTTAATTTAATGTAAGACTTCCATTGTTCTATAGTAATCCTTGATATAAATTACTTTATGTTAGAACCCAAAAGTCATTCGAACTTAATTGAGATTCAGAAATGTAATTGCTAGCTGATAATATTTTTCCATCTATATCAATTATCACATAATTTACTCAAGTTGAATTGTCCTTATTAGAGACTTAAAGCAGATTGTTGAATATTCAAATTATATTCATTATCTCTTTCCAATTAATAGAGGGGAGCTTAAAATTTATCAGGAGTATAATCTTCTAAGTAGATTATGTTTGGCTAATTTGATTACAAGGGAAAATTGTATGTGTCTTCTGCCATCACTTGCAGCCCACAAAAGACTATGTTGAAAATAATATATGACATTATCAAATTTTTATTATTAAAGTATCATAAATCTTTAATTATGGGCATTAAAATTCATTTCCCAAGCCCTATTTCAGAGAACAAATTTTAATACGAAAATTATGGAAAAACTGATTTAGTGATAATACAACAATTTCTTATATGAATTTCTAATAGAAGCTTTTTAATAGCAAATAGATATTCATTTTTAATTGTTAATAAATAGACCCCATTAAATAATGATATTACTTTTCCTTTTTTCTAAAAAAAAGTGTTAATTGGCATTAAAGTTAATTATATATATAAATAAAATATTTCTAATAGATCTTGATTTGAAGCAATTGTGTTTTTTAAAAGTTATTCGAAAATAAAAAACATCTAATATTTCAAAAATATTATTTTATAATCCAACATTAAATTATATACAATTTTTTTCAAGGTATAAAATAAAAATTCATGTGATAATTATTTTGTTTTCTATATCAACTTTAGACTCCATACTAAAGTATATAGTAAAAGTTTCATAAAATAGAAGTAAAAGTATATAATTAAAACCAAATATAAAATAATGTCAAAAATAGTTTTCTATTGGTGTCTTAAATAATCAGAATTAATTAATACTTTTTGATATTGTTAAATGTTCTATTATTTTAGTCATCATCAAAATAATTTCTGTATAAATTTTCTCATATTAATCTTGAATTAAGTTATTCAATCTAGAATATTATAGAATGATTTAAAGTAAGCATAAGTATTTTTAGAGTAGAAATATAACCACAAAAACATAGTGAAAATAACAGTATTATCAATTATATTTTGAAAAAAAGAGAATTTCCTCCAACTGCAAAATGAAGCATAGAAAATTAATTATTCAACTGAAATATATTTATTAAAAATGTTAATATTGTTATTATTGAGAAGAATAGGAAAAATATAAATAAAATGAAAAAAAGAGTGGAATGCTGTGATTAATAATTTATATTTAATTTAAAATAATTTAACTAATATGCAAAGTGCAAAAGAGTTCAAGAGCATAGCAATCACAGAGACAAAAGGATAATGTGGCTTTGATATTAGTGGAAATACAGCATTGCTGGCTTGGAATTAGAGTTTGGTGGAGTATGATTTAATGGAACACAAAAAAACCGCGGAAACTGTGCTTGAGTCACCTATGTAGGCTTTGGCAATTCATCCTTTAAATTCACAAGTTTTTGCAATAGGAGATATGAGAGTGGATACATATGATGATATCTAAATGACAGCTCCATCACTAATTGTGACTTTGACAGGGAAGGTGACTTAGATCAAATACAATAAAAATGGAAAAATAATGGGCATAGCTTCTGAAGAAAATTCATTAATATTAAATAGAGATACCAAAATATCAAGATGCAAGCCTGGACATGATGGGATGATAATAAGTTGTGCTTTTGATCCAAAAGACAGATTTGTGTGTAGTATTGGTTGTGATGGTTGTTTGATAGTTTATCAATTATCATAAGTACCTCATTTATTGTAAAGATATACAATTAGTAAATAAATATCACCAGATGCATTTTAGAAATTATAATCAGATTTCCATCCTTCAGGGGATTCATTTTGGATTGCTGGAAGGATGAATGCTTAATATATTATTACAGAGGATGAACCTTAAGATTTATAGAACCAATATTAGATTTCTCATTCTAGTGAGATTTGCATAATAAGATGGATACAAGAAAATTGTGTTGGATCATGCTCACTAGATGGAGAAATAAAATTATGGAATTTTAAATCTTTGACTGATTTATCATTGCATTGGCAATTTAATATCAAATGCACACCATTGCATATGAAAATAATATAAAATGTATTCTATTTATTGGATTGCAATGGGAATCTAATTGAAACAACTTTAGATCCTCCTAAAACAAAGTATGACAAGATATATTAAGATAAGATTAGTGCAATTTAAGATTTAGTGGATTAGAAAACAAAGTTAAGGATTAGTTAGAGAATGGAAGAGGAATTGATGGATGAAGAAATAATAGAAAATAAGGATGAACAGGATGGAATAAAAAAGGGGAATTAGATGGAGAGATAATAAAAGTAGAATTTAGATTCAGGGATGTAGGACATTTTGAGGCCAGGAGAAACACAACCATCAAGAGGAAGGTAATATTTATGTTACAATACTGTGGGGACAATAATATTGTGTAAAAATACTAATATGATTGAATTCGAGTTTTTTGATTCAACATTTTATAAAAAGTTTAAGATTAGTAATTAATAAAGATACGCTATTGGTACTTTGAATTATAGAGGATGTGTATTGGCATCAAAGGGACCAAATGATTTGGACGAATAAGGATATTTGGTTGGGGATGGAAAGTCAATTGTGTTTTTCTAGTAATTTATAGGTGATGTTGATGATTTTGAATTCGCATTACCAGAAGAGGAAGGAGCAGAACTAGTGGCAATTGGAAATGATTGGTTTGCAATTATGAGTGATCATGGAATATGTAGAGTAATTTCATTTTGTGGTTTGGAGTTATTAGAATTTAATACAAATAGGGCAGTTGTATCAATGTGTGCCTACGAACATTTGTTGTGTTTAGTATTTCATGATACTTCTCCAATGTTGAATTAGTAAGTTTTAAAAGGGAGAGTTTATGACATAGATTTGTAGAAATAAATTGAAGAATTTGATATATTCTTAACACCATTTTCATCACTCTCCTGGATTGGGTATTCAGATGAAGGATTATTAAGTATTTAAGATTCAAAGGGTGTGATCAAAATTTATCAACAAGGTAGATGGATAGAAGTTTTTCATAATCCAAAGGTTTGGTTATATGGAATTCAAGATTACAAATTATGCTTGTTAAAAACTGAACAGCCATTGGCTTCAATGAAGTAGGAGATGATTTAAGAGAGTTTTGAATAACCATTTGTGTGTTCGATTTAGGATGAAAAGTTGATAGCCAATTATAAACAATTTCTAATCTAATTGATCATTCTGAATCATGAATTATATAGATGGAACGAATTTGGGAAATACTATTATGCTCGAAATGATGACAAATAAAATGATATCCTCCTGAGATATACTTAGAACTTATATGACACGACCAAAATTGAAGAGACATAGAAGTTATTGAGAAAATACAGAGTTGATTTATTTAAGTAGATTTTAAATGAATCGAAGGATAAGGCTATTGAATTCTTTAAGTGTCATATTAAAGATGAATATGATATGAATTCGATCATCAGTTTGTTGGAATTGTAGAAAGAAAAGTAGACAACAAATAAGGAATTCCAAAAGTTATTGAACTAAATAAAATTGCTATAGAGAGTAAAACAATTAATTTATACATTTAGTAATAAATAATAAAGTCATAGTAGAATTTTAATATCGATAAGAGACCTTAATCTCCGAAGAGACAAGGATTTGGTTTTTTGAAGTAGAATGATTAAGTGAACATGAGTTAAATAAAATCTATTTTGGAACATAAAGAATAACATCATTAATAATAACAACAACACATATAATAATTCTAGAGAGTTGAAAGTCAATAGGAAGAGGAGGAATTCAATCCGTTTGCAAAGTCTGCGAATAAAAAATAAGGTAGCATTTTTGATATTGGAGAGAAGAGGAAGCCGACTTAGACTTTTGGGACATAAAATATAAAAAAAAAGAATTGATTATATTTAATATATTTTTATATATTGATGAGTCGAAATCAATCGCCACGGAGATTCTAAAATGTGTTAGATAAATGGCATTATATCAAATGTTCAGAAATCAAGATCCATTTCTTTGTGAAGAATCTATATATGGGGAATCAAACAGAAGATCAATTTCTGAATTTTGTAAAGGACAGAGTGTAGAAGGCGGTAAGATGATCATGATGGCTAGGGTCCTTGCGAAGTGATTCAGATTACCGATAAGAATTTGAATGAGCGCACTATTGATATAGCGATAGGGATGCGATATGATAATGATGCCAAATTGATATACATTGGAAAGAAACATATCAATTTAGTATCAAAACATCAAAGTGAAAAGAAGATCATTCCATTGATTAGTGATATATTTTTGATGATGCTAAGGGTATTGAATAACATATATTGGGATGTTAGGAAAAAGGAGAAGTGGACAAATAAGCACTTGAAGAGAAATTAAGGTAGCAGAGATTTGGGGAAAAAAAGAGAGATCGATCTAGTAGCCAAGATTCATCGAAATCAGAGAGTCAGGATAAGAAGAAGAATGCCATAGTCTTGAATTTACAAGTGATTCCACAACAGAAGACTATTATTACGCCTCCAATTGTAGATATCTAGCCTGTGTAATTGACAAGTAATTGAGTTGAGTGATGTATTAGTTCCCAAGGAGACCATCTATATCTTTGGGATTCCATAAGAATTCAATTTATAAGAGTGCTTGATGGATATTAAAAATAGATTGAAATTATAGTAATTACCAGAGGGAACATTCAGGAGTGAAAAATAGTAAGATCATATTTTTGAATATTTGGAAGTGCAGTTGGAAATATTATAGAAGAATGTCTAATTAAAAATTAAGAATGTTCCATGTCTTATATGCTAGAAGAAAAAGAAGTCTGAATCCTTTTCAGATATCCTCAAACAATATTAATTATTCATCAAAACACAACATCCAATCAATACAAACAAACTGTTGAGCATCTTCCAATAATATGGCGACATTATTGGATTATATGAAATACTACTTAAGTAAGTAACATCTTCTATTTAAAGTCAGGAGGAATCCTCTAATTCTTATTGCATAGTCTACACATCTGATCAGTTCATCAAACAACTGAAACCTCCTGGATAAATTGAGATTCCTGAAGAAAAGACAATTTGTGAGTATCGAATACCTGATCAAAACGTGGTCTCTTTTCAACGAATCCCTTATAAAAGCACTTTACATGCATAAATATCAAGAGATTCTAGTAGTTCTAGTAGTAGCAGCTCATCATCATCAGTAAATCAGTTAATTATGATTAATAGTCTTCACGGAGCAGAAGTGATAGCAACCCTAGAAAAAAAAAATAATACAGTATATATCTATTATTATACATATAATTTTAGATAAAAATAATTATAACAATCGGAAAAGATAAAACTATAGGAGAAACAATAATTATTATGACAATTGAGATTAGGTTAAATATATTAAATATTGATTTTATTTTAAGATATAATTCATCATCATTCATTCATTTCTTTTGTTGTTATTATTGCTATTAAATTTATTACACTTGCAACACTCTTTTCTATAATTCAATATTCAATTTATCCATGAATTACTTTTTCTAATTGATGATATTACTCAATTTATCTTGTGATTCCTTCAACAATTGTAATTTTCTATCACAAAAATGTTACCCTTGCTCAGTATTGCGCTCAACAAAATATCCTGTTCCATAATCTATCATAACTGATTATGGGCTAATCAATCTTCCTCATTATTGTATGTAATTAGTACCTGGTACATAGAGCGATGCAGTAATTGGTACTAAGAGATCATTATCTTTTGGAGTTTAATCTAATCTTTTTAAGATCACTTTGCTTTCATCATACTTGGCATTTGCAATTCTGAATTAAGATAATGATTAACTGAGCTATTGGACTTCCTATTTTATATAATAAGGTTATACCTCCTCTATTTACTTTTTGATCTACAACAATTATTGAGGGGTCAATTTGTCAAGAGGGATAGCCTTCTGTTCTTCTTGTTATTGACTCATCACAATTTAAATATATAAATTTTAATTTTAATGTCTGATTCCGAAGAAGAACAAGTGAAACAAGCCCCGATAATTAAGCCTCATTAAAAATAACAAAAGGACTTCTATGCCGAATAATTGTAAGCTAATGAAGAAGCAGAATCATAAGCTCCTTTGTTGGTTGTTGTCTAAGGACCAAAAGGCAGTGGCAAAACAACATTAATAAAATCTCTTGTGAAACATTATACAGGATAGAAAATTAAGAAATTGGTTGGTCCAGTAACAGTTCGTTCAAACAAGTAACATAGAGTCACATTTGTTGAGTGTCCTAGTGATATCAATGCAATGAGCGATTTAAGTAAAGTGGCAGATCTAGCATTGATATTGATCGATGCAAGTATAGGATTTGAGATGGAAACATTTGAGTACTTAAGCTTGTTGAATAATCATGGTTTTCCTAATGTTATGGGCGTGTTGACACACATTGATTTCTTTAAAGACAACAAATAACTGAGGAAGACAAGAAAGAAATATAAGAAGAGATTCGAATACGAAACTGGTGGCAATTACAAATTATTCTACTTGTAAGCTTTGAAAAATGAATACTATTTGAAATAAGACATTCATAATTTGGCAAGATTCATATCGATCATCAAGATTGCTCCAGTAAGATGGAAAACAGAACATCCCTTTATATTGGCAGATCGTTATGAATAGGGTAAGGATAATACTACAACCTTTTATGGCTATGTAAGAGGATGCACCTATCGATTAAATGATAGAATTCATTTTGTAGGTTAAGGAGATTACTATATTGATAGTTTTGAAGAAGTCCTGGATCCAGTAGAGATCATAACCAATTAGAAGAAGCATCGATCATTGAAGGATACTGAAAAGTTAGTTTATGCACCCATGTCCAGTGTGGGTGCATTAACAATTGATGCCACAGCAGGATATATTACTATCCCTTAACCAATATTCACAGATAAAAATAAATTTGTTAATATTGAAGAATAGGAAGATGAAGAGATAGAAGAATAAGAATAGGAATAAGAGTTACCTGAAGGAGTCAGGATGGTTAGAGAATTGCAACAATTGACTGAAGGAATTGATAAGCAATTAGAGGAGGAAGAAGATGTATAATTATTGGAGGGATTTGATTTGGAAGAAGAAAAACCTATCAAGAAGAAAATTAATTAACAATAGATTTAACAACAAAGAGAATTAGTGAGATTAAAGAATAGGGTCAATGTTAAAATTGAGAATGGAACAGTCATGCCTATTACAGATACTTTATTGGCTACTGATTTACATGAATTGATATATTAGAATAAGACTGGTATTAATGAGTTTGATAGTGTAAGATACATAGCTAAAGTGTAAGAAAGAGAATCATATAGAGAAATTAAGGAATTATTTGTGACAGGCTTTTATGGCTAGACTGATGTGGTGGATTTGGAGAATCTTGAGAAATAGATTGAGGAAGAATAATTAGAAGAAGAATAAGAATAGGAAAAGAAGGGTGAAAATTAAAAGGAAAAAGATGATAACTAAAATCAAAAAGAAAATTAATAACAAAGATAATAATTAGTGAATTAATTAACTAATTCAAATCTTGGATTGTATAAAAAAGGCACGTATGTCAAAATAGTGATTAAAGATTTTTCATCATCCATTAAAGACGATTACCCTATGATTCTTGCTAGGTCTGAAGTGGGTGAAGACAATTTAGGATTTATTAAGGTATAATCTGTCATATATTTTAGATTCGAATCAAAAAGCATAGATGGCATAGCAATATCTTAAAATCCAATGATCCTATCATAATCTCTCTTGGATGGAGGAGATTTTAAACCATCCCTATATATTGTGTATAGGATCCGAATGACAGATTACGGTTCGTTAAATATACTCCAGAATATGACTATTGTTATGCCATATTTTACGGTAATTTTGCACCTTAGGGGACAGGTCTCGTTTGCACATAGTCATTAAGCAATAAATTGGTATTAAAATAATACATCAATTATATAGTCTAAATTTAGAATTGCTGCCACTGGAGTTGTATTAGAGATGAATCATTAATTTGACGTAATGAAAAAGTTAAAGTTGGTTGGGGAGCCCTTCAAAGTCATTAAAAATACTGCATTCATTAAAGGAATGTTTAATTCTTCTCTTGAGGTAGCTAAATTTTAAGGTGGTCTCATTAAAACTGTATCAGGTTTAAGAGGACACATTAAAAAGCCAAGTAAATTAGGTCCTGATGGCAGTTTCAGAGCTACATTCGAAGACAAGATCCAAATGAGTGATTTAGTCTTCTGCAGGACTTGGGTCAGAATGCATATTGAGAGATTTTATAGACTAATCACAAGTAACGTGAAATTGATGAAAACCATGTGGGAATTGAGGCAGGAGAAATAGATTCCGCTAGAATTCAAACCAGATTCCACTTATTAAGATCAGGAAAGAGTACCTGTGAAATTTGCTCCATTGAGAATACCAAATAATTTATAATAGAACTTGCCTTTTGAAAGCAAGGAGAAGGTATTTAAATGAAAAATAGTTTAAGGTTAAATCTTTGTCATTCAGGGAGAGATTGCGATAATAAGTGGAAAAGAATTTACCTGTTAAGAGCAATATGACAGACAAGGAGAAGGAAGTTTATTCGTTGATCTAGCGATTGAATACTATAAAGAATGAGAAGGAGAAGAAGAGAGAATAGAAGGACATTCAAAAGCAGAAGGTCAAAAAGGCCTAGATTAAAGGACAGAAGTAGCATTTAGAAGAGGGGAAGAGAAAGTATAAGCAATAAAAACAGAAGGATAAATTTATAAAATAAGTTAAGAAATAATAATAATAATAGTAATGAATTATGTGTATAATTAAATATATAATTAAATGAAATATGGTTCTCCTAAGGTTTCATCAAATACAATCGATGTACTGGATGAAACTTTGTCTCCCCGCAAATCTAATAGACCTTATGTAAGAGAGAAAAGGAGTATTAGTAATAAAGTAAAGGATTTCACTTATGATAATTAATTGTTTGATAAGGTAGATAATAAGATTAGAGCCTACCTGCAGAAGAATTAGGTCAATTACGAAAAGACTCTCATTAAATTGTACAAATTGGACTCTCTTAAAAGTTATAAAGCAAAACGATTGTTAGGAGAGCTTAATCAAACCAGAAGGAAATAATAATTTAGCGCTGTTCGTCAAACCATATCTATGTTGAATTCTCATACATCTTTATAGAGAGAAAGAAATAATAGTTTACAATCTTCAAAACAAATGCAAATGGATCTTAAATAAATATAATAGGAATTAAAAAAAATCAATCCTGATATCGAACACAAGGTATTAATGAATATCTCAGTCTTTAAATTTAATCAATCAAATTCTGCTCGTCTAGAATTGGATGAGTGGGAAAGGGTTGCTCTCTAGTATCCATATAAAATTAGACCCAAGATGACAAATTTTGAGTAAGAATTAGATCGTTTAAATAGTCATTATTCAAGAAACGAAAAGTGTTTGAATTAACTCATGCATATCTAAAAAGATCTTCTGCAATACAAATTGCTTTAATAATGATATTTATCTAAATAATTTATATATACTCAGAAATGATCTGGAAAAAGACACAATGTTAGATCTCTTGTTTATGGAAATTGTTGAAGAATATAAATAATTTTTTTTTTTAGCTCTTCCATATCCTATACACGTTCACTCAGATACTTATATTCAGCAGAATTGTAATTAGTAATTATTGTTTCAATGATATTTGATAATTTCTCTTGATTGTTTGGCCAAGTGTCACATAACTAGTTAAATTCTCAAATTACTTTCTTAATATAGGTATATAATGCTTTCTCATATGTTTTAATATCACCATCAGACCAATATATTTTTAATTGTTCCTCCAATTTCGATATTTATTGAATATCATTTATTGCATCTTCAATTGTAGATTTTTAGATTATCCTCTTATATATCTAAGCATCATTATAAGGAGGCGTTTAGTATTAATTAAAGTTGAATTTCTTTAAATTCTTGATATCTTAATTTTGATTGCTAGTGAATATTAATTATGAATACTTCACATCAATCTATTTAGTTTTAATCCATTGTCTCAATTACTTATGATAAGTGTAAACACAATAATCTTTAAATAGAAATTCAACTAAGGGATATCCTTCAGTATCAATTTTAAGATTAGCCTTTATTAAAGGGTCAATGCTTTATTTGCCTTTCTTTTCATCTTCATTAAATAATTGCTTTTAATCCATCCACTCGTAAACATGTTGCATTAGAATTTTAATATCACCTTCATAAGAAATGGTTTTTGTATTTAAATTGATGACTTTAAATTCTCCAGTGTTTTAAAGACATAAGATATAATTCTTCGGACTCAAAACTATCTAACTTAAGAATGGCAATATAAATGGTGACTCCTACCTCATTCCTTTATGATTTTCAATGTATAGCAACGCCTAATCAGTGTATATGACAATTAGATCATCATTATATTGAATATTCTTTATTTACCCCTCTACATAATCAATCCACTTTGGTGTATTATTCTCAATACATCTAATTAAAGTTCCATAGACAGCTTAATTGAATATTCTTTATTATTATTTTTGAACTTCCAACAAAAGAGATTTGTTATTCATTGAAAATGAGTAGCTTTTAGGCAATATTTCATATTATTAAATAATCAACAAAGGCTACTGTTATTCAACCTTTTTGAAAACAGGTTCAGAAGAATTCACATCTAAAGGAATTAACTTTTTCTTGCCATCTACAATAATCTACTTAAATTATGTTTAAGTTTATTTAAGAATTTCTCTTTATTAAAATGCGCTATCAGGAATTTGATTCTTCAATTCATCTTAGACATCTATATTTTCTAATTGCATATCTGCAAATTTGATATTGTCATTATTAATTTTTGGTTAATAAAATCTAATTTATTTAATTGTATTTTTAAGATCTCCGTAAAGACTCTTTATTGCTTACTGTTTCTCTGTTTCATTTAAAACCTAGCCCAAACTCAGTTGAAAATCAATAACAATAATATATTTTTTGGACGTCGTAGCCATTAAAACAGTTCCTTATTGATTCCATGTAATATCCTCTATAAGTTCTCCAGCCTTTTTATGACCCTTAACCAACAGAAATGGTTGTTCATCAACTTAATTCTCATTTATTTACCATAAACTGATATTACCATCATTATCACCAATAGCAATGATACTAAAATATTCATTAGAATTAGAACTTCTTAAATAACATTGGTGAAAATCTAACAACATTGATTGATGAGAATGGACCAATTATCGTTCTAACAACTTGAAAATTCTGGTTTCGATCTAAGATAGCCACTGTTGGGATAGTCTAAGGATGAATGTAATCAATACTTTATCATCTAAATTTGGGACTGCCAAATATCTGCAATCTACACTCCAATCTAATTTCCTATCCTCTCTTTTGGTTGTACATTATTTGCCATGTATTTGGAGGGAAACCGTGATTTCTTGTTTCCAATTATCTATTTTATAAAAATTGACCTTATATTTAAAAATTTATACTGTGTTATCAAATTTCAAGGATACTATGTATTTGTCAAAGGGATCCCAACATATTCCAACTGTTTTTTAACCACAATCTATTTTATGTTAGATTCCATCTTATTTGATATGATAAATAAAGATATTTCCATCTAAAGAGGCAGTAGCTATTCTTTAATCATCTGGAGACCAACATAATGCAGTAATCTCCAATTTATGTCCTTAATAGGTTCGAGATATTGACAAATTGCCGCCATTGAATTACCAAACAATCAATTTATCATTGCTTGTTGCCAAATAGAGTCCTGATGGAGACCATGCTAATTGAGAGATCATTCTCTTCTCCATCTTGCCAATTTAAATAGGATGCAAATTAAATTATGCATTCACTTCGTTTAATAGTAACCAATCTTCTTCTTCACCACTCCCTAATGCTAATATGTTTTTTTTTGATAAACCCAACGATTTCAATCCAGTCTTAGCTTCTATTATGCTAGTATATTTGATTCTTACAGACATATTATTATTTATAATAAATCAATTGATAATTTGGTTATGATTCTTTTTCATTCATTACTATATGATTGAAGAATGGAAGAATCTATCGGCAAACGAAATCATCCTTTATGCTGATTACTACTTTAGGAATAATTGGATTAAGTTTCTGATATTTCTGAGTCACAAAATTACGAGAATAATTAGTCTCAGCAATAAATGGTAGCTTTTTATCACTTTATACATAAAATGGCCAATGATATAGATATCTGTCGTACGATTTTATTATGTAAATAATATTGGATACCACGATATTGCTTTTTCCAATCTCTAAAATTAATTGTGTAGGAAGAAAAAAATGACATTGTACTCTAATTTGGCAGATGATAAGGTTTAAAATTGTCTGACTTCTTAAATCTTTGAGGGATAAAATATTACTTATTTCTAATTTAAGATTTTTTATAATAGTGCCTATACATTATATGTGCTAGAATTCTATAGAAATACTGCTGATTGTTTTGCCCCTCATATATTCATCGGTTAATGTATGTGGAATCTTTCATAAATTTATCATTGTAGTCATCAGTGTATTATGTACTGTATTTACCTTTACATACAAGTTCTTGTTCTTTAAGAACTTAATCTCCATCTCCTTCAAATAAAGTGCTTATTAAATCATTTTCATAATCTTAATCCTGATTATATGCAAACAAATCTTCGATACTTTAATCCCCAACTTAAAGATCTCTCCAAGTTAATGATCTAGAGAGAAGATCACTTAGAAACTGGTAATAAAATCACCTAAATGTGCTTTAAGATGATTGTTCTTTTGCTACTTACTCCTTCTTTTAAAGAGATAGTAATGTTATCGGTTTCTTTTCCTCAATTATAATCTTTTTCTTGTCGTTTATTATTGTATTTCTATTTTCTAGGATTATAAATATAGTTTCTAAATGTCTGGGCTTAGATGTGAAGATAACAATTGATTCTTCAACTTTACAATTTAGTCTTTTTTGTTTTGATTTACTTTTAGCATTGCCATTGTTACATTATTCAGTGAACTCTGATTGCGATAGTGTTATTGATCGCTTACTCTTTAGAAATCTAAAAATATTTAACTAAATGACTGAAGTTTTTCATTCTATTTTTTAACCATCATATTATATATATAATATTTATATATTATATATATTTATTTAGATTCATTCAATAAATTTCAGTTTGGTTTCCTTATTTTTTGGAGGTGTTTAATAATCTACAGAATCAAAATTTAATTTATACCGTTTTGAATTAAAGTTTTTAGTATTTGACTATTATGATTAATTATTTGTACTACCAACTTGATAATACTCTTGAATGTCTTATTACTATCGCTATGTAATTTATTATTCGTCAGTATATAATCTTTTTTATCTCTTTTATTTGTGCCCCATAATGATGAGGCATATGAAGGTACGTTACCACAATCTAAGTCCTCTTCTAGATTAGTAGTCAGTGAATTAAAGTTGAAATTTGGTTGAGCTGGATTATTCATTAAATTTTAATTATTCTCCTGATTAGGTATTTAGTATCATCTTTTTCAACAAAAAATTCCACAAAGTGACTCTAACTGTTTTTGATGGTGCTTAAATTTTAGTAATTTTTACTTTTTAGAAATTTTGGCTACCTCAAGAGATAAGCCGAGAGCTATACTATATGTAAATAGATTTATCAAAACAAGATTGCACAATCAAAATAATAATAATTTACAAACTTTATAAAACATCAAAAATCAATTTATAAATAAACATATTAGCTCAGGAATATTTTAAATTAGTAAAATTTATGTATGAGGAGATAAAATCATCAATAAAATATTCTAATTTTAAGAAAAAGATTGAAATTATGTTAATTATAGAAAAACACAATATGAGTTGTTCTAGGATTCAATAAATGTAGAGGAAATTAATCATTTTTATGCAATTAACCTTTTAAAATTATTTAATATGAATATCTTCATACATATTCATTCTAAAGTATAAATTGATTCAAAACTATCTCTAGATGATTCTTGATTATAATAAGAATAAATTCATTAATTAAAAATGAGATTTGATATGATGGATGATGTTTTTTCTTATTATTTTAATTTTTGATTAAATACATTGAAAGGATTGTTAACTTAATGAGCAATTTATAAAAGTGTTAAAATTTCATTTTGATTTACGTGAACAAACCTTTTACATGCTTATGAATGTTCTTGATCTGGTGCCAATTTGTATGCGTCTGCAGTAATATAAAATGTTTTGGTTTGCTATAAAAATGTCTTAATTTTGTTAGATTTTGTATATGCAATTTTATTATTCGATTAGGAAATATTTGCCACAATCCTTTGACTGTCTGAACGAAATTAAGAGACAACTTTATTCATTTATTTATTATTGAAGCATTTTAAATATAAATTATGAGGCATAACATAATTCTGGGGAATCTCCTGCCTTATTGAATTTATTTACTTAACTCTAATTGATATATATCCAATGTATGTACTTTTCATTTAAATTTCTAACTAAGCATTCTTACGATTTGCTAGCTTGACCTGTCTATTTCAGTTTTAAAGTTTGATCATATTTTGGATATCCTCTCTATTTGACGATAGATCTATTTGTTAATATTTATTTTGCATAATAAAATAAATATATATTTTTGAATCATTCACTATCAACTAGAGATTTTTTGTTTTATTTCTGTTTATAGACTTCAATATTATCCAATTCTACTTGAGTCATATCAAATGGTAAAGTAGCCGACATAACAGCTAGAACAATCATACAACCTGAATATAAATAAAAGGGAGAATAGGGGTCTTCAGAGTACATAGGGTATATAAAATATGGTGATATGACACCCATAAATTTACCAACCGTTTGTGTCATCCCTACTCCCATGGAACGATATTAAGTTGTATAATTTTCATTCATAATGACCATTTCTGTTGTAAACATCACTTTAAGTAAAAAAGATATTATTGTTAATCCATAAATAAGAAAGGAATCTTAAAAAATAATTAGTATGAGACTAGTTACAAATATCATCACTGATAAGATCATAACTAATTTAGATCGACCTCCTGTTTTTTTGCTATCAATAATGAAATATACAGCAATCCCTGCCACCAATTCAGCAAGCATCATATACATTTAAGCCATAAATCCTTTCTAAGAATCTCCTAACCAAAAAGGCATTAGATAATAAAGTGTAGTTTCAATTATTGATGTTAACATAAATACAATCCAAATTCTAATTGTAAAATTGATATATTATCTTGAAAATAAATACTTTACAGTCTTAATAGGTTCTTATTCTTAATTTATTTATTATTATTGTTCCAAAATCCCCTATTTTTATTCATCAGTCAATTAATATGATGTTCCATTATTTACTTTTCCTATATGTTCTAATTCTAAGAAACCTTAATCATAGTTAAATTTTGTAAAATAATATCTCGGAGACTCCTTTAAATAAAGAATAGAGCTGACAAAACACAAAAAAAGTGGAAGACTATTTACAATCAACAACAGTCTCCAATGACCTGATTTGAAGTCGTTTAAAAAAATCATCTACAATCCTGTACAATAGATCTTTCCAATAATAAATACAGTTGCAACTATAGTCATTATTTATCCTCTAATTTTAGCTGGTACAATTTCACTTATGACAACATGTCCTAATGGAATAGTTGTCCCAAAGATAACACCAAAGCAAAACCTTAAGACGAGAATTTCTACAAAGCTTTGTGCAAAACTATGCCATAAAAGTAATAAAAATGCTAGTAGGCTGGAGTATAGTAATGTTTTCGCTCTGCCTACATGATCAGCATAAAATGCACACAATAAAGTACCACTAACAATTCCTATAAAATATGAACTTGTCATTAATGATATATCAAGATCATTTAAATCCCATTAGTTTTTTAATATTGATTGAAGAGTGCCAATCAAGGTTTTCTCAATTCCGTCTGCAAAATCGATCATTGAAATTATACAGAGTACTATATATTAAAATTTTCCCATTTTTATGCTATTTTCAATTACATGATCTAGTGTAATCATTATTAAATATATATTATTTTATAAAATAATCAATACTATACCCTCTATTTAACTTGTCAATCTCCAATTATATAAAAAGTCCAAATCCAATTCACTAAAACAAAAGTATAAGGTAATATAATAAGTCAATTGAAAATACTTATAAATCGATGTAATAAATAATTATAAAGAGTTAGATGTGAATATGCAAGAATAGAAATTAGATAATTATTTAATTTAGAATGAACATAAATTAAACTTACCTTGATACATTGAATTATTAAGTATTAATCAATATTAATTAAAGAAACAATAATCAAGAATTGTTACATGAATTGTAAAAAAAATTAGAAACCAAAAAGATATGAAATTGTAATCGAAAAATCGGATAATAAGAAGAATCTCATCCTTATCTGAAAGATAAACTTTAATATCATAATAAAATTCAGATTTTTAGCAAAAGTATTCTAATTTATCCATTTCTTCGTAAAACCTCTTAAGATGATAAATTAAAATCATGATTCAAACCTAAAGTAATGGCCCCATTCCATAGGAAGTTTATTTATAAAACAAGATATCGATCATAAGACCATAACACGTTTGGAATTAATTCTGGCCTACTCAACCCTTTATAAATACACTCCATTATAAAGCTAACCTCATAATTAAAAAAATCCCCCTTTATAATTAATCATCTTTAAGTTTGCAACTCTTAAAGACCTCAAAAATATTAAAATAAAAGCTATTTAAACAAATATTTTGAATAAAAGTGAGTTGAAATGTTTGAAACCAAATATCAACATACTCTCAATGTATCAAATATTGTTTATCCTACCGCAATATTTTGTTTAAGCAAAATGCAAATTCTTTCAAAAAACATATTAGCAAACTCTGAATCCTCTCAAACTTTATGAAGAATAATAAAGATATGATTTAATTATTCATCTATACAAGTTGTTATGAGTGTTTTATAAATATTATCAAATTCTTGTAATGTTTGCAAAGTTCTCAAGATCCTTAAAGAAATTTAATTGAAAATTAACCTTTAAACAACTATATTATAAATTTTAAGGATATAAAAATTATTCCACAAAATTCCAACCCTTACTCATCATAATCCATGGAAACCTAGCTAAGATAGGTTGTTGGCTGAGTTGAAAAAAATTAAATAGTTTGATTGGATTGAAAGTTGCCGAATCCTTTATTCATGCATTTGGTACAAATACCTTGACAAAAAATTCCTCTTTTAGAATGTGCCTGAGAACAATAATGTTTAATGAGTAAGAGAGCTATCAAAATTAAAATGTTTAAGAATATTAAAATAGCACATCAGCTCAATAAACATATTATTAATTTTAAGTTTAAACAGCACCTACTTATATTTCACTATTTAGAATTTTCCATACATTCCTTAACTAATGATAGAGACAATATCTATTTATCCAACATAATTTCAATCTAATAATCAACAATGATGTTTATATTTTTATATTCGAGGATAAACAAATTAATGTTATTAATTTGTTTATCCTCCTCTTATCTTATAGAAACTCAATCAAAAAAATACTTTATTAATATTTTTAATGAAATCAATCAAATTAATTGACAATTTATAAGCATTTAACATTGATTATAAAATTACTGCCAGACATGCACTCTTTCTCACATATGGAATGTATTTGACTTATTAATACTATACATAAATGAGAACATGCGATGATTAAATTCGAGATGTATAATCATATATTGTATCAAAGGAATTGCTGAAATAAAAATCATAAATACATCAATAATATTAACAACTTTATAGTAAATCTAATGAAGGAATACTTGACTGCACCTTAGACAAAGGAGATTGGATATTTTCAAACTAAAATCCTAAAATTAATGAATATTTTAATCAGAAGCTTTCGTTAAATTACAAATACCAAACAATTATGCCTCTTTATTTATGTGCAGGCACTGGTTTCCCATCCTTGACGATTCTTTGTGGCTATTTTCAAAATAGGGACGATAGATTTGTTTACGGACTTATTGCAGCAGCAATATTTAGTGGCATTAAAATTATTGTTAAAGTATGAGTTTTAATGTTCTATAAATCATAATTAATCATTTTTACAAAAATCATACTCTATATTAACAATTCTAGAACATAAAATTGATTTACATAATGAATTTCTTTTTAGAAAATCAAACATTATCAAATGATGGTTAATGTGTAATAGAAACTTACTCTTTGAAGAGTGTTATATTGGGAATAATTTGTTTATTCAGAAATATTGTATGCTTTTTGGTTTATTTTATACACCTTTATCTTTTGAAGAATAATACTAAAAATTTATATCAAATAATAATGCTGAAATTTCATCAATTCTTAATTAATATTATGTCTTCTAGAGTAATTCTAAAACATTGAATTAAAATTTAAGCCAATTAGACAAATTAATTTCGAAGGAGCATTTGATTAATTAGACAATTATATTGAATTAATTTATGAAAATACCAAAAATATTTAAGATATATTTATGACACCTTATTAATAGAATTATAATATTAATTCTAATAAACTAATTATTAGATTTGTCAAATTTTATCAGAAAATCCACCTTTTAATCTTTCTGTCATATGAATTGTAGATTCTTTTTGAATATTATAATCTTCCATCTTTTTGCAATCATCTAATACTTTTCCTGCAAATATCAATTTTTGTTGTTGTGGTGGGATTCCAATTTTTTCATAGATCAACTTTTTAAGTTCTCCTATAGTTTTATCGTATTCTGTTGTTATGGTAATTGTTTTTCCTGTCATAGTTTTGACAAACACCTAGCCTCCTCCTTTCAATCGTAATAATAATTTCAACATTGTATTGTTTTCAATTACAAATCGTGATAGAGTTTAATTGTCATCTAATTCAGACTATTCCAAAAGTATCCTTTGCTAATTAAAAGGAATGCCTTCAAATTCTTAAACTTTTAGTTTAACCTTTCTTATATTATCTGATGGCTCAAAAGGGATGGCAATAGTTTTTCCTGTTAGGGTTGACATTAACAGCTGCATTACTTGTTTTTCTATTAAATATTATATAAATATTAATTTTTCTTATTCAGAATAATAATGATGGTAATATATGACTGAGGTAATTTTCATTTAATTACAATCATCATCAATTTTGGAAAATTATATCATATTTCGTTATATTATTTGTATTTAAATTTATGTTTGAATAGAGGAAGAGTAATGTCGATATTTTGTTTAAAAAATCGCTTAGATCAGGAAACAAATCAGCTAAACTGACAAAAAAGAATTCTTAATTTCATGATAGTGACACTATCCAAAGATAGTTGTCTCAGATTGTATTCGAAATGTAAAATAAGAATAATTCCTTTGAACTTGCCATATAATTACTCACTGAAGAATCTAGTGTATTGAGATAGCATTTATCTTTCTAAGTATTCATTCCTGAAATCAGAACACAATTTGGTGAGAAACTCTTAAAAGATAAGAATTTATGGATAATAATTTTAGTTGTGTTTCACTCCTTATGCAAAGAAAAATCCAAATACTCAGATTTTTTATAAAAAAACATTCTCAATTCAATGTAAAAAAACTATCAGGATGAGAACATAATGAAATCTATTCAAAAATAGGCAAATTAAATTATTTCAACATCTGAAGTAGGGGAATAACAACTACAAAATTAATCTGCATCTAAGTGTTCTAAAAAGCAACTTAGAGTTTAGTTTTAAGAAAATAAAGAAAACTAATAAAGTGCTAGTAACCACAAATAATACTAAGTTTCGAATCAAATTGAATATAGTAAAGAACAAGAAAACACATTATCCAATGAATAATTAAAAAAGAAAATTGATGATTTGACATAGTCATGTTTAAAAATGAATAAAGAGTCTTTAGAAAACTAAGAAATAGTTGTTCCTTAAGTTGAAGAAATAATCAACGAATAAGTAAAAGAATTAGAGGAAGAACTTAAAAATAAACATGACTAATCTAATAAAACGCAAAGGTAGTCAATAACTGAAAAACTCTTCTCATAATTAGGTTTTAAAGCCTGGAGAAGTGAATAAAAATAAATAATACCAAATCCAATTTAAACAAAAATGAGAGGTATTAGATTATTAGATGGCTTGGATTCAAGAGAGCTTCAAACCAGTTATGTGGCTAGAGTTGAGAAGATTTTGGTCCCAAACCTCAACGATAATGGATTGCATTCAATTGTCTAAGTAAGATTTTTATTTATTAAGTTATCTGCAAAAAATTCATAAGAATTATTAGAATGGGGATTTTATGCTATCATTTAATTAAGCAATTAAGATTGCGCGAGTAAACAATATTTTGAAGATATGCAATATTATAAATAATTGGTTGGCTTTAAATTTAGATAGGAGAAACAGATATATATTCCATTTGGTAAATATGAATTAATAATCTGAATTTTTATACTTAATATACATTTTAATCAAAAATTATCTTGAATAATTATAAACAATCTAAAATTTAAAATCAGCCGAAGGAAAGCAAAATTATAATCAAGACTAAGTAGATACATAAGTAGAAGGGTTTAACAAAACGAATATAATAGATTAAGCAGATAATAGGAATGCTCTAAACATATCTTGAAGAAATACATCATAAAATATTTAATTCTTACCTAAAATTAATTATTGTATTTAAAAAAAGGACACATATTTTATAAGTTTAATATGTGTAATCTGTAAACTTTAGAAAAGAAGCTCAATTAATAATTTAATTAGGAAGTGGCTTTTATCTGTCTTATAAATAAACTAGATGTGGTAATAAATTAACAAAAAACTTTAATAAAAATGAAAAATATTTTCAAAATTTAGAATCTGCCATTTTAGTAATTGAAAGCTAACTTTAAACTTTACTCATCTAAGAATTAAATTATTCTAACTTATCAATAAATATATTAAACATAAATTTTGTTGAATATAGTTAATTAAATATTAAAAATTTTGTAAATTGGGAGCTGATGAGATGAGAAATATTACTAAAATGTGTGCCTTTGGTGAAAAATGTAAAAAATAAGTTATGAAGTTTAAATGAAAATTGTTTATTGTTTAAATGATATACAAAATGAATGAATGAATATAGAGAGAAAATCATTAGCCACCTCTTAATCTCAAAACTAAGTGGAGAGTGGATTCCTTTTAGATGTTATAATCTGAAAGTGTTCTTCCATCTTCTAATTACTTTCCTGCAAAAATGAGTCTTTATTAATCAGGTGGGATTCCTTCCTTGTCTTAAATTTTAGCCTTGACAGCGTCAATAGTGTCTGATGGTTCAACATCAAGAGTGATGGTTTTTCCAGTCAAAGTCTTAACGAAAATTTACATTCCACCTCTCAATCTCAAAACTAAGTGGAGAGTGGATTCCTTTTAGATGTTATAATCTGAAAGTGTTCTTCCATCTTCTAATTACTTTCCTGCAAAAATGAGTCTTTATTAATCAGGTGGGATTCCTTCCTTGTCTTAAATTTTAGCCTTGACAGCGTCAATAGTGTCTGATGGTTCAACATCAAGAGTGATGGTTTTTCCAGTCAAAGACTTAACGAAAATTTACATTCCACCTCTCAATCTCAAAACTAAGTGGAGAGTGGATTCCTTTTAGATGTTATAATCTGAAAGTGTTCTTCCATCTTCTAATTACTTTCCTGCAAAAATGAGTCTTTATTAATCAGGTGGGATTCCTTCCTTGTCTTAAATTTTAGCCTTGACAGCGTCAATAGTGTCTGATGGTTCAACATCAAGAGTGATGGTTTTTCCAGTCAAAGTCTTAACGAAAATTTACATTCCACCTCTCAATCTCAAAACTAAGTGGAGAGTGGATTCCTTTTAGATGTTATAATCTGAAAGTGTTCTTCCATCTTCTAATTACTTTCCTGCAAAAATGAGTCTTTATTAATCAGGTGGGATTCCTTCCTTGTCTTAAATTTTAGCCTTGACAGCGTCAATAGTGTCTGATGGTTCAACATCAAGAGTGATGGTTTTTCCAGTCAAAGTCTTTACGAAAATTTACATTCCACCTCTCAATCTCAAAACTAAGTGGAGAGTGGATTCCTTTTAGATGTTATAATCTGAAAGTGTTCTTCCATCTTCTAATTACTTTCCTGCAAAAATGAGTCTTTATTAATCAGGTGGGATTCCTTCCTTGTCTTAAATTTTAGCCTTGACAGCGTCAATAGTGTCTGATGGTTCAACATCAAGAGTGATGGTTTTTCCAGTCAAAGTCTTAACGAAAATTTACATTCCACCTCTCAATCTCAAAACTAAGTGGAGAGTGGATTCCTTTTAGATGTTATAATCTGAAAGTGTTCTTCCATCTTCTAATTACTTTCCTGCAAAAATGAGTCTTTATTAATCAGGTGGGATTCCTTCCTTGTCTTAAATTTTAGCCTTGACAGCGTCAATAGTGTCTGATGGTTCAACATCAAGAGTGATGGTTTTTCCAGTCAAAGTCTTAACGAAAATTTACATTCCACCTCTCAATCTCAAAACTAAGTGGAGAGTGGATTCCTTTTAGATGTTATAATCTGAAAGTGTTCTTCCATCTTCTAATTACTTTCCTGCAAAAAATGAGTCTTTATTAATCAGGTGGGATTCCTTCCTTGTCTTAAATTTTAGCCTTGACAGCGTCAATAGTGTCTGATGGTTCAACATCAAGAGTGATGGTTTTTCCAGTCAAAGTCTTAACGGAAAATTTACATTCCACCTCTTCAATCTCAAAACTAAGTGGAGAGTGGATTCCTTTTAGATGTTATAATCTGAAAGTGTTCTTCCATCTTCTAATTACTTTCCTGCAAAAATGAGTCTTTATTAATCAGGTGGGATTCCTTCCTTGTCTTAAATTTTAGCCTTGACAGCGTCAATAGTGTCTGATGGTTCAACATCAAGAGTGATGGTTTTTCCAGTCAAAGTCTTTACGAAAATTTACATTCCACCTCTCAATCTCAAAACTAAGGTGGAGAGTGGATTCCTTTTAGATGTTATAATCTGAAAGTGTTCTTCCATCTTCTAATTACTTTCCTGCAAAAATGAGTCTTTATTAATCAGGTGGGATTCCTTCCTTGTCTTAAATTTTAGCCTTGACAGCGTCAATAGTGTCTGATGTGTTCAACATCAAGAGTGATGGTTTTTCCAGTCAAAGTCTTAACGAAAATTTACATTCCACCTCTCAATCTCAAAACTAAGTGGAGAGTGGATTCCTTTTAGATGTTATAATCTGAAAGTGTTCTTCCATCTTCTAATTACTTTCCTGCAAAAATGAGTCTTTATTAATCAGGTGGGATTCCTTTCCTTGTCTTAAATTTTAGCCTTGACAGCGTCAATAGTGTCTGATGGTTCAACATCAAGAGTGATGGTTTTTCCAGTCAAAGTCTTAACGAAAATTTACATTCCACCTCTCAATCTCAAAACTAAGTGGAGAGTGGATTCCTTTTAGATGTTATAATCTGAAAGTGTTCTTCCATCTTCTAATTACTTTCCTGCAAAAATGAGTCTTTATTAATCAGGTGGGATTCCTTCCTTGTCTTAAATTTTAGCCTTGACAGCGTCAATAGTGTCTGATGGTTCAACATCAAGAGTGATGGTTTTTCCAGTCAAAGTCTTTACGAAAATTTACATTTCTATTTTATTATAATTATTATCCAAAAGTATTGATTCAGAAATTAAGTATTATATTTTCTCCGATCAATTCTGTCTTAAGAATGTTATTCTATAATTTGGATCAATTCGATTAGGAATCTATTTTGAAGACAATTTCATCCCGTCAAACTCTATTTCAAATCAGTTTTCACATACTTATCTATGTAGAGAAGATATTTTTCACAAAATGGTAAAACTCTCGAAATCCATCTTTGATAATATCTGAGTTTATCCATTTAAGATATACATCAAAATCGATAAGTTAAATTTTACTTTCACTATTCATTATTTTCTTGTATTCTTATTTTTTTTTTATTTCTTAATTAACTTTATTCAATATTGTTTTTCTCTTCTTTTTTCTCATTCTACTTTAATTTTCCCTAAAACCATCCTAATTTATTTTTTCTTTTTTCTATATCTTTAATTCCTAAATATACATATTATCATTATTTCATGTATAGCCAAAGTAATATTATTGTATAATTCGCTTTTAGAATGTAAGAAGGATTTCATTTTATCTTAAATTTCACATCCTTGTTGATCTACTAAAGAAGTTGATTTGCGAAAACTTTTGCCTTTTTTACATTTGATGCCAATTATCATCACTTGGAATATTTAGCAAAACTTAGGAAGCATTTGCTAAAATCTATTCTTTTATGAGAGCTTTATAAATGCCGAATATTAGAGAGGCAAAAAAAGCAAATCAACCCATTCAAGTATACAAGTTAAGTTATTAGATTTCAATTGTATATTAGATCTTGGCTTTTTTTTTATAGTGATTTATAATAACTTTATTATTTTTACTTTTTAAGTCTATCTTAATATGCCATGGTCCAAACTGAAATCCCAATAAAAATATTTAATGCTCAATTTTTTTAAAATTGACTTTATAAAATTTTATTCTGCTCTATTGGCATGAGGCAAATTACTATAATACAAATTATTGGCGTCTATGTTAGAGATTCAAGGAGAGCGTGATGTTAATGAAATCAAACGATTAAAATAAGTAATAATCACATGAGATCTAGGAATGTCAGGCGAATCCATAAAGACTGATTTATTCCAATTTTTGGAAAATTAATTCTGGACACTCCTAAAAAGAATAGCTAATTTGAAAGATAAAAAATTTGAAAAAAATGCTTTATTTAAGAAAGAAAGAAATTGTGATAAAAGGACTTCCATTGAAGTGACAAATGTGAAATAAGGAAATAGATTGATGATCTATACACATTAAACATAAAAAAAAAAAATGATATGTATAAATATATGTTGAATTCTTAAGATAACTTTATGAAGCAGTGAAACAGGTGATGATGTGGAGCAGTTCCCCCCTATCAAAAAATGATGTTATCCTAAAAATATTCGATGTTAGAATATTAATTAATATCATTTGCAATTTTTATATAAAGGAAATGTCATTATTGGCATTTTTATGAATTCAAAAATTAACCTTATTTTAATTGAAAATTAATTTGGTTTAACCAACTCAATAAGATTTCTAATGATGATATTATTGAATTCTATTCATATTTTTTACATTTTTCTCTCGATTCTAAAATCAGGTGACCTGATTTTCCTATTATTTATGTCATTAATTGCTCCATTAACTCAGTGAATTGTTTTAAATCAAATTTTTAAAAGCAATATTTCTTAAATAAATCTGAATCAGGTTTGATTGGTTTCAAAGCATAGACTGCCCATTTCTTATCAGATTATGTTTTTCATCTATGCCCCAGCTTTGATTATAGTTCAATTTGACTTTCATCAACTCAACTATCACACCTTATTTAACATTCGCCTCAAAGCACACCAATTATTAAAAAATATTTACCTTAAATTTAGAGACCAATATAAGCTTATTGAATGGGCTGATGAACATCTACACTAGATAACAAGAGTGGAACTTCCTCAACAATTTATTAATTCATAATATTTAAATAGCAAATATGTTTGATGACAAATTAGTTTATTAATCAATTTTAGTTTTGATTAAATAGAACAGAGTTGTATATCACGCATATCACTCCTGATCGTGAAATAGGGAAAATGTGCTTATTTTCCCCACTTTTAATAATAATTATTTAAGAAAAAATATAATGACCGTTAAATTTTCAGAACTGTTGAAATTTGGTCGATTAAAAGAAAATATATAAAAGCAAGACTGCCCTTTAAAAAAATTATATTATTATTTGGCAATGCGTGCATTGCGAAAAATGGAAAGATTTTTCTAACATCTAAAGGAATGTCCAAAAAAGAATTTTTCTTTGAGTAAAATATTTCACAACTAATTCAAAAGTCTTTCGCTTGGAAACTAGAACCAATATAATTGTGGAATGAAAATGAGAATAATTTCTAACCAATTGGCTATCAAGAATAACATTATAATTTGATTTTTATGTTAAGTTGAGCGACTTTTAGAGGCTTGGAATTTATATGATAGAAGCAAAAATTTGTATAAAGGACCAATCAGGCGTTTCTATAAATGGTTATGGCAAAAGTAGAACTGCACAAATCTTGAGTAGATATTTTAAATACATATAAACAATGAAGCTATGTCTTCATGATATCAAGCTTTAAGCACGCTTAGAAATTAGAAAGAATAAATTTCAAAACAAGATGAGTCAACTTATTGAGAAGAAACAAAGTAAATTTTAATGGAAGGCAAAAAGTTAAGACCAATAACAAGTTGGAATTAATAAACAATTCAAGAAGTATAGTTAATATCAAAATTTAGTTTATTGGTGACCTTGTATTAAATAAAATAGTAACTCTAGCATTTCGCATTTTTATTTTGGTGAATTTCAGAACTTTCATAAATAAATTTTGAGCAGATATGCTCTGAAGTTGTTGAATATTTACCAAAAATATAAATTTAATTAGGTCAAAAGCAGAAAGAATATTAGACATTCCAATTTGTCTAATTAAAGTTACTAAAAATTATATGGAATTAATAGATATATCATCAGACCAACATGTGAATATAAAATAGCATTTCATACAATGCCATGCAAATGTTATTATAACTGGCACTTGTATTTTACAGTAATGTAAATCTAATAAAACAAAAGAATATCTTTAATTCTTTAGTATTTCAGCTATCATGACCTGTGAAATTTTATAATAAACATTTTTCAGAGAGGTTTGATCATCAGAAGTGATCCTGCATGATATATTAGAGATTTAGTATCTCGTTATGCCTCTTGAATATATGTGGCCTTAGAAGATGTAAGGAGCTTACTTTTATATATATTATTCGTTGAATTTTGTTTATAATAATAATCATAAACTTTTCTTTATTACAATTTCGATTAGTAAAGAGTAAGACGGAAGAAGCTTAAAAAGAAAAAGATAAGCATGACGAGAGTATTAAATACATAAAGGACTATCTTAAGAAAAGTCAATGGTTCAACTACTTTAGCTCTAACTATGCAAATCTACATATTTTTTGAATCTTTATTATTAATATCCTTATTTTAAAAATGCTCTCATAACGATATAACTAAAATTGTTGCGAATTTACCATTATTTTTAATTTATCTTAATATTAAAATATTCTATTTATTCCTGAATTCATTAAAATTTTTTGAAAAACTGTTATTTTCATTGACTTATCAAAAAAATTGTAAAATACTCTATTTCACTATTATCTAAATTTATTAATCAGTTTTATGATTTACAATTTACTTAAATATTAAAAAACAAAATTTGATATGATTTTTATATTTTATTTATTATATAATTTAATGAATTAAGGAGATAATTTTTTGTAATTTTTCATCATTACATAGTCAAGAATTAATTGATGGTTTTCGATCTTTTGAATCCTAAAGTTAAGGAGATGAAAAGGGATTTAAAAACCCGTTCAATCAACTATAAAGAGCAAAGAAAAAAATCAGTAAACAGTTATATTAGAAGTAACTATATTCACCTCAATAAGCCTACTAAGGCTCTACTTCAAATTATTTTTCAATGAATAGGTAAAGCTTCAGCATAAATGAAGAAGCAGTATAATTTCAAATTGAGAGAGAAATTCTAATACAAACTTAACTTCAGAATGTTATTGTTTTAATTTAGAAAAAATAACAGATTGCAAAAAGCACACTGATTCTGTTCTTGATTTATTGCGTGGGTTTAATAAAGATAACGAAGCTGCTATATAAGAGGGAATTCAATCCAATAAGTTGCTTCAATAAAGTAAAATAAATGCAATAGAAACACAGGAATACCATTAATTATTGAAAAATGTCTAAAATTTAAAAAAATAAAGTTTAATTGATAAACATTCATTAATTTAATAAGAAATAAAATAAATATAGGATGAATATATTGAATATAGATAAAATTATTAGCAAAAATATGAAATCACCCAACAATAAAGATAAGTAATAGAGGGACTTGATGGAAAGAAAGCAAAATAAAATTGAAATTGTAGGAATAATCAACTGTTATATACAATGCAAATGCATTAAAACTTTTAGAAGAAATGCGTAATAAGGATGATCCAAGAGATTTATTTTAGTACCACTTTGAGTAACGATAACATTTAATTCGATACAAAAAGAAGTTATCCTAGTCTGAGGCCCACTCATCAAATCAAGCATCTATAATGAATATTTTTGCTACATAAGTAGGTTAAGTAGCTCAGGAAATAGTTGAGGCTACAATAGAAGATGAAATTGATTTGAAATTACTAGAATTGATAAAAAATGTAAATAATGAATTGAATGAGTGTATTTTGCAATAGGATTTATTGGCTTTTACAGATCAAGTAGTTCAAAACTATTAAGAGTATAAAGAATAGTTTGATAGGTTAGGAGTTGAGTGTATTTAGTTAAAGGAAAAAAAGTATGAACTTTAGTCAAATATGAGAGAAATAATTTATTGTAAATATCCTGAGACTTCAAATGGTCTCTTACCTTTGAAATTAGAGATTCTTAATTTTTTATTATTTTTATTTATATAAAATTTTTTAATATAATAGGTTTGCTTTTCGATAAAAACTTTTATTGTCTATATCAGATAACTTTAATAGCAATTAGATTACTTTAAATATATTATCAACAAGTGTTGAACTAGATTTAAGGGAATAGCAGAATGAGAATGAAATAAAACGAGTATAAAATGCAGGGATTAGGTTGATTAATTTTTTGAGAAATCATGTGGCAAAGGTTAATCACTTAGTAAAACATATTTAAGAAATTAGTGAATAGTCCCATCTACTATATTTTTAGTATTAGAATAATTAAAGAGTTCTTTATATATAAATGAGATAAATCAGAACACCAACCAAAAAGAAGCCAGCCATGTTTGCTACAACAAACTTAGAATAGAAATAAGATTTAGTTCACATGAAACTTTCAAAATTATTGTCTCAAAGATAAATGCTAAATACGAGTCATATTCCGAAGAAACATGCTCATACGTTAATCACAAATTTTAAATACTTATAATCAGTTCAAAAATTCATTAAGTCTCTCCACTTTGTTGAGGTAGAAAACATATTTATTCAATAAGAGATAGTGGATGAGTAAAAGAATTAAATTATTGATTTAGTTTATCAAAAGAAGTTTAGAAATATTGTGAGGTATATGACCCAGATGAAGAAGCAGTAATGAAGTTTTTAGAAACAAAAAAAATGTTCTTCCAGCATCATTATGATAAAGCACTAGAGGGATTTTGAATAGTGCTCTCTCAAAATTAAGTGATATACACAAGAAGCTAAAATTTACATTTAATAAAGTATTTAGATTGCATATTTTCAGTGAGATTAAAAGGTTTAGATTTTAGTGAAGGAAAGTTTAAAAGTGGATGCGCTTTTAATTGTAAAGAACTACAGATGAAATCATGCTAGCGCATAGAATCAAATCATTTTATTTCTAGTTAACAATCATTTGATAATGTCTCGATTGATCACTCTTAGCATAGTAGAGCTCATGGAGGAAAGGATTTATTTGATTTGTTAAAAAAAATGACTAATGTCTATGATATGCAAGAAATAGTATAGTAGGATTTTGAAGATGTAACTTAAGTTTTATTAGTATAAGAGTATTGACAAAGAGAGGGATCGATTGAAATAATAGTAATACTTTATTAAAAGTTTAGTTAATATAAGAAATAAAACACAAAAGAATTTAGATGATGATGTATTTTACAGACTAAATCCTTAAAGGAAAAAATCCAAATAAAGAATTTAGAAATTAGTCGAGTATTTTGAGACATATGAGGATCAGTAAACTTTTATAAATATTTGCTTAGGTTCAGCAAAGAGCAGCTGTTCAATTGATTAAGACATTTAGGAAATTATTCAATTCTTTAGATAAGAAATAAAGTGACACCTAAACTCAAAAAAAGATATAAACTAAATCATTTTAAACTAACTTTAATCAACTGCCTAAAATACTTTAACTGTAGGAGATGATGCGGAGGCTAAATGGAAGAAAGAATGTAAAGCCAAAAAAATTTTGAATGGAATTTCAGTGAAGGAAAATTAGATGGAAAAATTGGGGTCATTAGAAGTTATTTGATAATATAAATAATTAATATGGATAGATTAAAAGATATTGAGAGTATGGCGCATGGACATGCTGGTGCTTTAGCTGGCCTCTTTTCTACTTGCCTACTTTATCCTCTAGAAAACATAAAAACAAGAATGGCAGCATCCTAATAGAAAGAGGCCATCCAAGAGGTTATTATTCAAGTGTGGGATTAGGAAGGGGTCTGGGGATTTTTTAAAGGTGTCACTCCTCTAGCTTTAGGCAACTATATTTCATATGGAGTCTACTTTTTTTGGTACACATATAATATTTTATCAGAAGGTATGAGTATTTTAAACATTTGTTTAAAACAGATATTGCTAATTCATTTGACTTAATTAAGCCATCCTTAGCATCAGCTATTCTCACAACATTTGTAACAAATCCATTTTGGGTTGTGTAATCAAGGATGACAGTCAGCAAAGATAATCTGAATTTTTTTTATAAGACTAAGCAAATAATTGAAAAAGAAGGATGGGAGGCATTAATGAAAGGTTTATAAGCCTCACTGATATTAACAATAAATCCGATAATTCAATTTGTCATCTATGAAGCATTCAAAAGAAGACTTTAATATGTAGAAAATTAAGCTTTAGTTAATTTTATTGGAGGAGCAATATCAAAGGCCATTTCCACAATTTTAACATATGTTTAAATTTTATTCTGCAATATTAGCCTTATCAGCTTCTGAGGACCAAAATACATGTAAAGAAAAATAGTTCAAAATCCTATTTTTCAGCAGTAGAAAAGATTCTCAAAAATGAAGGAATTCAAGGATTATTTAAAGGTGATCTATTCTCATTTACTATTAGGATTGACACCAAAATTGTGTTAATCAGTATTAAATTCTGCATTTTTACTTATGTTTTATGAAAAAATATATGAGATCATCAAATAAGGTATAATCCTTATCATTATTGAAATTTTAAAATATCGCAAAAAATTAAGAAAACTTTAAAAGCTAAAATGATAAACGAAATTTAATTTATTTATGTTTTTATCTTATTTAATTCAAGCAATTTATTAAAGTTTTTATTTGTATAAAGAGTTCAAAAAAACTCTTGATGGGCATTTTTTTGGATTCTTATCATCAAAATCTTTTTAAGTAGTTGAATTAAATTAACCATCAAAAGCTGGAATCATTCTAACTTTCTAAATGTATGAGTTATTAAATTTACTTATTCAGAGTCAATTTTATTCAATTTTCCAGTTTGATAAGGCTTATAAAAAGCACTATTTGTAGATTGATGAATAAAAGGCAATTCGGGTGATATTGGACTTTTAAAGCTGCTTTTATTTGCAGTTGTTAGAAATTCTTCTCTTGGGATGGGCTTTTTATAAAAGTTATCCTGATAGGTTGAATGAGTAGTCATTGGCATGTCTACTACAGTAGGATGATGAGGAGGATTAATCTTAAGAGAAGACATTCCACCTCCAGCGTAGTCAAGCTAATATAAATCTGAATTATGTTACCCTGTAGGCTGAGGAACTACTGAATGGAATCAAAAACACTTTTTGTTCAGGTTTTAAAGATTCTGCTGGCTTAGCATCAGTGTGAGCTTAATATGTGCTCTAAAATTTAATTAGTATTTTAGTACTCTTTAAATTGTATCAATATCCATTGGCAATTAACTCTTGTAAGTTACATTATGATCAATAAGAGGAATTTACTTCTATTTGCCATGAGTGATAAAATCCCTTTAATATAATGATTCTTATCCTTTCTTAAAATCATTTGACAAAAGCATTTTTGGACATTTGCATTATCCACATATGCATCTGCCACAAATACAATCCCCTTTGAGATGATTGAAGAATGCTTCGTTTTTATCCAATAGTTTTCCAAAATGAGTTGTCAATAATTAACTCTAATAATTATTGGATTAGAGAGTCGAATAACGTGAATTTGTAGGCTAATCTTACTCACTCATTTTTATAAAATTTAATAAAATATTTATAATTGTATGTTCGTTTTTAATATTTCACTTTTTGTTTTGGTGTTCAAAACTTTTATAAATAAGATTCAACTAATCTTCCTAGTTCTTCTTATTCATTAATTTACTCCTTTTATTTCAAGCTCTCCTCTATTTGCCCTAATTATTGAACAAATTTTAAATTATTATGAATATGGCTTTATACTTAAGATTCAGATATTCCTGATTGTTAAATAATCTCTTGCTAATTTTTCATACTATCGTCTAATAATTATAAAAATTCATCAGTTTTCAGAAGTTACAAGGCATCCTTAAATACCTAGGCTTCAACAGCCTTTTTTTATTCCCCAGTACTTTTTAATGGTAAAACATCATTTATCAATAATTCATATTAATAAATTTTACGATTTTTATCAAATAGATTTAAGGATTCTTAAAATACCAATTTATATGTATATTCTGGATGTTTATCCATAAAGTCTATGAACTCTCCCTTAAAGTTTTCTTGTTTGACTAAATTCAAAGATTCATTCTAAACATTGATAGTTTTTTCAAGTGATTTTTTGATTAAATCCTTAAAAATGGGTTGCATTAGCTTCCTTAAAAGGTTGAGGTCTTTTTATTTATCAAAATATTAGGCGCCAATAAGAGCCTTTAAGGACTAAGACTAAATTTTTTGGTTGTTCCTATAGGATTAAAAGATAGAAATACTTCAAATCAGAATTTTGGTTAATAGAAACAAGCATCTTTTCTTTTAATCCTAATTGAATAGCAACTTCTGCTAAATTCTTTTCAGTCAATAATTACTGCTTTTAAGTTCTAATATCACTGTAGGATGTGAAAGTGTTTTGATCTTTATTTGGTAAACTATAATAAAGTTGAATTCTGAAATTCATACTCTTGAAATGTGAAAAAATCATGAAAGTAGAAATCAAAAAGATCTGAGCCTAATTCAATTAAATTTTCATTAATGCCCTATTTTAATGGATTATCTTTATTTCTTGCAGTATATTCCTAATTATATTGTTTAAATGTCATGGCCTTATTAAACAATTCAGGGTAGTTAAACTCTAAAACTTTGAAATTTTATTTAAGTTCTTTAGGCTGCATATTGATATATAATTTTAGAGTTAAATTAATTCAATCATATTTTTCTATGATAGATAAGAAGGTAAGCAGAATCAATGCGAGAGATTTAATCATATGAAAGTCTTTGGATTTCATCATCATTGAATAGGAAAAACTAAGTTGTTTATAAGTGAGTACAATTACTTATTAGTTACGCTTCACTACTGCAACATAATGTCCTTCGTCTATGGTGCCAGAATGAACAATCATGGCCGATAAATCATATTTGGTATCTGTAATGTCTGTGCAACAATAACTAAGGTAGATTATAGCGATAATTTATACTTTTTGATATTGATTTCCATATCTATATTAACAGGCTCTTTTATTTTCTTTTTTAGAGGGTAGTTCTGAAATCTTTTGAGATGCAAAATAAGTATATTAGGTGCACTGGAGATTTTGATTCCTCTTTTAATGTTTTTGGATTATTAGTTGCATACAGAACACCTCCATTCTCCATCAATAATTTCTTCTTTGAAATAATTTGAAAGACATTCGTTGATGGTAAGTTTTCTTTAGATGAAACTTTTACTAAGTAAAGGAAGACTAAGATCAAAATAAACTTCTTAGTGAGTAATAGTTTTATTGCAATAAGGGCATTTCATAAAGGAGGTAATTTGACCTTGAAATAACTCATCAATAAATGTTGTCGTTTATAACTAATTTTTCAGAGAGAGTTCTTCTTTAAATTATCAAGAATGAACAATAAGAGTTCAGAACTGTCGTGCATTTCATAGATAGAGAAATGCTTTTCCAGAATCTTAATCAATTCATTAGGGCTAACTCTTCCTTTATAATGCTTTTTATTAGCCTTTTTGAGCAGAAAAGTATAGGCTTATGTGAAAAGCTGAACTTCTTAATTGTAAGAATATAATAAGAAATGATTAAGCTGACGGATTCCCATTAGACACTGGAGAACACTGTTTAGATAACAAAAGTAATTCTCATTTTCTAATCCCACAATCTAGATCTCTTTTACGGGTAATTGACTCAATAATCTAAACTAATTTTGTTTCTTATCCAAATCAACTATTGGAGGAGATGAAAATCCTCTCAATGTCTTTTCTAAATTTATTCTATCTAGATCATGAATGGTCAGCATTGGACCGCCCTTATAGATGTGAACCAGCATATTCCAAACTTATTCATTGACTAAAACATAATCTTTTTCAGAAACTAATTCTTTTATATTTCTAAGTTTCTCAACTAATATGTTATTAGTGATTTCTCCAGGATGGATGCGTTCATCCTTTATATAATTTGAGTAGGCAAATGCCCAATTGAATTCAATTAAATGAGTTTTCTCAGGCAATTCTATTAATCTCATTACTAATTCACGTTCTTATTCAATAGTTTTCCTGCCATCTATAATGAATCTCTCGACATCTTGGGAACTAAAATTCATTTTATCAGATGTGCCCTCTATATTTGTTAAATTTGTAGAATGTTGATCCTATTCAATAGATACGCGAATCTAATATTTGGTCTAGTTAGGTTTTTGCTAAATTGACTACTGATTTTAGTTTTCCCTTCTTTTGGCTTTCTTGTTACTATTACAGCAAATAAACATTTATTAATTTATTATTAATAAAGTATCAAAGACTATAAGTTGCATGTTACAAAATAATTAATCATCATCAGTCTTAAAATCAGAATTTATCAAATATAATTGTCTGAATCATCATCCAAATAAACATTTAAGTGATAAATAGATAATTCAATAAATTATATTAATTTTATTATCCTTATACTCACAACAAATATCTATCGTGTGGTACTCTCTTTGTTACATTTTGTTGAAGTCCATACTATAAGATTGTAACTCCCAAATCATGTAAAAGGTAATCGCTTATTTTCACATGTGGATCATCGCCTATTCAAAATCAATATCTATAAATCGTTATCAGCAGGCATTTCAGTCAAGTATCTCATTCTCTAAAATTATCTATTGTATGTATAATCGCCTATACTATTATATGTCTTCATCTCTAACAGTATTCCTCCATTACCTAATTATAAAATCACAAGTTCTACCATTCTCGCCAAAAATAAAGCCTTTTACTACTCCATCCACAACTAGCTTGTTAACAAAACAACCTCCAAGAACACCTACAATGTAAGGCAGAGACTTCTTTAATGTCTTGAATGTGTAATTCAATTTCACCATATCCAAAGAAGTAAATGTTTGTAATCATTGTGGAGTCATTGTTCGTGGATTAGGCCAAAATTTGGATCTACAACATTTGGAATTTTGAATTCAGCCAATTTACACATTAATTAATTAAAATCACATTCTAATCAAAAACTATATTCTATTTTTAACATATAAACATTTCATGTTTTTTAAACTATCCCCAAATAATCTATATATTATCCTTAATAAGGATTTGTTATAGAGATGAATGACTTTAAAGCATTATTTTTAATTTAAATTTATATTCTTTAGTTAACTAATAACTACATCTAAATAATAGTATGAACAATAATTTAGAACAATTGAGATTTTATTCAATCAATCCTTCATATTATGAACTATTCTAATAGTAACAAATTAAACTTGCCCAATTGGTCATTCAATCCTAATCAGAAAAATAGGTGTTAAAATGATGTTCGAATAAATTTTACTTAAATTTTCTTCCCTTGCCTCTAGCAAAGAGATTATATACTAATATACTAATATATTAGAAGGATTTTTTATTTATTTTAATAATTTCATTAATCATTTAGTACTCTCGAAGCTATCTATTAAATTAAAAGGGCTTTAACAATAAATTAATCTAAAATTATTAATGATTATACATTTAATTAACTTATTGTAATTTATATCTTAAGTTTATAATAAAATTATGTATTCCCAAACATTAGAGGGCTGTAATTAATAAATTAACTAACAATAAATCTAAAAATAACAATAGATAGTAAATATTCCTTTATTTCAGATAGTAATAAATTTAGCCTTTCTTTTTTGTATCTATTAATTATTAGATTAAATGGGTTAATTGAGAAATTATAACATGAAATTTATCTAGAATTTAATTTAATCTACATGAAATACTTTTAGGATTAATTGGTTAACTGATTTTATAACACTTTTATCCTATCTATTGGTTGCTATAATGCTTTCCAAGATTTTCATAAGTGATTGAAATTTAAATACCTTAGTTTAAGAAAGTTGATGATCCTCATTATCATGCTTTCAGGGTTAGTAATTACTTGATGTTTCTTTAGATATTTAGTATTTGAATTGATACAAAGGTCATATTTTGATTTCCAAACCTACTATGAAAAAAAGGATGTTATAAAAAGTTCAAAATATCAATGTATTAATTTAGTAAATATATAATCGAATATTTAAAATAAAAATTGGAATGTAAAGAAAAGAACTTGAGAAGCATCTGAAAGAGATCAGAGAGGAATTAAATTAACTGATACCGAATTATCTTGACGAAGGAATATTGATTAATTAAGTGAGTGCATGAAATATTTCATAGATTAGTAGCAAAGTTTAAATCGAATTGTCAGAAGAGTTCAACATTCAATAGGATTTTGAATTGAATTTTAAGTCAGTATTTTTAGAATTCATTTTCAATCTCCAGAAACAGAAAATGATTTAAAAACAGATATTCAATCCACCAAAATCGATTAGCGATTTATTTTTAGGTAGCTATTTTAATTTAGATGATGTGCCAAAGATTAATCGACACCCTATTTTAAAGAAAATAATCGATCATATAAATTAGCGTATAAATCATTTCTTTCAACATCAAATATCAACATTGAAATTCTTAATTGATTAACAAAAATTGATCGATTCATCTAGTACAAGATCATCACCGATAGTAATTGATATAGAAATTGATTCAAATCAAAAAATCCAAGAAGAATAATAAGAGAAAGTGTTAACACAAGAATCAGAATTGATTCAACTAGCTTAATATCAACATCCAACTTAGGAACAATTGAATTGTCCATATTGTGTTTGTAAGAAGAGTAATCAGACAGTGTTGAAATCATTAGCATTGAGATGCGCAGTTTGCAAGAACTATTTCCATAGTTCATGTTTACGAATTGAGAAGCCTAAGAAAGTGTTTGTGTGTCCAGAATGTATATTAATAGGAATAGATCCATTACACGAATTAAAAGAGTCAATTTTAGACCCTGTAATATTCTAATCAGTGGAAGGGAGGGCAAATTAGTTTACTCAAAAATTTCAGATGAAAAAAGGAATACCTTCAGAATAATTAATAGAATTGAGATCCATTAAAATAGATGGATAGTATGAGGATATATCATGGCCTGATTTAGGGGATTTATAATTGAATGGAAAAAAAATTCAAGAATTCAGACCTTTAGCTAATAATAGTTGCTTGAAAAAAAGAAAGGATGAAAAATTGATGCTTAATATTGAATTGGGACAAGTTAACCTTCTAACTATAAGAGAATCGAATGGAACTCCTGAAATGAAAGCCTATCGAATAAATTAAGGGATTCCATATATGTTAGGAATATTCCAAGTCAAAGTCTATAAATTAAGTGAATTTATTAAAAAAGTCAAGATGGACTAGAGTTGTTTATTAGGAATAGAATAGAGCAAGAAATTTATACAATTGTCAATATTATAAAATTAATTTGATGAGGTGACGATGGAGAGCATAAAGGTTAGTTTGGATTGTGTCTATGATCTGAATTAAATCTAGACTCCAGCAAGAGGCAATATTTGTGAACATATTTAGTGTTTCTCATTAGAAAACCTTGTGACAATGATGAAGAATGTTACTCCCAGGAAATGGAAATGTCCAATTTGTAAATAGATGATTCTTGGATTGTAGGTTGATGCATATTAAATGTGCATCCTTACAATAATCAAGCAGTACAACCTGAAAATTAATGAAGTTTCATTTAATTAGTTTGTAAGCTGAGTGCTTAATTCTTTAGGGCGAAGTAGAGAATCCTGAATTGAGAGAACTATTGAAATAACAAGAAACTACTCTTCCTGACTCTACTCGGAGCAATAATAATCGAGTTATTCAATTAGAATAGATCTCACAGCGCATTTTAAAAATTTCCAATCAAGTTGTTGCAGAACCCAAAAATAAATATAAACCACCACCTCCATTACCAGAACCAAAGCCAATTAAAAAAATAGGTGAATCATTTTCTGATGCTATTCTCATTGATTGATTATGTAATAAAATCATAAATTATCCTTTCTCTTTTGAATCTCAATTTCATAATGTTATTCTTCATCTCCATCCAAACCATAATCTATCTTTTTTTTATGACAAACGTAGAAATTATATATAAAATAGCCTAATCCACCTAACAAAATCACTACTACTCCATATACTAAACTTTTACTAGGCCCTATTTTTATATCTAATTCAACCTTCATCTTCTTATTATTTTTGTGCTCCTAAATTTTCACTTTGAGCCTTAGTATCCTCTGTTTGAGCAAGAACAATCGATAATGCTAAAAACAATATATATTAATTCTTCATTTTTAAATTAAAGTAATATATTCCAAATTTCCATTTTACAATATCCATCCTCCGTCGCTAACACTTATTTTCTGCACATTTTCATTTCCTTTAATTCTTTCCTCTTTTGTAAAGGGAACTATGAATTAAGTGGATTCAACAAATAACGTAGCTATATAGGGATATATAATTTAAAACATTATTTCTTAAACAATTCTCTCAGCTTTGGGTCTTTTACAGTTATTGATTCCATAAACCCTAATACGCCAACATCAAAGAAATTTTGATATTTCTTCTTCCCATACAATTTATCGAAATCTTCAAAGATTGGTATAATTTTTACTTTTAATTTTTAAAAAGCTATTACTTTAATAATATAAATACTTAATAAGGGATCTTATTGAATTTCAACTATCATATTGTCTTTGGTAATAACTTATTTAATAGATTTATCTGTAATGGTAGTATTTAATTCAGATATATTGGTATCTTCTTATTTATCTAATTATTATTATTATTCTTATTATTCTTGTTATTATTATTCAGTTTCTTTTTCCTATTCTTATTATTCATTTTCTTCCTCTTTTTCATCTATTTTTTCTAATCCTTCTTCTTTTTATTTTTCTTCTTTTTATTTCTATTTGTTATCTTATCTCTCCAAATATTCATCAACATGGATATGATAATCAGTACCATTATCAAATTTTTAAATCATATGTTAAATATTGAATTCTGAAACAGTTACCGCATGAGATACTTATTGAGTATTTCTTACTTTGAAGAGCTATTCGTTTTCAGGTTGAACGCTGGTATAGATTCCAAATGCAATGTAAGGAGAGACGACTATGTCTCCCCAATAGCCTCTAACCAATAAGCTGTCTTTAGTTTATTTATGTTTTCCTGGTAGATAACTTGCCAGGGTCCTGTTAGGTGTTGGATAGCTGGCATATCGTGATTCAAAGGCAACTCCAGATTGTCTCCATTCTTTATAATGAATGAAGTGAACAATGGGTGCAAAATCTTTTAAGTTCATCTGATAATCCCAATCAATCATGTTAAGACGATGATCAAATCTAATGCCATAATGATGTCTTAATCTTTGATCTCTAAGTTTTTCGATTTTGAATTCTTAGTATGAATACCATGATCTGATCACTTCGGTCATTTCATCTCTGTCTTTGAATTTCAATTCCCTGAGATCCACCATTTAATTAAGCGCGGATGTAAATTTAGTTTCTTTAGCAATCAAATCATCTAAAAATGGAATGACCTTGTCAATGTAATTGGTTGTAGATTCTCTTAAGAAAGTGTTTCCAAAGACTTCTAGAAACATATCACTTCTTTCTCTGTAGGTAAAATTCCTTGTGTGCATGATCAATAATAACAATAATGATCTGCATACGGTCTCCTTATTTTTCTCATGAATATAAAAATTAAGCTAGATACTAAATTCAACTCTGTACTTGTAAATCATCTCTATTATGATTGCATAAGCAAGTTTCAAGAAGGTGACGCAAATCACTTACTCCACTCAATAATATATTGATGGTCCCGCTCATTTGAGGAGTAACAAGATTCAATTGCTTGGAGTGACCCCAAAATTAAATGAAACCCAAAGACGATGCATAATCACTCATTTTTTATAATTAATAATTATCACAATTATATAAATTATTCCAACCATTAAGCAACTTAAATGACATTCTCTATAGGCAACACCTTTTAAACTATGGCATCTAACTTGGCATGGATCAATTTGCCCTCCTTCTATTCCAATTTCTTGATAATTCTTGCACTCAAAAACATATCAATGGCCAATATTTAAATTGTGTTATTAGTGATATGTCTCATTTTCAGTATTGAATCTTCAAAGTTATTATTAATATCCTCTAAATGAGTTGTTTGAGGCATAGAATCACCAGATACAGGATGACAGTACTTCTTATTTTTCTATATTAAGTTGCTGGCTTAATTGGCCAGATTTTGAAAGCCAAATAAGGATTGCTCATCTTTTAGATATTCTTCATAATACTCCTATAATTTAGTTAATTTTGGATTCATCAATCTTTGAATTCTTCTCTAAAATAGTAGATATAGAATAAATACCTCAGTAATAGCTCCGATTTCAGAGACAGCAATGGCCAAATAATCAATTAATAGTAATTCTGTTTCATTATTGTTTTATTCATTGTAGAGGATATCTTAAATTTTTTTAGAATTGTTATCAAATTCAAATTCATATGCTCTTTAACCTATTTCCTGGGATTCAATTTTATTGATAATAAATTTAATTTAATCTAATGCCGCTCCAATGACTTATGGAATACATCTTGTTGAATAAGCGTCTTGGAGAATGTTATGAGTGATTCTCTTTAAACTTAAATTTAAATCTGATTCTTCATCATCCACAGTCAATAGATTATACAATTCTTAAGCCACTTCAATTTGGCCTTGATGTTATTTGACTTCATTCACCAATTATGTGAATGCACAGATAACTCCATTGGTGGCTTCAAAAGATATGGAAGTTATAATGAAGGCCATTTTAATACACTTCAAACTTCTGTGTGTATTGTACAAGAGAGTAGCAAATGAGAGAGACTTAGTCAATGTGATGATGATTGTGTCGTATTCGTTTATGTTTTTGAGGACTTGCAAAATAGACCAATTGACACTGGCATCATAATATTATGTGTTAAAATTAGATGATGGTAAGTGTAATTCCGTTTTATTATTAAAGAGTTCTTTGAGTTATCTTAGGGTGTCTAGACTGACTCCACTATTCACGATCAAATTATTAATAAGCACAAACAGTGTGATTTTACATAGATCTTATTGCAATTAATCTGCAGAAGTGCATTCTAATAGCTGCTTTAATTGTTTGGTTTCATAATTTTGGAGATCCTTAATTGGTTAAGGCATTTTCTATCCTAGCAAAGTGTTGAAACCATATAATTGTTGTTGTGTGTTCTGGATGAATGTTAGGAAGGATTCTCTGGATTATTGCACTTGTTGTTCATCAAATTCAAGGGTGACTTGATTTGAGAGGATATCTCCAATTAGGTTTAGAGTATACTTTTAAGGAAGTTGGATAATCATTCTTAAATATATATATAATCAATTATGAGCACTTGATCTCGATTATTAATATTACTTATAACTTTCGATTGCTTAATCCACATTGTATTAAGGGAAGTAATCACTAAACTAATTACTTTTTTCAAAGGATTAGTAAAATTCAATGTTGGGCATTTCTAGAGGATTTCTCATAAATTATTTGGCAGTTTCCCCAGTAAATTTCGAAGATGTGATTCCATATTTAGAGGTTGGTTTGTCCTGTTGTTGTTATTGTTGTACTTGATATTCTCCTTTTTCAGACTCAGATATGCAGGAATTAGATTTTCGATCAGATCTATGAGTCTTAGTCTACTACTACTATGGTGCAGTTGTGTGATATTTCTGATATTTAGATGGAGTGTGCTAACCCTCAGTTTCAATTTGATTCTGTATCCGCTTCTGATGATAGTATACACTGTCTTGCAATTTGGCCTTCTTCAATTAGATGCTTATCAATTCGTCCTTCTCCTTGTTCTACATGGCGTTGTTTGGGTTTGTTTTGCTTCCATTGCTGCTGTAGGGTAATGAAAATACATTGCCACTGGAGTTCTTATCAGAAGATCCATTAAAGTTCTTCCTATTCACAGATGCCTCCTTAAGCAATTGAGCATATGAACTGTGAGAAATTCCACTGGGAGGTTGTTGAACACATTGCACTGGACTGATGTTTGGAATATCTATTAATGGATGGCCTAGCTGTTATTGAGATTACAAAGACTCTCGTAAAGATTACTAAGAAACCATATGAGGAGTTTATTAAGATTGTTATAATGAGTTTTAGCGGTCAGTGTATGGATTGGTCACTTCACGCAAATAATGCTGTTGTTGAATACTGATTATCTCATCTTAATGGTGATGTTCATCAGATATGTCAGATTCAATATTTAACTGTTAATAAAGCAAAGCGTTCTCTTCTATCTTCAACATATAGGACTTACTTCTCTTTTATTTCCTTCTGATTCTCTTGATTGAATGCCTATTCTATACCTCATTAGATTGTATATACGAAACCAAAAAAGATTTCTTAGGAACATAATGTACATGGTCGCATTCATCAATGTCATGAAATTTCCCACATGCGTAACAACGCATTAAACACAAACTATAAACCTCTTGCATGACTATCTAATCCAACATCATCTTATACTTCTGCTTCTCTTAATAGTGATGTTTTATGCATTCCTAAAATCGCTCAAGATCCAATTAAGCTATTTGAGAGTAACCTATTGAAGTGGCACATATATTTGAGTAGGAGTTCTTGAAGAAGGCCTTGTTGTTGAACATCTATCCATCACTCAAAATCTTTAATTTGAATTCGCAACTAGGTTGTGTTCCTTCTGTTCTCTGGGAGATTCTGACTTCTCCTGATATAATCAAATATAATTGCTGATTTGAGGTGCGTTAAAAAAGGATAGTTTAATTAGGATTGTAAGTGTATTCTTGAACAAGGTTGCATATTTCTTTAAGTGTGTTTTCTGAAAATGAAGACTGAAAAATGGGTATTTTAGAGAGGATGGTTTTGTATCTTTAGTATCTGAAATCTTCAACATAGGATTGAGGAAGGTAGTCGAGGAAGTTGAGATCGGTCGTAACTTAGGTGTTCAATTTATTTAGATACGAATTAATTTGTTGTTTGGTAGTGTTTTGAATTGAAAATTAATTCAATTTCCACTTGTCTTTTGTATTGAATCTTAATATGCAATAGCAATAATATATTAGAATGAGAAGCCTTACAATGTAAGTAAGAACATTGGCACTCTCCGATTTATAGAACAAAACCATGAACTCATTAAAGTAGTTTATGTGGTAGTCTTACTGTAATTGAATTATCGATAAGGCTATAAATTATACGAAATGAAATTCCAAAATATAATATATGTACAATGCTAATTTTCCGAAAAGCATCTACAATTCATACAAGACTCTCTTGATCTTCCAGATGTTGATTAGATGCAACAATTGTATCACTGGTAGGTTTTCTGAGAGTAAGCAAAAAATTATGGGCGCTATGGCCAAGAGATCAAATATAGATTGATATTTAAAGTATCTGGCAATCAGATCTTGGATTACATTAATTTCCTCTCCATCTTTAAATTGGGTGAACATAATCTAATTAAAGATGTCTATCAGCCAAAAGGCCAAAAGAATAACTTGATATATTGGTTGCAGATAGAATCCCTTCTCCAAATCGACCAACATAATCGTAATGAAAAAACTTAAGTAAGCACTATATATAGCACTACTTAGATAATAGTATGTATTTTATTTTTTGGGTTTGAGCCATTGAAGTGAAGATACATTAAAAGCGAATTCAGCAGCCTTATCTTGAAGGAAATTCAATTGGAATGAAGGATGAGTGACATTTGTCTTCGACGTAACTAATCTGCTCCATTGAACATTACTATAAGAGTTTTGGACTTTTTCATCAATAACTAATTCTGGGTTGTTAACTTTGGGCTAAATTGCTTTGTGAATCTTTTTGGGATCTTGACTTATTTACATAGACTACTCTTTTATGCTTGGTTCTTCATTTATTAAAAGCAAATCATCTTTCAACTCATTTTGGGGGGGTTATTCTGAGACCAATTACGGAGTTACGCTGGTTGTAGGTGGTGAGCGTAAGTTATCTTGAACTTGATTAGAGGGTCTTCGCACCAATAGTTAATGTGAGTTAACAACAGTCATTTATTACACAATCGGTTGGATTTACATATTGATAGAATCATCCATGGATATCGACATTGATCTGGATGAGGAACCTTATTACCCATTCAAATGAGGGTGCATAAGCATGAAATTTGGATATTTAAATTACTACTTGATAAACAATATTGTGCATAATAATAATTCCATTTAAATAGATGTATTATTTTAATTTAGATTATGAGGAAATGTTTGATCAAATATAGACCTCATAATACGAATTTCATTTGGTCTGAATTCGATCTCTAATTGAAGACTTATATTTATAGAATTAATGAACTATTCAAAGACTTGCAATGTTCGTTGCATGATCATGATTCAATTATTGCCATTTGCATAGATTCAAATTGTGAGGAAGTTCAACATATCTTATGGTAATTGAATTGAATAAAATAGTTTAAAATGTATCATCAGTGATCATCAACATGAATCATAGAATATTTTAGTTATCTAAGAAATAGTGAATAAAAGAGAGAAACTCTTTAGATTGATTTAGTATCTTCACAATAAGGAAAATAGTGATCATCAGTCTAACTTACGTAGTCAAGTTATTCTAATGTAGATGAGTATACTTGGTTATAGGATTGCATTCTAAATGGTAAATAGATTCCATATCCATCTTTGACATTTGACAATGTATTCCTCACAGTATAGGATGCATTCCTTACTAATATGGATGATCTTAAATCACAAGTGGAGAAGAGTGTGCATTCATTGCAATGCAATTCTCAAAAATACAAGAAGATCTAGCAATTCAAACAAAGAATGGATCATTTAATCAAAACTACTCATTCCTAAATATATCTAAATTTTCAATCCATTCTCTATAATGAAACTTAAGAATAGAAATCCACAGATGCCAAATCAATGCCTCAAGCTGCCTTTCTAAATTTATCATAAATAGATCAAAATGTTGAATAAATGGATAAGGATAGTTTTGAAAATATACACATCATAGAGAATAATCTAATAAACACTTCATTCAATGATACTACAATAATTAGTCCATTGATGCCTGTAGTCTAATTCTTAGATAAGACTAACAAGCGAAGTTTTTTGGGGAAACCTAAAGTGAAGTTCGAAGAAGGTGGCAAGATTGTCACAATGCAAAAGAACACTGTTATTATATCCCAAGAATTGTATTGTCAGGACAATATAGAAATACGCATACGGATCTTATCATTTCTGTCTGGTTGTCTGCACTTTGGATTTATTGAGAGAACAACTTATGAATTGACCAAGAATATCGATAATGTTGGGATTTGGGCATGTTTAGATAGTCAAAGTAGTAGTGATCATTCGAGATTGGGGAAAGTGCAGGAATTCTGCTTATAAATTGATAGCATTGTGGGTTTGAATTTAAACTTTGTGGATGATGTAGTTAGTTTGAGGTTGTTTACAAGAGATGGCATTTTGATTTTGTTTTAGAAGAAGGGATGTTTGATGAAGCAGAAACAATATGTTTATATATCATGTTTGGAAGGATAGACGAAATTAGAAGTTTTAAATTGATTAATTAATTAACATTCATTATTACAATTTAATTTTATTCTGCAATTTGAGCATATGACTACTTATGAGGTTGATCCACTATTATTACTATTACTCATCTTGGGCAACTAAATAAAAAATGGAATCATGAGTTTGGATGCTCTACTATTTTTGTGATTTTTACAATCGAATTCACTTTTTGTAATTCTTGATCATCTGCCTATTTGATTGAGACAATGTGATTGAGATCAATCACTTCTGTGGGATTATTGTATTGTTATTACTTCTTGAAGGTGTATAAAGTGAAATTAGTTAATACGACCCAGCGTCTAATAAATTAGATTCCTGAACTTACTTATGCCACTTCTTGAGGAATCTCGATTACTTATCCATCCAACCCTCCTTCACTATCTATTTCAAGTCTTCGAACTCATACTTAACATTTGCTTATTAATTCATAGAAACCAATTTATTTATAAAATAAATACATGTTAGCTTAACTCATTACACTTAATAATTTAACATCAGAATCTCTCAACATTTCCAAATCTCTCTTTAAATTAGGCAGAGATCCAACAAATGACAAACAACTCACCAACAATAAAATCAGTTTTCTCCACTTGTAGATTGAATTTGAAGAATCTCAATTTACAATCCTTGACAACTCTATAAATGGTACTTTCCTTAATGGAAAAAGGATTGGCAAGGGTAACAAAGTGATAATCCAAAACGGAGACACTATCCACATCTTACCTCTTGATCGAGTTCAACCTGAAGAAATCATAGGATTTTAATTTCTTACAGATAAGATCAAAGATTCCCGATCACATTCTGATGAAATTTAATCTATAAATCATAATAAATCTAAAGATGAAATTGTGTCTAAATTAAACACTCACAATCAACAATTTGAAGAATTGGCAGATGAACTAATATGCACAATCTGTAATGATTATTTGTTTGAAGCTGTCACTACCAATCCCTGTAATCATCATTTTTGTGGAGCCTGTCTTTCAACATGGCTAGAAAAACAATTACATAATGACTGTCCAAATTGTAGAGTTTCCATTAAGTCAATCATGATTGCAAGAATGATGAACAACTTAGTTGAAAAATGGTTAAAGTGTAATCCATCCCAAAACAAAACTGCCACTTTGATGGCCAAAATGAAAGAAGAGAATCTCATTTACAAAAATCCCAATTATTATCTCAACTTCCAAGAAGAATATGCTAAAAAGAATTAAAATTAATTTGATCAACAAAATGAGTCTGACGAATTCTTAAGCAACGATGATGATTTCGATGACAACAATCCTCAACTCTATCAAAATTAACTGGTACTCCCTAACAATGCTGTCCAATTCCAACTATTCAACCCACCACCACCCCAACAAATCTAACCTGTTCAGCCTTGTAAAAGTTGCAATGGATAAGTGTGGAAATAATACTAATGCACAGACATTCAAATTCATATTGGATGTTCATCATGCGGTCGGTTAATGCCCAAAAGATTGCTAAGTAAATATTTGTCATTTAATCTTTCAGCTGAGTAGGAGAATGAATAATTGTAAATGATGTGTTGCATTTGCAAAGTCTATGATTGTAAATTCTATTATGGAGATTGCAACAAGCCAAATCTTAATAAATTGATGTTGGTCAAAGACATTCGTGATATGGTGCAAATTCCACAGAATTTCATCAATAATGTAGAATATCAGAGGATTATCAATCATCTCAAAGACAACTAAGCTCCCTTCATCTTTGACTTTATGATGGAACACTATATTAATAAAGGAGACTTTTACTTTGAACAAAACAAAAGAACCTTTAATTACCCATTGCAGGACTTGAATGTCAAAATCACACCTGACACTGTATTTGCATTGTTCTATTAATTATTAGCCTGTATGTTGGCAATGTCACAGGAAATTAATTAATTTCATAATTTTCAAATATGTCCAAAGCTAGAAGTACGATGAACCCATCTTTTCCTATCCAGACTGCTTTTATGGAATAAACTGTAGAACCCAACATTGGAATCAATTTCATGCCGGCAAATACAATCATATTTGTGAACAGACTAAATTCCATTGAAATTAAATTAAACCATTTATTATTATTATATAACCGAAATGAATTAAATACAAATAGATGCATTAAGTGAACTCACCATCACTCTGTTGAATGTACATCAAATATCAATATTAGACTCTAAGATTAGAACTCAGACCAGAAGCGAGTACGGTTGAGTCATTCCGTAACCTCATCCTATTATTTCAAGGAACTGAAGATTGGGTCTAAATTAATAGTGTATAATTATTACCTATGACAGACAGCTCCATGGAGTAGACTAGTTTAACAATTGCTAAAGCCTAAGAGATTGATCAAGCTCATCTAAAACCATTACCATTATGATCTCTCTTAGAATCTCTACCTCCTAAATTATGAAATACTGGATGATCACCCTCAAAATGAGATTGAAGAAACACTCAATAGAATTGTTTGTGCCTTAATTAGTTATCATTACTAAGTTACAATCCCTGATCCTCCTTAAGTTAGTTAGGCGAGTCGAACCACGCAGGAGAATTCTGAATCTTCATTAATTATCCCAGAATAGACACGAGCAAATCATCTCACGACTAGCTCTTCCATATCTACAATGATCCCTATTGAATGCCAGAATGAATAATACGCGGAATCCTAAAATACAAGAAGAGCGAAACTAATTCTTGACAAACTCACACATCAAATTAATAATAGTGTTGTAGGACATTACAATAAGTTATTTCAATATTGACACACAAGTTCATTTAGAATAGATATAATTACTATAATATAATATTTTAATTACTATAATGCGCTCATAAAAATTAATTTTATTATAATTAAATGAAATAGAGATTTTAGGGAAAAGTTTGTCTTGTCACAGCCTCCTCAACTGGTATCGGTTTGGCAATCAGTGAATAATTTGCCAAGGAAGGAGCTACAGTTATTATCAGCTCTAGAGACAAAAAGCACATTGATGCTGCAGTTGAGAAAATTAGAAATTCCGGAGGAAAAGCCGAAGGATATGCATGTCATGCTGGGAAGATTGAGGATCTTTAAAAGATGATTCAATTCATCAAGGAAAAGTATGGTCGACTAGACATTCTTGTACCTAATGCAGCTGTGTCAACCCATTTTGGATTCGCATTAGACATGACTCCATAATAATATGATAAACTCTTTGAAGTCAATCTAAGAGGAGTATATTTCCTAATTCAAGCTGCTTATCCCTTACTCAAAGTAATCATAATATTCATCTTCTAAGGAGAGTAAAGATTCCAATATTGTTATCATTTCATCCATCGGAGGATATGAATCAGAAATGGGTCTGGGAATGTACAGCGTTACCAAGACAGCCTTATTGGGGATGACTAAGGTTCTAAGCAGGGACTTGGCTCCAATTAGAGTGAATTGTTGTGCTCCTGTATTTGATGTTAGTTATTTTTCTAGGGTTTAATTAAAACTAAATTTAGCTCAGTTTTATGGGAAGGGAAAGAACAAGCAGCTACTGAGTTTATGAAGGTGGAAAGATTGGGATTACCAGAAGACATTGGAAATGCAGTAGCATTTTTAGCTTCATCAGAGGCTAGTTATGTGACTGGGGAAACATTAATAGTGGCTGGAAGAGCATCTCCTAGATTGTGAGAGTCTAAGTTATTAAATTAATTAGTCAAATTATTAGATTCTTTCGAGTCTCAATTATTTTTTATACTGAAAATATTGCCTCTTCTCTAAATTACAAATCGACCTGCATTAGATTTTATGGAAGGCTTTCCTCCTCGTCCTAACTGCAAGCTTCTTCATCCAATCTAAATGACTAAATCCTTGTTCTCTATGCCAATTTAGCCCTGAAAGAATTCGCCTAGCAAACTCGTTTTAATTTTTTTTTCTTTTATTTGATTGTATTTGTTGTACTGATATTGGATATGGTCTCGAATATGAGTCTCTATTCCTATTCTGAATCAAAAATACTCTAAAGAGTATCTAGACTGTCTGATTCCACTTTCTATTACTGATTTGAGATAGAGTAATGATTGGATTGCACTCTAATGCTTTTAATTTATTGGATTGATGGTTCCTGTTCCACAAGCTAGGAATCAAGTGATTCATGGTCAGATTAATTAATCATTATAACTATTAATATAGTTTGTACAATATAAAATAAAATAATAATCTACCATTAGGAGAAGTATGAATATATAAATTTAATCTTTGGCTCTAGAATATATTGCCAATACCAATTAGTAAAATAACTGAAAATTAATAAAAAGACATTGTGTAATTTAGTTTGATAAGAAACTTATACAAATTCATGTCTTTCAAAAATGACTCAAAATTATCTATTCTTCAGATTGGGGAAATTCCGATATTGACCATTGTTTTTCAGAGGCAATTTATTTTTTGACAATATAATGTTTGGTTACTTTGTATTCCAATTGCACATTTTATTGGCTTAGAATCTTTAAAGAGTACGAGGAGGTCTCGTTTTAGTTCAATTCTATAGATATGTTGGATAATTTGTTTGTCAAAACATTGATTTCGTGTTCAAAGGATATTGAGGAATTCTTAAACTTAGTGATCTACTCGTCTAACTTTTCTTAATAGGCTTTAAGCAATTGAGGGAGGATAGGCACATCATCATAACATTTTATAAAGAGTATGTGTAAGTATTTATCGGTTAAATTTTGAAAAATCTAGCATAATTACCTCTGATCCAAATGAGGATCCCTTCTCAGATGTGTTGACAAGTATTATCTGAAGCCCTAGATGGTTTAGAGTATTTAAATGAACACTCTTATAAAAAACTATTGATGTCTCAACTTTTGAAAAATTTATAATTGCAAGAATTTTGTCTCGTAAAAAAAAGTATATGCTAAAGTAGTTATAAAAAACTTTTATATATAATCCCAAAAATCATTTATTCTTTCGAATTCCTCAAAGCTTTTAAACTTCAAATCATCAAAAAATTTATTGATATCCATTTTTTAAAGTCCCATCAGCATTGCATATTGGGCAGCCTCCCTTAAATGGATTTAGAGTTTATTATTAACAATCTTAGAGGCAAAGGATATAACCAAATTTAAATGCTAATAGCCACTGTTTAGTTTGAAAATAAAGATGCCTAATTCCTTAGTAGGAATGAATTGATAGTGTTGATTGATTATCTAATAAGAAGTTTGATTGTATTCCACGAGCATTTGTTAAATCAATTAAGAAGGTAGAAAGGTATGATATAGCTATTCACTTAGAGACCAAATGTCATTCTGCTGAACTAACAAGTTGAGATTGAGAGGGGGTGCTTTCAAACACTCCGTATTCAAAATTCCCTCTAATATTTCGCTCTTTATCAAATAAATACGAATGAAATCCTCTTCCTTCTTCATGAGACAATTGCCGATCATCTTGCTGATGTAGAATTACCCACTCAGGATATTGCCAAATTACAAAGTGATCTCAATGTCAGTCGGAGAATAAGTCAATTTCTGTATCACTATTTCTTTCGATTCGTCCCGTCTCACAAAGATTCTAGTCATAATTTCTAAGTGTTTTGCCATCTTCTACACAAGAGAATCAATCAAGATCGAAGGATCATGCTCAATTAATTGTGCCTTTTAAAAACTATGTGTTCAAGCAATTATACCTAAACGAAACACCGCCTTCGATTTTGTTCACCTCATATTTGATCTCAGTCCGCTTGTCTGTCACACTATAGGGAAACTCGCGATAACATATAAGCTCTCTCGGTAATTCCTTAATCTTGTTCTCCACCAAAGCAAAGCGGTCGTCCCTTATCGATATTATCAACTAATGATTCCAATTATTCAAATTAATTTTCATTAATAATAAAATAATTTCTTTTTATGAATTTCATTAATTTATTCAGTCAAAGCCGACAACTCTTAACACAACTACCGTTGTTCTTATATTAATTTGTTTATTTAATCATCATCAGAATCCATTATCTCTTTCCTCTACGGTAACACATATTTGTCATACTGATTGACCCACTTCTGCAGTTTCCCCTCTGGTACCTTGTACATCGCAGCCATCTTCTGGATTTCCTCTCTCCCTGGCTCAGGTCCCAATTGCTGCAATAATTTGATTCTATCCGAAAATAAAAATTGAGCTTTCGTTTCCATTTTATCTATTTTTAATAGATGACTCCCCAATCTTTTCTCCTTAATTCTAAAAAAGCATTATAAAATTTTATCAAATATTATATCTATTCATTTAAATATTCTAGAACCCAATTTTTGTATACAACCCAATATTATAATATATATTATAATGTATAATTTTTAGGGTAATCAAAAATTGGAAATTGACAATCTAAAACTAGGTTATCAATTTGAACAGAGACTATATTAAAGAGAATATGACTCAGTTAAAATGATGCTTGCTTAATCAGAAAAGGAAAAACAACAAGCCACTCAGAAGTATAATCTGTTAAATTAAAAATATCAAGAAAAAAAAATAATCGATATTTTAGATGAACAATCCTTATAATCTCAAATTAAAAATGATGGAACAAGACTATTCAAAGCAGCTAAATATGCCATTCTAGGTTTAGAGAGAAAACAAGATGAAGTTGAATTACCAAATAAAACTGAAAAGGTCACTGATAAATCCTTAACATCTGATCCTAAAATACAAACCTTTCAAGCTTAAGATTCACAAATTAATGCTCAATTCTCAGAAGATGAATAATCAAAAATCTATTAATCCAAAGATGATCGCAATTATTCACAAAGTCTCATTAACTTCATGAATGAATTAGATTACGAAAGGGCAATCTATACAACGTAAGAAAGACTCCCTGATTATGATCAAATACCTTCAAAATAAATTAAATCATAAGGCTAATCTGCTACAGTATCCTTCATGCAGAAGAACCAACCAAAACATAAAATTTCCACTGAAAGCAAAATCTAATAACTTGACGATAATGCTTATTTCCACTTCACCGATGATACTAGTCGAACTGAGTAAAAGATTAACATTGATCAACAAATAGAAACCCTTTTGGATGATATTTAAGGAATAGTTGCCAGAACTTCAAAACAACCTGAATAAACACTTATCACTCATAAGTTGAAACTCCAAAATGAAAAGCCTCAGAAAGTTAATCCTGTTTAACAAATCCCAAATTTTCATCCTGTTAACTTAGCATTCAATTAAACTAAGTAAGAATAACAATCCACAAAAAGAGTGGCTGATAATTCCAAATAAATTGATAATTTAGATCAATTAATACTTGATCTATGTAATTGATTAAATTTATACTTCTTAAAATTAAGATATATATTGTTATCTATTAAATATAAATACCCTTTTACTGGCAATTTAGTTGATTTGTAGTTTCCCTTTTATATCCTAATATTTATTTATTATAATAAATCATTTTTATAATTTACTACTGTCATATTTTTTGGCGATAATATTGAAAGGGTAATAGTATGTATTAATATGTATTAGAGAGAATGACATACATTTAAGAATATCAATAATGTATTTTTTAATGCAGATAAATTTAATAAGAATTCAATTTTTTTTTTATTACAGATATCTATAGAAAGGGCAATAATTAAAAAGGAAATTTATTGTGAAATACATCTAAATATTCTCAAAAAATATTTTATGAATATCAAACACTCTATTCATATCTAATTTTAAATAATGTATTTATGAAATTTCAAGAGATAAAACACGCAATTATTAAATCGTTTGAATAGACAAATAATTATGGGTGGTCTAAAGTTGATAAATTTGATGCTTATTGCAAATATAAAATTAATTAATTCAAATTGAACTACATATTATAATTCTAACTGTTCTTAAATTTATACTTTAATAATAAAATTGCACTTAGAACATTCTTTATTATTCATTCTGTTTATCTGATAAAATGGAATTTTGAAATTGTATTAAGGTGATTTGAAGAGGTTATTGTTACACTTGAGTAGTTCCATGAAGTTATGTTTGTGGAATACTGATAAATGTGTATAGAGAACGTTTATGAGTGTTTAATTAAGTATTTTGATTAATTTTTATAAGAAAAAAATGTCAGATGATGAACGTTTGTCCCTCCATTCCTACGATCCAATTTAGGATGGGGATGATGATATCGATGAGTTTTACAAGGAATTAAGTTTGCAATTTTATGGGGAAGAGAAAAAAAAGAAGGTATCACTTTTGATGTCAGGTTCAACTTAAGTAACAATCATATTTAATGTTTTAGGAGACCAATAAGCCTAGTAGAGACACATTACCTGATGTCAAGAGAGGTTTCTTATTTGTGAAGTAATCCTCAAGTCGACCGGGTAGTCCGAAATGTGATCGTAATCAGGTGCAAAGGAAATCTCCAAATCAAAAGTTATAGAGCAGTCCCACTACTGTAAAAATGATTCAAACGAAGAAACTAATTTAATTGCTTCAGTCCCCTTACAATAAGAAAAATAAGTAATAACAAACATTTTTGAAGAAATAGATTGACATGATTAAAAAGATTCAGGTATAAGAATTAAAGGAACATTATTATAAATGAGGTTTTATTAATTCTGTTCTCCATATTTAATATATTGAAGTAATACTCCAAATTCTATATCAAAACATCGTATTTATAATTTTAACATATGGGTAAAGCACATAAAACAAAGAAATTTGCAACAATAAAGCGGATGATTTCCAAAAAGGATCCCAGATGTTAAAAACGACATCTTGAACAGCCAAAGGAAGAGAAAAAGAAAGGTGTCAATGATGTGGAAATAAAGGAATTGTATTTTTAATATGTCATTAAATTTTAGACCACAAGAGCCAAGTCACTTATTCTTCAAACATAATCCAGCCCTAGGACCTCCCTATAGAATTCTACTTGATACAAATTTCCTGAACTTCAGTATTTCAAACAAACTAGACATTTTTAAAAATACAATGGATTGTCTTTTAGGAAAATGTATTCCATATATTTCCGATTGCGTTATTGCTGAATTGGAGAAGTTGGGACAAAAGACAAGATTGGCCTTGAGATTGTCCAAGGATCCTCGTTTCGAGAAGTTGACTTGTGATCACAAGGGCACTTATGCTGATGATTGTTTAGTCAATAGAGTGAAACAACATAGATGTTTCATAGTAGCCACTTGTGATAAGGATCTAAAACGCAGAATCCGTAAAATTCCTGGTGTTCCAATAATGTTCATCTAGAATCACAAATATACCATAGAAAGAATGCCTGAAGCATTTGGTGCTCCAAGATGAATTGCTATTATTTTTATTAATTTATATAAATGGCTGAATTAACAAGAGAGGAGAAGAAAGAAAAAAGCAAATAAATGAAAGACAAAATGAAATATGTGGAGCAATAGGCAAGATTCAGAAAGGCCTAAACCCAATTAAGAGAATATGGATTAGAAAATACTACAACTTCCACCAAGCGTGAAATCATGAGGGCTTTGGAAATTGATATGGATGATCAATAATAAAAGCACTATTAAGGACTACAAAAGAAATTAGTGAGAATGAATTATTATGGATCATTTTTTGGGTTGACTACTGCTGCCATATTGCCTAGAACATTTAGAGTTTATCAGAAACTTGGATTAGTATCAAGGTTATTTCTAAATTTTATATTTTAGAGTCGCTCTTTGTGTTGGTACATTTTTGATCACTTAACAGGGAGTGGCATTCAAATACTTGTGTGATGTGGATGATTTCGAAGTTGATTTCATTGAAAAGCACAAAAGCAAATTTTTAGAAACATCCTTTGAGAGTTGATTTAATTTAGTTTTATTATCTTTTAATAATTGTATGTAATATTACATCCCAACCAAAGATGTTTTGGGAGCACTTTCAGACGTATTTTCCAAGTGCAACTACCAATTTGATAGCTCTAAGCGTTCTGAATCATTTGAAAAACTGGCTTCTGCTTTTTAGTCTAAACTCGATACCAATAAATTCAAAAGCAATTTGGATAAGTATATTGAAAAGGTCAAATGTAATAAATTAGCTTGATTTTAGAAAAAATTTAGTCGCAAGATGAAAATGACGGTTCCCTATATCTAACCAGCTAATGTAACGATATATCAAACAAAAATGAATAACAAATGACAGGGTTGTTAAATTCAATACCATCGAAGGCTCCTCCTGAAACCTTTGATCAATAAATACAAACTGATACTTTGATATCTTCAGAAGCACCTGGAGTTCTAGTGGATAATGGTTGTTAAATAATAGTTGAAAAAGTAGAAAATTTAACATAAACAGAATATAATAAGGTAGATGCCACAACCAATACTGTAATTGAAGAGGAGAGTGTAAAAATAAAGAATTAAAATTAACTAAATTTATCTAGTCAAGAAGTCTCTATTCAAGTTTAGAGTCTTTAAATTAAATTACAATAATTCAGATTTTTCATGTCAAGTAGAACAATTGCAGGAAGACTCCTAAAATAATTTGTTAAATTAAAGACTTGAAAATAATAGTGATTAACAACAGTAGAGTTATCATTCATCTGATCTCATTGACAATTTGTAAATTATCCATGATTAAATAAATGAGGAGTGTGTAAAATGTCCATGTGGTAAGAGTTTTCTTTTGAGCAAAAAAAAACTAATTGACGCAGAATGTTAATATGATAGGTCCCCTAATACGAAATAATCGATAAGAATGAATGATTTGGATTTGGAATTAGAGGAGAAGTTTAAGCATATAAGGATTAGAAGCAGATGCATGAGCCAAACCAATTAAATTAATGATAAGATGTAAATTAATGATGAAGATTAAATCACATTTTTAGAAAATGGTAAATACTATCCTTTATAAATTTGATAGAATTATAATTAAAAAGTGAATTATTAGAAACTAAAAATTAAGCCATTTTCAAACTGCACTCTTAGATTGAAGATTTGCATAAATTAATTATTGATCAAAAGGATAGTGCTAGAAATCTCAACAATTCAGATTCAGATATCTCTAATGAAAGAGATGATGGTAAATATGAAAATTTGCAACTATAAATCTAAACTGGTACTGATATCCAAGATCAACTAACTAAGCAGATGATATAATATAGCGAAGAGAATAGGAATCTTTAGGAATAACTCAGAGATGTTAGAGACTAGAATTAAGATCTTAAGGAAGAACTTGATAAATTGACTATTTAATTAACTCAGTTAAAACATTATCAGGCAGAGTAAGAAGAAAATAAAGCCAAAGAAATAGATATCATTAATGAAGACTATTAAGATAAGTTATCTAAACAAAATATGATCATTGATGACTTATAATAATAAATTAGTAGTATCTCAGGCAGCCCGATGGGATTAAATCAATTGTCTATGCCTTAAACTATGAAATACATTTCCTAACAATAATAAACTCTGGGATCAGACTCATAATAATCAAAAGGATCAAATTCTAAGACTTAAGAGGAAAAGCAATAATTTATGAGAAACTTTAAAAAAATGACTAGCATGACAGCTGGATTGATGTCGAATAAATAAGACTATACTACTTTGGGAGTCTTGGGTAAAATGGATTAGTATAAAAGCTAATAAAAATTAGAATCCTTTAATAAACTTAATTGATTGTTATTATATTTATTATTTCAAATTTAAATAAATAAACAGTAAGTTAATTTTATTTAATAGTTCATTCAGAAGAACACCATTATTCATATCATTCAGGTGTAATTCTTCTATAAAAATTAAATGCCATATAGATTTAGATTCAATGGAGAATGGATTGATTTAATCTATGTATTGTCACTATAAAAACACAGTGTTTGAGTCTTGGTTGAAAGTTTTAATGAAAAAATAAACACAAAAAATTTTGACTCATATCTGCCTTAATTCCTCACTTTGAAGTCTAAATGATCTTTCTTATTAAATCTTTCGTCTTTGAAAAATGGGATTCTTAACAATTTAAAACAGTTGGTTTTCTGTCTTTCTTTGTTCCTTTAAATGAATCTTCGAATTTACAGAGTATTATAGATTTTCCTTTGTACTTTTCATGTTTGCACAACCCATTTAATTAGGAATAAAATGATAATAACTAATTAAATCCAATCTAATTTGAATTAAATGGATTGTATCTTTTTATGTCCGTCTTTTAATTAAATATTCATCAATATTAATAATTTCTGGAGATTAAATCCAGAAAATGACAAATTATATTTTAAGTAATATTTTGAAATAATGTTTAATTAATTAATTTTAAGTTAGAGACTCTATGTATTTATCGAATGCATCCTCCTCGAGTGGGAAATTTTAGAGTGCTAAACAACAACAACAGGAATCCATTAAGGTCAAAGAATAACAGGATTAAACTATTAATTCTGAAGGGGATCTGGAATCTGAATTTAATTAGGATGAATAATATTAGAGATCGCAGCACAATCAGAAGAACTAGAAATTCGAAGCATCTGAATAGGAGGTCGTATCTATTGAGGTGAAAAAGGAAATGGTATAGGTAGAGCAATTGAACACTGAAATGCAAGAGGAGAAACCTTTAACTTTGAATTTCATGAGTATGCCTTCTAATCAGAGGAATAATCTTCAGACTTATAAATCATCAAATAGGAAACTTGTTCCTATTAATCAACATAGTTTAAGTTAATCAATGATATCAAATATGACTTTGAATAATAAAGGGGCAGGGTTTCGTAAAATAAATGCGTTCTATTATGATAGAATAGGAGATTAATTGAGTTTGATATTCATGGAAAATAAGAATATAATCAAGTTTCTAGCAAGAGAGACAGTAATTCCTCTCCTTATAGCTATTTGTGGTAGAAGGTGTTGATTTTGGTTGTGCAAAATGAGATTGGAGAATTCTGCTTTATTGATGGGATTGATTGCTCTAGTTATTGGGTTATGATTATGGTCATTTGTCAAATAATAGATTGTAAGATTATCATTAATAATAAACAGCTTTTTAAATTAGGGATTGTATTCTGCAAAAGGTCATATATTGTACAAATTGGTATTAGGAAATAAGTTGATACAGGTCAAGAATGGGAGACCTTTGATGGAGTACTTTGTATTGATCTTAATGACAATATTAACAGATTTTATTATGATATTTTGGGTTGGATTCAATGAAGATTGGCTCTTTATAGTATATGTCTATATAATTGGATTGGTTGTGTTTTTCAATACGTTTAGAATGAAGACATGGCCAAGTTAGCTTTTAAAAGGCTTAAGCTATTTCTTGTATGATGTCACAATAATTGGATTGTTGTTGGTTTGTTTTAAACTACTGCCTTCAATAAAATAGTCATTGAGAGATCACAATCCTGTGGCTTGGAATGAATATTACATGTTCATATATGCCTTTTTGGATTTGGGAATGGAGATCATAATGGATTTAACGTTGTCGTTAACCAAATTCAGTGAATTGTATATTTACTAAGGTTAGTTGTTGATAATAGGTACAAGAGTTGGGACATTGATTTAAGCAGACATGGCAAGATTCGATTTTTGGTTTTGCTTATTTTTCTTGATAATGTTTAGGATCAATAACATATCAATAGTATTTACTGTATTTTTTAGACGATTAATCTATTATGCAAGTCCGAATAGTTTGAAACCCTATGTATCTATGGAAGAGACAAATCTAACCAGAAAGGGTAAGAAATGGGAAGCATGTTGGGAACATTTGTTTTGGATTATCTATTTCTATATGTTCATAATCTCAGGAAGAACCTTCACCAATTGGGTTTTTGATAAATCCTACATTTCGAATGGGAAATTTGAGACAAGCATATGGGATGGATATGAGAAATCAAATTATATGCCTATTATTGTATGGGCATTTCTGTTGAATACCTGAGTATGTTGGGTATAGATTAAATAAATCAAAGAATTTATGATAATATAAAATTATTGGGAGGGAACAAATTGAAGTTTTATGAGAATCTATTCATAAGAATATTTGGAGTATATTTATTCAACTTTGCATTGATGAGTAATCTAATTTGACATTACATAATATATTCTAAATTTAATTCACAATTTCTCCATTGTAACTAATAATCGACTTCTTTTATCAACCATTTTCTACTCTCGAAAATCAATTAATTCGAATCCATCCTCCTTCTCTACTTTCTTTTCCATACCTTTAAACAATGGATACAGATAAACGAGTCTTCCTCCTTTTCTTAGTACTCTTCTGGCTACTTCAAACATTCTTTTATAGATTGCTGTTCGATTAGCTTATAAATCCTACTCATTTCCATCTTATTAGATTGATGCTCTTATGCCATAAGGAGGATCACAAATTATCGCATCAAAGAATTCATCAACTCTTGGATTGAAATTAGGTAAGTGAATATCAGTCTATATCAAATTAGGAGGAGGAAGGTTGTATTGTTGAAAGTTCAAATTTATGTAGGGTTTAACTTATTTATAGTTTGGATCTTTGAGGTAGGTACTTTTGCTATTGATATATCCAATGCAATGTCCTTTCATCAACTAAGGAATAGCAAATATCTCTTACATATCCATCTATTTCAGAGCCAAAACAAATGGCTCCAAAATGGGAACAGGCTACTAAAGAACTGCCTGTTCCTGCAAAAGGATCGAATACAAAATCATTCTCTTTGACTTAGGCTTAATTGGCCATCAAAAATGCCAAATCATGAGCCAGAGAAACTGGACCCAGATAAATTCGATTAGGCAATTCGTAGATTCTTGCAAAGTTCTTCTCTCTTCTTTTCTTCTTCTTTGCCAAGTTGAAACCAGCAATATACTTCTGATCTTTAGTGATCATTAAATAATAGAGAATGTCGGGTTCAGTTAAATTAATAGTATTTTGACAATTAAATCCCTTCTCTCCAAAAACTTACTCCATCAATTCAACTCTCTTCTCCTAAGTAATTTTGAAAAAAGATGTTATGATATCACATTTACATGAGAGATTGGAATTTTCGATGTATGGCATAGCTTATAGTAACACATTCATAGGTAACTCCTCTATTGTATTGGCTCTACTGATTGTGAAGAGGATGTCATGAATCATAAGGGATCGACTCAAAACCTTGGGTATTATATCCAGATCCTTCAGATACACATCTACAAAAGGATAGTTGGGGAGAGTTTGAGATGTAATTTCATATTTCTTTGGGAACTAATTTATTGGGAAATACAATTTGAGCAATTCCTAATATGGGATTCCAAAAAGTTCAAATAGTTGAATTGCTTCCTATATTGCAAACTCTCCCATCTCAATAGACTGATTTAAAACTAAGGTGACAATGTGTTCTTATTCTTGAATCATAAATTAAATATCAATATTAATTATACTATTAACCAATGACTAAGTTATTAAATTTTATATCAATCAATTTTCTAATACACCCTCTCTCCAAATTCCCTCAATTTATTCTCCGTCTTGAGTGATGAATACTCCTTTGCCCTCGATCATGCCATCATTGAATTACCCTTCATAGCGCTCTCCATTGGTAAGATACAAAGCTCCATTTCCTTGCATCTTGCCCTAATAGAACTCTCCCTCGTAACTTAACCAACCATTCTCAATGACACTCAGATCTCTATAATCGAAAGGACCATTGATTTCTTCTGCTGAATAGTTAATCAGTTTTCCTTGCCCATGGTATTGGTTGTCTTGCCAATAGCCACTGTATACTTCATTGTCATTTTGATCATTCAAAACCCCAAATCCTTCTCTTGTTGCTGGTTCATATCCTTGACCTCTATAAATGTACCCATCTTCGTATTGCAAGGCCAAATCTTGGAGTTACTGTTATTCCTCTTATTTTGGTTACGGTTTATTGTACTTCTGAACCAAATCCCTCGTTCTATCGATTGCATCTTGGAACTTCTTTTCCAGATCGTCATCCTGTTAGGAAAGGATCGGAGGTTGAGAGTATTGAGGTTTGTGTTAATATTGTGGAGCTGCTTAATAATTCGACTTTGATTATGGGGCTGGTTTCGATTGTCTCGATTAAACCTAAGGAGTAACTGGTTATTATTGATGAAAGGATTTTGAATACTGCTACGACTACGGTTGATATGGAATGGATGATCTAACAAAGGGTTATTGTTAATAGGAAGTATTCAGAGGCATTTATTAGGTTGGTGGTGCCATGGTTCTTGTTATGTAGGATTGATGGATGGAATTACTATGTCGAGGAGGGATGATTGGTTAAGTATGATACACTCTTGTTGTCGAAATTGGCTATTATTTCATAGATTTTATGATGATACTGGTTGTTATATTTGGAAATTTGGTGGCTTAATGATCACTTTGACTGGTGGCTGATAATATCTAAAATAAGATGACTGAATATAGGCTGGTTGAGGGGATGCAAGGTAGAACGAAGTATTATACATAAAAATAAATTTTATTGCAAATGATTACAAATATCAAGATTACTAATTCAATCTAGTCTCTTGAAGATATACATATAACCCTTGTTTAAAGCAGGATCAGCTATCTTGGCAACCTTAGAATCATTGTACAGAATCCATTCTCCATTCTTTTTAATGTAAGACACATAATGTCCACTTTGAACAGATTTTCCTAAATGGACTATACACGCTAAGGGATATAAACGAAAGATGATACCAAACAATTAGTATTTTGATGTTTGATTATCAAATTGATCCTACTTCTGTTATTACTACTTCGCTTGTGTCTGATTCATCTCAGCTTCTAAGTCGTGATTAAATATATAATCCATTGCTCTTTTCAAATCATTATCCTTTTATCTAGATACAATATAATACTGTCTTAGATAAAGCGAATCTGGCTTAGTCATGACTGAATCCCATTATAACTATTTATTCAATGAATTTTTCATTTATTTGTTCTTTCTATTTCAATGGTTGATCTTGAGTTGGGTCATCTAGTGATTTCATAATAAAAATCATAGCAGCTTCAATATCATTCTTAAATTTGATGAGTGCTCGTTTGCATCTATTCTCACCAAATCCCATTCCCATCAAAATTTGTAAGGTATCTTCTGTGTATTCCTATTCAGTTTACTCTTTTATTGCATCTTTGTCTTAGAGCACAGGTTCTTTGAAGTCACTAAAGTCATAGATCTCCTTGATCTTTATTGATGCATTCAATTTCTTAGGAACCCAATTCTCTTAGACAAATCTGTTAACAGGTACAAAGAGATATTTAGGGAAAGTCTTAAAGTATTCTTATTTGATAAATGATTACAGGGATTAACATGAAGGACAGACTATGTCTACACGTTCTCCTTCTTTCACTAGTTGCAAACACCTTTCGAATGTTGTGACATACTCAGGTATATCTTTTAATGAGAATGGTTTAATATCCTCTGGTTTCATTGTTTTAATTCTCTCCTCATATTTCTATTTCTCTTGTTTACGATAAAGATCAATTTAATCTTAAGTAGGTTATTCAACAGGGACTTTAAACTCTTAATTTTTAACTACATTAACTTTATGTCCCCCGCAATTCTCACATTTTAAAATAGTAGTCTAATCATATGAGAAGATAGAAGATAATTATGGTAACTTAAATTGTTTTTCAGTTTTCTGAAAGAATGAATTTAATAATTGCCAATATTCCTATGCATCTTATTAATGATTAAAGAGGAAGTTTGAATTTCCTTAGGCTACTAGCAGCTTGAAATCATATGGTTTAATTCCATCCTAATAAAAATTTCTAAATGTTCCTTGTACATTCTTCGATTCTTTCTTTATTGAAAATTCACCACTATTAAGACCATGATTAACCTTACATATTTGACATAATACACAGTTGTATGGTAAACTAGTGCAATTGAATTAATGTTCTAGAGAGTATAGTTATTTAAATTCATGTATACTAAAAATTACTTAGATCACTGAATTCATATAACATGTATTTCCAATATTATCAATTCCTGTAAATCCCGGTCCAAAAATAGGATCCAATACTTGCCCCTCTTCTATCAATTTGCTCAATTGCAATACTAAAATTTTGTCCTAAGTTAATTCAGCCATGGTTTTTTCAGTTTTCACTTATTTTTCTATTTCGATCCCATAAGTAGCAAGATGTTCTTTAAGAAGTTTATCTACCACAGCATCATCACATTTATAGCAAAATACATCGGCTTAACCATCTGAGGTAATAGTTCCCAATTTGACAACCAAATGATGTTGAAGTTCTACAAAATGATCTACTGCATGATTATTTCCTCCTGATCCATCGAAAATCTTTCTACCACAACCAACATGTCCACACTGTAAACATAGCCATAAATTAGTAGATAAACGACATCTTCTGCACTTCTACAGATTTTTTACAACTAACTGTCTCTATTATATAGTTAAGGTATGTTGACATGGTTAAATTGTGTATTCATCTATTATTAATCCAAATGAAGTAGCATTAGTTTATTTAATTGATTAAATTAATCCATCCAACTAAGGAGAATTCAACATTTTCTGACATTTCAAACATATCACACTTGTTTCAAAGTCCAGTTATGGAATATCTTCTATAACTTATTAAGTAATTTCATCCACACTCTATTTTTGCTATTCAATCTCATATAATCTAATGTTCAGAACAATGTAATGATTATGTTAATAACTGTGTTGCGGACTGTGTATTTCAATGCAACCTCCATTAAAACATTTCAAACACACTTATATGCCATTTTCACTCTTTGCTTCCACAAAACAACGAGTGCATTAATTCTTGTATATCATTTATCCCTTGACTGACCAAGTGATGTGTTATTCGTTGATGTGTTCGCATGTACTAGTCATTCCTATTTGAATTAAATAATTAATTAGTCATTGTCATTGGGATTTATAAATAACTTTTATTTGAACTTAAAATAAATATAATTAAATTGAATGAATAATTTTAAATTTGATTTTAATGTCTTTCGAAAGAATGAGACAGAGCTTCAAATCATTCCTGGGCTTAAATGCTAGTCCATAAATTGATTAATCATCTTAGGTATCCATTCCTCAAGAACTTAAATCATCAAACTCATAATGCATCATCAAAAACAAATTTGTTCAAATTGAAAAAAAGCAAGAACGCCTCAATCCCTATAAAAAATCGCTTATCCGCTTAAACGAATATTACAAAACCATCGTCAAAGGGACTGACTTCTCTAAATGTCCAACCATCCAATATTAAATTAATGAAGATGAAGTAATTTTGCATTCTATTAACTTTTAAGAAACAAGCAATCAATCACAAAATATGCAACCCAAGATGGAAGAGAGACGATTAATCTCAAGACTGCTCCTCTTACAGATGGAGTTCCATAAATGATTTCCCTAATCCCACTATTTATAAAATTTCATCCAAACCAACTAAAAATTAAGTTTATGATCCCTAAATGCTCTCCTAATCTAGAGAAAAACAAGCATCAATCAATTTTCAAAAAAAACAGTTTCTCTCCTACTTGGAAGATAAACCTATCAGTGTAATTAATGACAATCACCTAATCGAAGAGAAAAAAAAAAAGTCATCCTAAATCTCAATTCGAAGAGCTGAGAGTTTTCTCTTCGATGATCAAGAAGAACCCATTTATGAAAAAGGAAGATAGGCTGTCCAGAAACAAGAAAACACTACTAAACCAAATGACGAGGACAACCAGAGTGCTTCCGAATCAATAGTAATAAAAAAATAGCCATTATCCAAATTTTGTCAAATTAAAAAATAAGAATTTGAATTCAACCCTAAAATTGAAGCACCAATTTAAATAATAAACAAAGAAGAACAATAAAAAACACAAGTCCAACAACAAGAAAATGTAATTAAACCTACTGATGAATAAATACAACAACAACAGACACCTATTTAATAGAAGTAAGAACCACCTTTAGAAGTCAAACAAGAACCCGTTCTTCAATAGAAAACAGAACCATTACCACAACCAATACCATAACAATCTGTCATTGAAGTTAATCCCTTCACCTCTAACATTGAAAGTCCTCTTTTTAGTGCTCCTTGGTTAACAAGTCAAACACCTATTCAACCTTAAAATTAATCGACATTTAATCTATTTCAATCACAACCAATTTAAAATCAATATCAGGCTCCCTTCATTCCATAATAACCATAATAGGCTGTCTTCCCATTCCAAAATTAGACACAACCATAGCCAAGTGTGTTTACTAATGAAAACTTTTTCTCTTAGTAAATTTAACCATCCTCAAGTCCATTTATGAATAACTAAATGAGTTAGAATGTTTTCAATCAAACCAACTCATTCTAAACTCAATCACCATTTACTTAAAATCAACCCTTTCAATAAAGTTAATCATATTCTAACGATTTATTTGGATTGAATCAATCAAAAACAATGAATAATAACAATGCATTCTTATTTTAAACTAACTCTTTGGGAGGAGGATCGTTTTCAGCTGATGATCAAAATAAACCACGCACCATTGATCTATTTTCAGCTCAACCAGCACAGAATTCATAAACATCAATGATGACTAGTCAAGCTCCTGTTAATTTGTTTGCTCTAGATTAAAATAGTCAAGCATAACCATAAATTAATAAAGAATCTGATAGATATAAAAACAAATTTAAATAAAATACTGTTAAATATAATACTGCTGCATAAAGAATGGAATGAATAATTAAATATTTTTCATATAGGATAAAATAATAGCTTTGAGGACATAAAATTACTCAGAGTAGACTATATAAGTAATTACAAATTGAGTTTAATTAATTAAATTTGATTTTTTTTCTGAATCCACAAATTCTATCTTCTTTTTATTTCTCAATCCATTAATTGCCTTTAATATATCCAATAGAGCTCTTCAATATAAATTATCTGACATAACTTACTGATGTATTCAACATTTTTTTCATGTTTGCAGCATAATTACTTTAATTTGTTATAAATAGCTGGATAGATTTTGGAATGAGCTGCTCATCTTCAATATCTGCCCATTTAAGATGAGGTTTCCATTTTTTTTTGTTCTCCAATTTCACCTAGAAATATATATTATTTAGGAAAAACTATAAAATATAATCTAGCAACAGAGATTAGGACATTATTGTTAGTTTCCCTAATAAATGGATCTTGAAATATTTATATAATCTTCTTTTTATTGAATTCAATTAATTTTAAATTATACTTATTTAGTAATTAAGTAAATATTGCGTAAAACAAATTAAATTTATTGTAAGAGTAAATGATATCAATTTTAAGAAAATACTGATCAACTGAATAAAATCAAAATTTACTAAAGAATGGAATATCAGTTTAAAAATAAACAATCTTTTACTCAATATATAGAAGAGAATTGCTAGTGAAAATTGAGTAATAATATATATCTTTTATTCAAGAAGGTACCTTATTACTTGTAACAGCCTTTACTTTAGCTTTGATTTCAGCATTGACTTCAGCTTATACATCAGCATTTATATCAGCCTTTATTTCAGCTTATACTTCTCCATGTTTACAGATCATGCTCAAAATTAACTTTACTTTAGGATAAAGTTGCTTTGCAAATACTATTCCAAGGCACATTATCAAAAAATTCATTTAAATAAAGCCTAAAGTCACCTAATTTTCATACGAGATAGAAAACAAACCAAAATCAAAATATACAAATAAGCTTAAACTAAATACTGTTAAAACTCCTTCAATTGTTAATAGTATAATCCTATCGAATTTGGTACATATTTTATATTAGTAAATTAAATAAAATTAGCTTAAATTGCTAAAAGAAATTAATAGCCATTGCAAAATTTATTAACTTTAGAATTTTATCAATACGATGTGGAAAAACATAGTTCTGGAAATATCTAAAGCTATGAATTTTACTTACTGATTTACTTTAGTATTTTAATCCTTAAGTTTGCTACATATACTAAACGACTTCAATAACAAGCAAATACACATCAAAAATATGGAAGTTGCAAAAATAGTAGTTAAAATACTTCTCAAATTGTCAACCCGATTATAATTAAGTTATAAAATAACTTTAAATATCAAATCCCATGAGTTAACATAAATAGGTTGTAGTATTTTATTATAATTTTAAAGATATCTTAATTTGGTTAATTAATTGACATGATTTTAGAAATTAAGTAATAAATTAATGATTGCCATTAAAATCTTTGATTCATAGGTTGTTTGGTATTCAAGACATTTCATATACTAGCCTAATTTAAAGAATAAAAGAAAAAGACTCCTGGCAAAATACAGTAGTGGTAGTAATGCTAAAATTTAAATAAATTGAGGTAAAAAATTAGTAAAAAGATCAGCCTCTACATTATATTATTGAAATTTTCCACTTAGATTAACCTATTTTTCTTTTCTTGTTATTATGTTTAAATAGTCATCAGCTTGAAAATATTATATATATGATGTTATTGATAGCATCTCTTAAGCTTAAAAATATATTTAGAGGTTTTCAGGATAATCTACATTAATAAATCGTAAGAATGATTAATATTACAGAAGATTCAGTGTTTCAATAACAAAGGAACTTTAACTAGAAATTAAAGAAACTCCACATATGGTTATTGCTCCAATCATAAAGGCTTTGTTCGATGATGAAGCTAAATTAGATATCTATTTTGATGATTCAGACATTATTTTCGGTAGTTATAGAACGATTGACTCATTAGGATTAAGAATTGTTTAATTGTTTGAGTTAACAAATTTTTGATTCAACTCAATTAAGAGAACAGGATTGATTGAAAGTTGTTATAATATCTCAATCTAAACCTAATACTAAGCATATTAGAGATCGAATGAAATATATTAAATTGGATTAATAGTAATATTATAATACTTGGAATCTAAATCTTTGATGCTAATATTAAATAGCATTTGATCTTTTATTATATTATCCTGAATTTTTACTTCTTAGTCAAATGTAATATCAACATATTATAGAGCATATAATTATTTAATGTAAGTCAGTTACATGATGGCTTTTTTAGAATATACGCATTCATCTCCTCGGCATATCTTATTATCTTTCCATAAACTCTATTCTAATTTTGTACTATCAGTACTTGTACCATTATTTTAAGTTTCTATGATTATGTTAGGATCAGGATCGTTGTCTTTAGGTTCTTCGATAATGCTAGAATTAAGATTATCATTTGCTTTATCTAACAAGCATTGATAATTATTTAAATAATAATCTGTTATGCATTAAATGCATACTCTATCTTAACACACCTGACAATCTTTTGAGCATTAAAATTTGCATTCGTAACATCCATCACCAGGAAGACTATTAAAATCTTCACAATCTTCATTACCTGCCACAATTTCATCTCCACATTATGGTAGACAATCATTACTATCATTATCATAATACAATCCTACTAAACCTTCACATTATTTTATTTCTTCACACTTACTTTTTGATAGTATTAAAGGAAGTTCACATAACATACATTTTCCCAGTTAACAATCCAAACACTCATCTTGACATTTAAATTAACACTAAGCACAATCAACATATCCTTCATAATTGTCATAATCACAAGCTTCATCAATCGCCAATATTTTATCACCACAAACAGAAGTACATTAATTACTCAAATTATTCAAATAAAATCCTACTAAGCAATGATAACAAACACCGTAAACACAAGACATACAATATTGAGGACATTAGAAGCTACAATTTAAACAAGTATCTATTTAGTATTCACTTCCATAATCGCATTCTTCCTCCTAAACTATTATGCCATCTCCACAAATAGAAACACAGGAATAGTTTTCATCCAAATAATAGCCTTTTTAACAAATTAGACAATTATTTTCATTACAAGACTCACAGTAATCAAAACAATAACTACAATATAAATCTGGAGATAATCTAAGTTAATACTGGCAAAAACTTAATGGTGCTGCTTTTAACCTGCACTTTTACTCACCTTTTTCAAAGTAGGCATAATCTTCACACTAATCACAACTATCCCCAATTTAGATTTTACAGTATTCAACAACAATAGAATTATATTATATAGATTTAACACACAGCCATTTATTCGACACTAATTCATATCCATCTTTGCATTGCTAACAAATACCAAATTAACATGATAAGCAATTTGAATCACAAGTAAATTTACAAGATTAGCAATTTTGATAAGTTTGCAATGAAGTTACTACATCACATTGTTTATTATATTATTAAAAGCCACTTCCACATATAGAGTAGCATTTAGATTTTACTAATTGATAACCTTCTTAGCAATCTTAACAGATTCCTTTAAGACAAAAAAGACATGAATCCTAGCAACTATATTTACAGAAATGACATCCATCCCCAATTACTAAATTATCATCATCACATTCTTCATCTTATGTTATTATTCCATCCCCACATTTTGAATAACATAAATAATCAATTCTGTTGTAACCAGTTTTACATGCTAGACAGCCAAGCCCAGAATTATCACAAGTGAGGCAAGAATTTTGACATTTTGCTAAGCAATTTTAGCAACCTTTGTATGGTAGTATAAACGATTTCTCACATTATTCAAATGCTACAATTAAGGAATCCCCACAAATTGGTATGCATATTTTTTGACTCGAGAGAACATATCCAACAGCACATGTTTCACATCTACTACTTACGCAATTAGTGCAAATAGATGAATTTTAACACTAAAATTCACAAGAACTACTGCAACCATCATAATTAGTAGTATTGCCATCATCGCATTACTCTGTAAAAAACCCAGTAGGATCTATTGCGACTATGCCATCTCCGCATATATTTTAACAATAGTAAGAATAAGGAGCAAACCCAGGTGTAGAACAACTTAAGCATTTGTTGGTTGAATAATCACAAGAAGAACAACCAAGTCGACAGAAATACATACAATTTTTGCAACCATCTGTATCAGAAGAGTTTCCATCATCACATTATTCACTTCCAACTGTTATCGTATCTCCACAAATATGGTTACATTACCAAGGTGTAACCGTAGTATCTACTCGCCAACCAGCAGTAGAACACTCAAAACATTATCCTTTTATGCAATTTGTACATTAAGGTTAACATTAATATTTACAATTAAAACATCCATCATATTAAATATTATTTCCATCTTCACATTCTTCGATTCCTGTTATAATTTCATCTCCGCAAATATCAGGACAAGGTAAGGTTATTGATTAATCACAAGTTAAACAATGAGCTGGACATTAGAATTAGCAATTAAAGCATAAATCATTAAGGATTGCATTATTATCTTCACATTATTCATATCCTTTCTTTTATAAATCTCCACAAATAGGTTGACATTATCCAGATACTAATTAAAACCCAGTATCGCAAGAACTACAAGTGGCAGTATGCCATATCAATTAATTATTTATGCAAATTTTATAACATTAACTAAGAGATGGAGTTTCTATAGTTGGGCAACCTATAATATGATTATTAAATATACTTGTGCAATTAGTATTATTTTCATAATAACCAGGTTTACAAACACAATTTAATCCTTTTAATATTCTATTTGAAGCAGGATCGCATGTTAGACAACCATCAATTTTTGTTCTAAAGCATGTTTAGCATTATGGATGACAAGAATCACAAGTTTTTGTTGCATCTTTATAAGAATATCCTGCTGGACATCGACATGTGGATCCAACATATTCAATATTAACAATATTATTGCAAGTTAAACACTCAGATGCAGTTGGTCCAGTACAAGTTTTACAAAATTAATGGCATAGCTTACATTAAGGATTAGATACTATATGATAATACCCGTCAATACAATTGCATTACCCATTTGATAATTTTCTATTATTAGAAATTAAACATTCTATACATTAAGTAGAAGTTAAACATTAATTACATTCAATTGGACAATCAAAACACTGATTTGATTCTTCATATTGATTCATTTTGCAAGTACATCCTAATTTAGATTAGGTATAAGTTGATTTGCATGTTTAACAATCTAATTTAGATGTACATGTTAAACAGGATTATGGACATTCTAAACATCTTACAGTTTCTTTATCATGATATTGGTTAATCAAACATTCTGCTTAAGAAAATTTAACGATATTAGAATCATAAGTGCTGTTCCATTAAGTACATTTAGATTAATCCTCACATTCTAAACAATAAGGTTAGCAATTATGAACGGCAATATAATAATTATAGACTCCACAAAATGCCTGAATTGGTTCATTATTTGGTCCAAAGCATTCCCATGTGATTGTTAATGTATTTGTATTATGATTGATTTTTTCATATACTTTGTCATATTTTGAATCAAAATAAGTTGAAAAAAAAAATTAAGTTGATTTAGTAACTGGTGCATTATTCTCAATTGTATATATAAATTGTCCATCTTCAGAGAAAGATGGTCCATATAAAATATAAAATGCTATTGTGAGACTATGATGTGGAGATGATATAGTATGAACCCTTTAGAATTTAGCTTATGCCCATACTAAAGGACCTCCAAAGAGTCTAAGTTAATTATAAAATGAAAAATAGATATTTGATCCTTTCAAAAAGTTTGTTCCACTTTGTGAAATTAAAGTATACTTTGCATATTATTCAGGGTCACCAGCAGAACTTATATATTCCTTAATCAAATATGAAGAGTCTAATTATTATTTATGTAATACAAGGTGTTTCGTCATCGTAATCATAACAATAAGAGTCCTATGGTTTTTAGTATGGAGCTGAACAAGAACATGTACAACTACCATCTCGATAAAAAAAGCATCCACTTTGACAAATTTTACATTTAAATGATACTTCACACAATTAGCAATAATTAGAACAATATCCCTAAGTAACTTAGATTCCAGAAATTCCCCATCCTGCTGTGTCAACTCTAAGTTATATTAATTAATATTTACGTGTAATTTCCTACAACTGAAAATAAAAATGAATATTTAGGAATGTCAACATATGCAATAATTTAATACATTTAACTCTAGGCATACGAAAGGTATGATCCATAGTTAGTAATTTGAGATATTTTGACTTAATGGGTTTGAATCCCAGATGCATTCCTATAAATAGATCCATAATAAGTATTATTAATCTTAAACTATATTCCACAATTAAGTGGAATATCATTATAAGTCATGATTGAAATTACTACTCCAACCAAATATGTCGAATAAGAATAGTTAGGCAAATTATTCATATATCTATTGACACCAGAATTAAACCTGAATACTCCATATGCATAGGCATTTTTAGTATAATTTGTCTCTAAATGTTGCGGGTCATATATAATCTACCATCTCAACGCTTGTATCGAATTGCTATCATAATAACCTTATTCAATTACTTAAACTAAGATATATTTATAAAAAAATACTTGGATATTCTTAACAAAACCCATTTTTCAATAATGGATTATCGAATTTACAAATGTTATAGCATCCCGAGTGCTTCCAATAGAACTAATTTTATTAACAAGGTGGGCAAATGCTATTTGTCGTTGATCCATAATAGCAACTTGTACATTAATTATAATTTGGGCCTGCGCACAGTCTACATGATGGATAGCATATTATATTTGAGATGTACACGTTTTTAAATGAGACTTGTCCTGAATTTGTATTATAGGATTTAATTTTTAATTTTTCTTGGCTTGTCGTTCCTGTAACACCATATGTAAAATTAAGAGTCTTAACTTCATAAGAAGAGTTATCACAAAATCCTCCAGTTAATGGATAAGTTGTCGGGGAAGTATAGGTATATATAAAAGAAAATGATCCAAGTGTAATTTCAACTTTTTAAGAGGACCATGTACTCTGAAAATATAAGTCCATAGATATCCAATTTTCACCTTAAAAGCTATAAACATTATATGTTTCAGCGGATGGATATATATTATTTAAAGTAATATAACTTGTGGAAGGGGTTGAACAACTGATAAAATTTGCTGTTGTTTAGCTTGAAGGCAATAAAAATCCTCCGGAATTATACCATGCCAAATCCCCTGTATTTTGAGTAAATTACGAATCATAATATAACATCGAAGTATAGGTTGTCCATTGTGAGTTCAAAAGCACAAACTATGAAAATAAGAAAGTAAAAATTTAAAAAAGCATAAATAAATATCATGAAATAAGTAATCAACTCAATAAAATATATAATTCAAAAAAATAAAACATACTAATCCGAAAATTTAAATTTTGTTGATATTCATGAGCATTTTCGTCAGCACAAATATAAAGACATATAAGGTCGAAAAACGATTAGATTTTACCAGTATCATAATAACTAAAATAAATCTTTGTAATATTAAGTAAAATTACAAAAGGATTCGATAATTAACTTTTTCTTCGTTATCTTAAATGATCAATTATCTATAAATGATACTAGTTTACTAGAAAAGAAAGCAATGTCAATAGTATAGAATCTTTAACCTTTTATGAAAGTTACATTCACACAATTTATCTGAGGGTTCTCTCTTCCAAAATCTTGAAATTCTGGATATGAAGGCCATTCTACACTTCTCCCTTCTACGCGGCTATTGCTTGATTGTATAGTAACAGTTTTTAAAAGACTTCATCTTTTAAGTAAAGTCAGTCATCGTTAATAGTCTTTAACATCTAGTAGATAATTACAATCAACAACCAATTTGACTATCTTCCTATTCAAAAACAACTAAAATAGATTGATGTATAACAGGGTGTCTTAAAAATATCATAAATTATAATTGAGGATTTTTTTTTTAAGAAAATAGAGAAGAATTATAAAAAATTCTATATAGCATCACATGAACATAAGTAAATTGAAAGTAAAAAGAAACTCTAAAGTCAATATTTAACTAAATTAAAGTATTTTGATATTTGGTTTAAATCACTTAATGATCATTTATATTTCTTTAATGAATAACAAAATCACACTCATACTGACTCTATATTGACTAATGTAAAATAGACAGAATAGAAATGATTATTGGACAACAGCCCGTCCAATGGCAGATATCAATATAGAAAATGATAATTAAAAGCCTTAATTAAAATTAATCAATTTTGTATATGCTTTGATCTTATCCATATTAAAACAAAAAGGTATTAATTTAGATTAGAATCAGAAGCCCAAAATAACAACTAAATCAAAAGCAAAAAATGCAAATGATGGATTGTATCATGCTATAAAATGCCACACATATAAAACATCTGAAATTTGTAAAAAAGAAAGTTCTTACTACTTTCAATAATATCAGAAAAGGCAATCGAGGTTTAAGCTTAAGAGGAGAAATATTATTAATTTATTGTTTTGATTAATAATCCTCCAATTTCAATTGTTTAATAACATTTTGGATAATCCAGCATTTATATTTATTTACACATATATATCAATCGATTTCATCAAGTTGAGTTGATTGTCCAAAATTTCCAATTGTATTAATTTCCACCTATTCACTTCCATGGTCACTAGCTCCATCTACACTCTTCTAATCTCCATCAATACTTCTGTGTTCACTTTGTCCATCAGCAATTCTTGAAGTATTTTCAGATTGATTGTCTGATTACTTATCGGAGTGTTTCTCTGATTAGTGTTCTGACTACTGAGCAGATTATTGAGCAGATGATCTAACATCACTAGCATTCGATTAAGTATTATAAGTTGATAGATGTGAAGGTTCTTCGTTATCTGAACCATTATCTACTTATTATTATTCTTCTTATTATTATTGTTGTTGTTATTCTTGCTATTATTATTATTCTTCTCTATATCTACGAATCATGTCTTTAAAGTTTTGATGTTGTCTCATATGCTCTTCCTCTTGCTCCTTCTTATACTTTTGTCTTTCCTCTCTCTCCATATCTAGTCCTCCTTTTGCAAAGGCCTCAGCAAATCCTAAATTGATTATATTTGAAGATGTTACTTCTTTCATCATCAAAGACAGGTCTGTCATCCAAATACTTTAAGGTCTTAATTCTACTGATCAGGGTTTTTCGATAATGTTGGATTTACTTTCCGGCTGTATTGTTCTAGAAATACAAGACTGCTAATTGAGGTATTTTTAAAAATATTTCGTCTACAACATTTGGGTCATCTATTTTATTGTCTGATACATCCAACACTGATAAATTCTGTAAGCAAAGTACTCCTTCTAAATCACTAAGTCCATTCATCCCAATCCTATTTCTTTTTATCTGAAGAGTCTACAGTTTTTAACATTATTCCAACCTATAAAAGATATAAAATTGCTATTCATACCCCTCAATCTTGCTTATCATATTGTCACTTAGATTTAGATTAATTAACTCAGTTAGCATGTGCAAGTTTTCCATTTTTCTAATTATGTTCTCCTATAAATATAAGCATTTCAGGGAAGTCAAACAATCCAGTCCTAAGATAGATTAATCAACTTACCTTCGATGCTTTGTAGACCATTTCCCTCCAAGTAAATGACTTTTAACCCTGTGAACTCTTCAAGATTCTCAATCTTTTCAAAGCCTTTGTAATGCAAGTAAAGACAATCATTTAGCTCTGGAGTGGTGTAATAGAGTTTGAATTCTTTTCTTAAGTTTTAGGGAATGTTTAGATTGAGAAGCGCTTCTTTCCTCCCTGTACATTAATTTAATAATAATAATATTTATACGGTTATTGTGTGGCTTTAACAAAATTAATAAATACTGAAACGACGAAAACTGAGTGAATACTCTTATGATTGAAATTTAGATTATTATTAATAAAATTAGTTCATATTTATAGATCAGGCATTTGATTTTGAAAAATAAGAAATTAAATTATTTTCTTATAAATGGGCGACAAGAAAATTAAAATAGATGAGTACAAAGAGATTCGTTTGGGAGGATTTCAAGCAAGATCGCACAATTGGTGGGAAGAAGCCAATCCTGAAGAATCTGAGGAGGAAGAACAATAGGGTCAAGAATGGAGGTATTTGGAACATCATGGAGTTTTGTTTCCTCCATTTTATAAGAGACACAATGTGGGTTTGATTTACAATGGGAAGTTGATAACCCTCACAGAGGAGTAGGAAGAACTTTGCACATATTGGGCATAATCTATTGGATCTCCATATGAAAATAAGGAAATTTACAGGAAGAATTTTGAATCGCTTATGCAGACAAAATTTGAAGGGTTTTAATTGGATAAGGCTGATTTCACAAAGATAAAGGAATATTTGGAATAGCAAAGATTATTGAGATTGAATAAATCTGATGAATAAAAAAAGCAGGAGAAATTAGAAAGAGATCAAAGGGAATTGTTTTATGGGTATGCTTTGGTGGATGGTTGTTTGGAAAGAGTAGGCAATTACACACTGGAATAGCCCACTTTATTCAAGGGACGTGGAGAACATCCAAAGGCAGGATTGCTAAAAGCCAGGATATTTCCAGAGGAATTAACAGTGAATCTAAGTACATAGGCTCCAGTGCCATAATGTAAATTGCCTGGTCATTCTTGGGGCAAGATAGTGCATAGAAATGATGTTACTTGGCTGTTTTCTTATGTGGATTCCAGTATCAGAAAAGACAATCATAAATATGTCCAATTTGCTGCCACTTCAAGATTTAAGTAGATGAATGATAAGAGGAAGTATGAGAAGGCAAGGAGATTGAAGAATTAAATTGATCAAATTAGAGAGAATTACACTAAGAAGTTACAATCAGATTCAATTAAAGAAAGATAATTAGGAACAGCAACCTATTTGATAGATAAATTGGCATTGAGAGTTGGAAATGAAAAGGATGAGGATGAAGCAGACACAGTCGGTTGTTGCAGTTTAAGAGTAGAACATATCAAATTGAAGGAGGATGATGTAGTGGCCTTTGATTTCTTGGGTAAGGACTCCATGAGATACAATAATGAGGTTAAATTAGCACATTAGATTTGGAAGAATCTCAAACTGTTCATCAAAGGAAAACAACCAGAAGACAACTTGTTTAGTGATATAAGTGTTGATGATTTGAATGATTTCTTGAAAAAGTAAATGGAAGGATTAACAGCCAAGGTCTTTAGAACTTATAATGCAAGTTTTACACTCCAACAACAACTTGATTTAGGTGGCAAATTAGATGGCCACTCCGTTTAATAAAAGGTATATTTTAAATGTATCTCTAGGTTGATTTCTATGATAATGCCAATAAACAGGTAGCTATTTTATGTAATCATCAAAAAACTATATCTAAATAATTTGAATTAACTAAAAAGAAAATCAATACGAAATTAGAATGCATGAAAACATACATCCAAGAATTGGAATAGCATTATAAGAAGAAGAATCCTAATGAATATGAGGAGGAAGTTTAATTAGAGGAGGGATCTCAGAAGAAGAACAGTATCTTTATCAAGAAGTTCCCAGGACAACATGATAAGATCAAATAAACGATTTAGAAGACTCAGGAGAAATATTAGAAGGAGTTGAAAGGGTTGGAAAAGAAAGAAGAAAATAAGGAGATAGCTTTGGGAACTTCCAAAACCAATTACAATGATCCTAGAATTAGTGTGGCATTTTGTAAAGTACATGATGTGCCTATAGAAAGAGTGTTTTCAAAAACTTTAAGAAATAAATTCATTTGGGCTATGGCTACAGATTCTAATTGGAAATTTTGATTATGATATAACAGTCCCATTTAGTATTATGCACATAGTTTATAATTTTAAATAATTATACTCCATTATATGAAATATTAGATATATATAGGAATAAATAAAAATAAATGATAAATTTATCTGACAGAGAGAAGGAGTTGATTGAGGAAATATGTGCAAAAAATGTGAAGCAAAATAAGAAGAGTAATCCACAACAGGGGAGTCAAAAATTAGTCAGTCAATCAAGTACCAAGATTTTAGTGTCTAGATTGGAACGTAAATTGAATGAAGTATTTCATATTGCAAATATAGACATTAAAAGAAGTCGATGAATAAAATAGTGGTCAAATTAATTTCTAACAACTAGGACGATTATTTACATTGTTAGATATATTCCAAGCTATCTCTTACAATCAAGATTATCAGTTAGAGGCACAAGGTCTCAACAATCCTATGCAAAAGTAACACCAATCTATAAGGTAGACAATAAGAAGTAGATTTGCACGAGAAAGCATTTGCAATTATTTCTAACGATGGAGAGTAAGCTGACATACAAGCAGCCTTTTGTCTATTTAGAATCATCTTGGATCCCAATTAATTGGAACCATCTAAATGCGCTATTTTAATCAAAGAGTATTTAGAGAAGATTTCTGACAAAGAATTTGATTATGAAGCAATCTTCAGATTTTGCTCTGAATTCTAAGCATATCAAAAGACTCGTTTATCAGGAGCTAAAATAGGCTACTTGAAAGCATCTTTAGCCTCAAATCTCATTGAAACCTATGAAAAGACTTTGACTTTCAAACCAGCTATCAATCCTATTAGTGAAGCTTTGCAATAATAATCAGGCAAGAAGGAAAACCAAGAATCATTATCCCAATTTTCATCAGGACTTGCTGAAAGTCGAGTCAATGAACTATATAAAAAGAAGGAATTATCCAATCAGAAGATCGAATTTCTAAAATAGGAAAAGCTTATGAAGGATATGCAAGAGTGCACATTTAAACCATAAATTATTTCAAAGAAAGAGTTACCTAATGTGATCGAAAGGTTGTATTAAGTGAAGAATAGATAGGAAATAGAAGAGAGAGCTAAATTGGCTGAACAAGAGAAGGAGGACTCAGAATATAGTAAATGTTCTTTCCATCCTCAAATTAATTACTCTATGCCTGAATCACAATAGAATGGAGTAGGTGGCTATTGGGAAGCTATAGAGAGAATTAGAAGGGCTACTGACAGAAGACATTTGAAAGATCTGAAATTGAGTCATAAACCCAGTGGAGAGAATTACGAGAAAGTAAAGAACCAACCATTTTCACCTCCAGAAATGCTTTAGAGAAGTTAATTCAAGAAAGAATTGCCTATCCTTTATATTGATATTAAATTGGGTCCTAGAAAGGTGGGTAGGTTAGCATTGAGAAAGAACGATGACGTTGAAGAAGTAGTTTAATCATTCTGTAAGGTTTGGGGAGTTGGGCCATAAGATTATGAATTATTAGTCAATCAAGTTAAAGAAAACCTTCAGAAGTAATTATTGATTATATCTTTTAAGTGTCATTCAAGAAACAGATGAGTCATAAATTTGATTATGAATATGAATACTAATTTAAATTAACATATATATCAGATTGAATTTTTCACAATATTGCATTTTAACTTGATTGCAACTAAGGACCCCAAAATCCAAAGTAAAAGGCTGTATTCGGTTGGTTCCTAACCTCATCAACTTATGGTTAATCTTAAGGTAATATTTCTTCATTTTAAATAGGTTCTTATTGGTTATTATTTTACTCTAAATACTGATTTGATTAATTCTGATTTTATTATATGGAAGGGACTTGATCCTCATTTACTTATTATGGTTATTTAATCTCTTATGTTTATTAGGGTTACTATTGTTGTTGTTATTGATTTGGTTAGACATAAGGGCTGGTTGCTTGATTCTATGGGGGACTTTATTGATAATATGGATTGGGCGGTTGATTATTATACTATTATGGTTATTGCATTCCAAGTTGAGTGTAATTTGGTTGAGTCTATTATTAATATCCAGGATGATAACTAACAGCTTTACCAATTTAAGGGTTATTCTAGAAATTCTGCTGCGGTACCTGTTAAAAATATTGATATCCTTAAGGATTCTACTAATATTATTGATAGCGTTAAGGAGGCTTCTGATACTGCTATTTCATCTGTGGTTACTAGTATTGTTATTGTGGCATCCTATTATTGGGCTAACCTATTGGAGAAAACTAAGTTTGATTTTACGGAATGCTCCAAGTTGTGTTTCCATAAGATTATTAAAGCAACTATGGTTATTGTATGTAGATGACGCTTGGATCATTAGGATCAACTAAGGCTTAACTCTAGGTTCTTGCAAAGTTTTCCATCATACGAGGATCAGGGACTCGTTATCCAGAACTTCGCGACGTTCTGATTTATATTAACACAGAAAAAAGTATCCTTAGAAACTTCTCACATCCTAAAGTGTTAAATTATTCCTACCTCCTGCTTTGAACCGTAATTTAAAATGAGTTCTTCCTGGTAGTAGATTGTATAAGGGAGCCACATCCCCTTCTAAAAAATTACTTCCAAGTATTGGTTGCCGGAACTTCTCAGCACTCAAATAAGCCAAAGGGATATCAAAAGACTTAAAAGAGTCTCTTTAGAAGTTGTCATTCACAAAAACCATTCTACATGTTGTGATGAAAACCTAAATTTAATCAATTACCTACTTTTCCTGAAGCTTTAAACTTGCCCATAGTTTGAATCTTAAATTATCCTTCCATTTCTTTCCTATACAATATAAAGAACTCTTGATCCACTCTTAATGGAACTCCATTTTAAGTGATAGGGGGATTTAAGGCCATTTTATTCGATATTATTATATATATATTTAAATAATCTCTTTTCCATTTAAAATTAATAATTATAGTGAATTATTTTTAAATTAATTAAAATCGAATAAATTTCAAACCATTATATTTTTACCCAAAAAAATTAATAAATACACTAGAATTTTAAAGTAATTTCTATATATATATAAAGATATTAATTGATAGACATTAGACTTTTTATATTGTTTTATATAATATATTTATTATTGTACTAAGCATCAACGATTTGTTTTTGCTACCTTTTCAAGTTCATCTCTCTTCTTAATGGTGTATGACTTTTATCCATCTTCATTGGCTGCTGCAATTAGCTCATCAGCAAGGGCTTCTGCAATGGTCTTCATTTTCTTGAAAACTGAATCTCTTACACCCTTTGCTAGATTATGGACTGCCTATTTGAAGCATATTTGGCATAATTACTTCATTGACTCTTCTAATTGGAGCAACATCAACAGCTTATTATTTAGCTACACCCCCTGTGCCCACCTTTGTGAAGTCTTCTCTGGCTCCACCTCTTTGCACGGCCAATGACAAGACGGAAAGTGGATTTTTACCAGTCAACAAGTGAACAATCTCAAATGCATGTCTGATGATAGCCACAGCCTTTACTTTTTTACCTGTATTACGTCCGTGGAACATAAGTGCACCAGCCAATCTTTCTACAATAGGGCATTATGCTTTTCTAAACTTCTTTCGTTGATATCTATTTTAGAATTGAAAGAGATACCTTCCAGCAGTGTGGGGAACAAAAACTCTGGATTTTGAGGTTTAGACTGCAATGTAGTCTTTGAAACATTAATCTGTCACTTGAACTTCATCGTAATCCCATTTGCCAAATAATTTAGGTTGATTAGCAAATTTCACAGTCGCTACTTATTCTTCTGCCATTTTAAAAATAAGGATTTATTTTTAATTTAAAATTCCTTATACTACAGACATCCTACAACATGAAAGATAAAATATATATAAATATAATTCATAATACTGTCAGACAGGTAATTGAGCCAATTATTTAAGTCTCTCTTGTAAATTGTTGACTGATCTCTATAATTCATCAATCTCTAGACTTTACTTTTTGTCTAGATCATCATTTTGTCTCATAGAATCCTACATAGAAGCAGCCGTTTTCTACGACTCTTCCAATCTAATTTCAATATTCTTGATTTCATTGTTAATCTTAAGATTTGAATCCTCTAAGTCTCCTTCTAATTTCGAATTTTTTTAATCGACCATCTTGAGTTCCTCTTATAATTATTGAAAATTAGTATTGATAGCATCTACTCGTTCTCCAATAGTTATTGTCTTATCATTCACAGATTCCACACTTTAGGTGAGTATCTAAAAAGTATTTTGGATCTTTTTTTGTTAATCATTTAATAATTCGACATTCTTATCTATGTCTTACTATTTGATCATAATAGTCTCATTCTCCTTTTTGAGTATATCAATATCAGTTTGAATTTCCTCCAATAGACCTTTGTGCTAAGTCTGGATTTCATCCAGATCTTTAATATTAATACTTATTTATTGGAGATCTTATCTAGTGTTTTCAACAGTTTAATTTACTTCTTTGATTTGATTCTAATGATCTTCCTTAATGAATTGCTATTATTGTCTAAATTAAATGGAATAATTAATTACTTTAAGTCCTGAATACTTTCAGCCATCAACTTTAAACCTTTCATTTGAGTTTATTAATAGGACTCATTTTAATCAAGAATAAGTTTGGTTTTTTCAACTATTACTAATTGATTTTCTTCAATCACTTCTCTAAATATCCTAAATTTATTTGTGCAATCCTCATCTAATTTATTAACCTTATCCTCTAGAAATTGAACAGTGGCATTCACAGCCTCTAATATTTAATTTTTCTCAATAGATATTCTTTCTAACAAGTGTGACTATTGATCTTCTATCACAGTCTAAAAGTCCTACCTAATCATATCAATATTTTATTCAATGATGGTCTACCGAGAATTCAGATCCTATTTCAACCCTTCAAAGGCTGTTATATGTTATTTAAAGGATTCCCCGAATTTGGAAAATATCACCTTCACTTTTTCATACTTCTAAGCAGATGTCTTAATTGCCTATTAATATAATTAAATTAACTTCTTACTTTATTTATTTCATCATCAATGTACAACGATAGTCTTTCTGCTTTTTCTGCTTAATCTTTCTCTAATTATTTAACTTATGTTTGCAATGCCCTGTTAGCCATTTCTATCTAATCTTTTAAACTATTCAAATCGGAAACGATATCAGTAGCTATGGCAGATGTAAGATTCTTCAATTCAGTATCAGTTGACAATCTTGTTTGCACTTCAATTCTTATCATATCTGTAATCTTCTCAGTAATATTAGCTTAATGTGTTTTGAATAATTCATTCTCCGATTTGATATTCTCTTATATTTTTAATAAATCGCCTCTTAATTAAACTTCATGTGAGTATCTTTGGGCTTCTTCATTTTAAATATTTACTAGAATTTAATTCACTTATGTCTCAATTATAGTTTACAATGAACGAATAGCTTCATCCTTCTTTTATGAATCAATCCGTTGAAATTGTTCTAATGATCCCAATTTTTATATAACTTCCTCCCTCTCATATTACAATCTCTCCATATTAATCTAATCCTTCAAACTCCATGCTTATTTCATCTCTTCCATTGTTTTGACTCTCTGCTCATGCTCCATAACAATTCTATTGATGACTTCGGTTACTCTAGTATCTAATCTTTAAGTGTAATCTTATTAAATTAGTTATAACATTCCCTTGAATTCCTCCTATATTCTCTAATTAGCCATGTCAACCCTGTTGATCTGTTCATGATCTTTTAATTAATCTTTCTAATCCATTAATAATTTAAAAATACCCCTAGTGCTAATAAATTGGCCTCCAAAGCCATGACTCTCTTCTCTACTCTTTCGTTAGTCTCAATTAATGAAATTCATGCCCGAATCTCCTCTCTATGCTACTTAAATCAAAGCTTTCTCTCCATTGTATATCTTGCTCTCCATTCCATTAATTCTCTATTCAAAATGCTGATGAGAAGTCGAAAGTGATTCCTAGAGTTTTTCTTACAACTCTCCCAATCTCACCATCTCCATAAACAAGGCTTTTGTCTTCTCTCTCTCTTTTTAGAGTTGCGAACTCTCTTCAGTTATCTTTTCCTGTAACATTCCTCGCATCTACAAAACCTCGTTAGTATCTTTATTTTAAGTGTTCTTCAAGAAGTACAACAACTCCTTAAGATTTTACTCCTAGATGGCCACTTTTGAACCCAATTCGCTCTTTTGCCTATCTTAAGCTATAATTTTGGTTTCCAGGGAATACATCTTATTCTACAAGTCTTCGAACATTTGGTTAGGCTATTATCAGATCAGAATTAATACATCTCCCATTTAACCTCTCGTCCTAACTTCTCTTTCCAAATCAACTAACATTTTAGAATTCCGCTTAACTTCTTATGTAAGTTACTTTTCCAGCATTTACACTTACTCTTATAATTGAGCAATCCTATCCATTTAGAATATATTTTATTCCTAATTCTCAACAGGCACTGAAGTATTTGCAAAGTTTCTCCTTGATTCTGCTGTTCTTGTAGGTTCATTCTTGACTTCTTAGGACCGGCGATAATCTGGTTATTAGAATCTAGATTCCCCTGTAATTGGATTTATGGCTTAACGACCTGCCTTTAAAGTAAATATGATAATCTTACTTAACTTAAACTCATTTAGAATATTTAGTATATAATGATAATTAATATAATATTAAAGATAACTAATAAAAGTTCTTCATAATATAATTGAAATGAAAATTTATCTATATTGAATAGCTTATTATTAATATGATTAAAATAAATTCATACTTTCAAGCGTCTTCATCATCCAAATCATGATATTTTCCATCATCATCAGCCAATCCTTCATCTATATCTTCTTTAATTTACTCGTCATCATCATCATCATTATTCTTCTTCTAAGGTTTCTTTTGTTCCATTTTCTGAATTACTTATTTTTTGTTTTTCTTCAATACTTCTTTAAAGTTTTCTGGTAAATCTGTCTTACATCTTCCATACTCATACTCAACTTCCACCTATTCATTCGTTTCCAATAGAATTAGAACTCCCCTTCCATGGAAGGTATCATCTTTGAAATTTCCAGTATATTATACCTTACCATTACTATATGTATACGTTCCATCCAATGAAGCTAATTGTTTATTAAATATATACATCTTTATCCATTTAAAAATTATCCCTTATATTCACTTCCATCCTCATAAATCAAAGCTCCGGATTTTACTTTATCATTTTCAAATACTCCCTCAAAAGTTAAATCTCCAAAGTATAATTTTCCTGATATTCTTTTGAAATCCTCAATTAAACCATCATAAAAATGATTAGGACCATATGTGAAAACCCCTTTCAATGGAGTATTTTTGGCAAATGTGCCATCGAAATTAGATTTGTTTCTATAATATTCCCTGCCCTCAACCTTTTCACCTAATTTTAATTGTCCTTCGAAATTGATAGTTTGTCTCTTCCTTTATAAACTCTTCTAACTAGTCAATACATAAATGATTTCCCCCATTCCATTAGGTATATACTTCTATTGATCAAATTCTCCGATGTAAATGTATTTATTTAACTCTACAATAATTTTGTCGTGTCTTTCTAACAAATTCAATAGAATATACGAGACAGCCTTCTAAGTCTTCATTTCGATGGTTCCATCCTTACTTAATTGACCATCCTCAAAAGTTCCATAATGCCATTAATCTTCAAACTTCCCTTAGCCATAACCATGAGGTATGATCTAATTATCCTCTAATCTACCAAATCCAACATATTATTAGTTGACATCAATGGCTTATTGAAAGAATGGATACTCAACCTTCAATGGATTATCAGGATAGCAAACCAACAATTAGAAAATAGATCTCTTTTACTGATCCAAAGACAATATTTAAGATAAGATTGGTAAAATTGCTTTGTAATCCCCTTCAAATGGCTTTTCAACTTTGGATAAAGAAGGCAACTATTTTTTTAACGAATCTTTAAATTTATCGTATTTGAGTTAATCTTCTTTAGATCTGTCAGTTTTCTGATTTTCTCTAAGGACTTTCAATACTGATTGCAATATATTGTCTTTGAGTTGTCCATCCTCGAAGAAGAAATCTGCCGAATTGATCTTGGTGATGGCACATAAGACAACCAAGCCTGCTTAGAAGGAATAGGTATAAATTAAATTTGCAAGGGATTTATCCTTAAAAAAGCTGTCGGTACTTGGTATGTAAGGTCTATGGAATTTAGAGCCTTTGAAAGAAATGCCCATATTGGAAATGATGAATTTTTACCCGTCTACAAATACATTTTGAGGTGCGAGATCCAGAAACTCAAAAGTTGATCGAGCTAGAAAATAATGATGATGTTGTCTTACCTGTAATTAGCAGATTCTTACAAAATGTAGTCAGCAATTCTAGAGCCTATTCTGGACCTAATTGATCCTCTTGATCCAATCTCTTCTTCAATGCGTTCAATCTGTATAACACATACAAATCAGATTGCTTATCATTTAATTCTTTTTCTGCTATCATCACTATTCTGGTGGTGTATTCATTGACGCATTCCAACATGGCTTTCTGCAATTGCAATACCTTGGTTCTGAATGTATCATAACCCAAGTTCTCATAAATTTGGAGTATATATTTCTCTCCTTCCTTCGAATGAGACATAAGGTAACTAATCGAGGATATTCCGGTGTAAAAGTCTCGCCCTTTTCCTATCACGCTTTCTTAGGTGTAATTCTTATTTATGTAACTGGCATCAACTACTATTGAATTGTATTGTTATAACATTTAATTAAAAATAATATCAATCCCTAAGCAAGATTACATCAGGATAATATTCTAAGATTAACATAATAAGGAATGATAAATTCAATTAATTTAGAACAAAATAAATATCAAGCTTTATTGACTAATTCAGGATGCTTGAGTTTTATATGCTGGTTTAACGAACCTTCGCTTCTAAACATATTGTCATTATTACCCATATTTCTTACCACATCTCGACAATGGGCATTCAAAATTACGTTAAATTTCACTGGCTAGACTTCTCAATCTTTTTTTCCTTTCCTCAAACGACTAGTTGTTCCCATCTTTCTAATTATAGTATGTTGTATTTCTACTTCTAATTGTTCTAGTTTTTAAAGAATTTCAGTTTTCTCTTTAAGAAGTTCCTTGATCTAAATAAATTCTTAGTACATATCCTTACTTTTTTTCTTAAATTGATATTGCAAAGATATTACTAGATATATTCCCCTTAATAGTCACCCATCAATTTAAATTTAATTCTTTTAATATTAATCATTTTGCAAATCATAAAATATATAACATCAAAGCAATTTCTTTTTTTAATAGTCCTCCCTGATCACCAATCCAGGTAAAACTCTGCGTTCCTCCCTTAAAGCACATCAATTCAAATTAAAAAGCACTCAAAATCTACATAATTCTACTCTAGCTTAAATATCATTCTAAAAATGAGACCTAACTCTATTAAACCAGACAATCGACAACCTGTATGTGCCGATAAATCTCATATGATAAAATAAAACCCATAAATTCAATCTTTTCTATTTAGAAAACAAAGTAATCGTGTTTCACTTTATTCTAACCTATAAAATATTATTATTCTCTTGCCAATATATCTAATTATTGCCTATTAAACACACAGTCAAGAAGACAAAGTTAACAGTAATATATTAGCATACATAATTAGCAATCTCCTGATAGAATTAATTATCATCATATTGACCAAATAATTATGAAAATCCTATAATAATTAATTATTTATTATAGCATCTAAGTATTTACAAAATTATCTAGTGCTTGAGTCATTTTTCACTAAGTTGCATGAATTTTACAAGAGAAGTATTTAACCAATTCATTATTCACAGATTTTAAGATATTAACCAGATGATATTATAAAATATCGTGTAGAATATTTTGAATCTATACAAGAGAGAAAATCATTTAACTTTAAAAACAAATACGATATTTGCTAATAGCTAGGTAATCGAAAATAAACATTAAACTACCAAACCAAGAGATTACATAGTACAAAGCAAAAAGAATTGTTGATATATCCAATCTAAGATAAGAAGTTGAAAGAAACTCTTCAGTCCCTTAAGTCTCATCAGTCAGATAACTTTCGTCAGGTTCTTAAGGTAAATTCCCAGAAGTGTATAAAGCGGCATTAAAAGGTTGAACATGATATCGATTGATTTGAATAAAGTAAAAGTGAAACTTCAAATTCATTCTTCTAATCTCAATTTATAAATATAGTAATCTAAATAAGGATGGCAAAGACTTGGAGAAAATAATCAAAATATAAGCTAGTGCCAAAGGGATGTTAGTCGAAAACTAATTAAAATAATATCAGTAGGAAGATAATATGATATACGAGGAAGAGGAGGAAATATATATTAAAGTCACGCAAAAGCCTCATGAGGATGGTGGAGATTAAGAGAATCGAGAAGACTAAGAAATTGAATGAATAATTAATTGCAAATATAAGAGATTTAGTTTAAATTATTATTATTTTATTAATATTTTAATAAATTCATTTTCTATAACAAATTATTAATAGCAAAGAGTAAGCGAATTGATAAAATAGAAAGAGAAAACTAATTAAGTAATCAGAATCCATGTGTATAATTCTACTGAAGGTAAGAACTAAAAAAATTGAATTAATCAAAAGTGACAGATCAAACTTAACAGTATTTATTATACAATAAGAGAAGACAATAATTCCCTTAAATAGATTAAGAAATCAATTACAATAATGTTATATATCATATAATTTTATATCCTTTTAAATAGTAGCCTAAATGATATGGTTCATTTGAATTTAGAAAATAGAAATCCCTGAAATTGACTTCTATCATAAATCATATAATCTATTTCATATCCATAAATCAGGACATAGGTGATAAGAAGGCTATATCTCTAAAAATGAATCATGATATACCTTTGTAGTATGACTAAATGATTAGGTATAAATATCAATTAATTTTCTAAAAGAATAAATTAAAATTAAGATTCTCAATCAATTTTATTAGAATATTAGATTAAGATAATCAAGAAATGGGGGTAGGGGTACAATACTCATTTTTATAGTATATGAGCATATTAATATGAAATGGAGATGGGAGTGTGATTAAATGAAGGTTGTACATGTGTCAAACTATCGTGCAACAAGATTAAGTTAATATTGATGTTATTTGCATATATTAAATTAATTATTTATGTAAATACAAAATAAAATTGGAGAAGGATTGTTCGGTCAAATTCACAAATGCCTAACAGAAGAAGGAGACACTTGTGCCATTAAAATTTATAAGGAAGGATGCCCTAAAAAATTAAGGGAAAAGGAGATAAAGATTCTACAATCGATCAGTCACACAAATATTCAGAAAATTGTGAAGGCAGATTGTGAATATAAATGGTTTATCACAGAACTCATGAATTAGGATCTCTATTCATTAATCACGAAACGTGGCACTCTGTAATAGAGCACCATTAAATAAATTCTATTGTAACTAAGTAATGGATTATCTTACTTACACTAACTCGGCTATGTGCATAGAGACATCAAGTTAGAGAATGTAATGTTGAGTAAAGAACCTAATCTAAAAATTATTGACTTTGGTCTGTCTGTCTATATTGACTCCAATAAGCTCTATCCAAGACATTGTGGAACTCCCACCTACATGGCGCCTGAGTTAAATTTGGAAGACAAACTAATTATCGGAGAGATTCTGAAGAAATCTGATGTCTTTGCACTTGGTGTATTAATTTTCATACTTTGCTATGGCTGTCCGCCCTTCACCATTGCAAAGCCTACTGAATGTAAATTTTGGCAGACAATAGAATAAAAAAAATGGTAAGCCTTCTGGAACTACTTCGACAAAAAAGTCATTAGATCAGATTAACATTTCAAGGATTTGATCTAAAATATGTTGGATCCTGATCACAAGTCAAGATTCACCATAGAACAAGTCAAGCAGCATTAATGGATGAATGATGAAGGAAATTTAAATGAACTATTATGAAAATTAACTAATTATTGCAGTTCTTAAAATACCATTATTTTATGAGTTCTACAACCCTCATAAAATGATACCAGTACAAGTTGTGAAAGTATTTCATCAAAAGATAGAAAGAATCCACTCTTCATCACTTGAGATTCAAGTGATCTATCAAAATCTTTAAGAATCTTTTAAAATTGATAGACAAGTATGCCATCAATATTGATAATGCCGAGAATGGGTGCATATGATTGTTACAACTAACGAAGCCATAAGCTAAGCATTTTTAAATTTATAGTAAGTTTACTTCTGTGAATTAATTTGATTATAAATAGAAAATGAATAAGAAAGAATCCATTTTTATTTAGGAAATACCTTCATAAAGAGTCAAAACTTGTGAGCCCTCATAGAATAGATATGCTGAAACTTAAAAATGTAAATACCCATCCCATCCTATAAAAGAGAATAAAAAGATTAAATTTTTAGATCCACCTGGATAGCAAGGTAGGCCTGAATTAGATTTCCAAAAGTTGATTTCAGAAAAATTAATCAAATATCGAGAAAACATAAAGAACCCTGAGATTAATTATGACATTCAACACTATGATCACAAAAAGTAAAAACTATAAAATTAGAAAATGAATGAGCAAGAGGATCTTCAATTTCCAAAATTAGTTTCTATATCATTGAATAAATTCCCTGAAGAATTCGAAAAGTCAATATAATCAAATTTTGATGAAATACTAGAATCTAATAAACTTATTATGAAAATAAGTTTTGATAAAATTGAAATTTATGATAAGGATGGAAACCTAAAGGAAATCAAGAAGTCTTTCCCCTTCTCAAGTAAGCATTAATCCAAAGACATTATGTACAATGCCATTTTTAGATCAAAGGATTTTCTAATTTTAAAATCAACAGGAATGTGGCTTACTAGTAATATTGTTGATTCTTATGCCAACTATTTAAGGCTTGCTGATGAGCAAAAATATTTTACTTCAGAAGTCGAAGTTAGGAAGAAACATAGGAGAACATACATTTTTTGCTCTGATTACATAACAAATTGCTCAATAAACACTGAATTTAATAAGGAAAAATGGTTAACGTTATTTTATGAATAACTTAGTAATTTTGAGTCAATTTAATATTAATTTTGGAAGATTTATCAGAATATAATTTTTGTGGTAAACCAAAATTTTCATTGGTTTTGTGCTAAATTGGATTTGGAAGAATCTATAATCGAAATTTATGATTCTCTTTATTCAAATCCAGAAAAATATGAAAGGCTCATACTATTATTTTAAACAATTTTCAGTGAGGTGATGTCAACAATTCCGATATTTAAGATTAAAATAATAAGAGAATTTCCTCGGCAATCAGATTACAATTCATGTGGTTATTTCTCTTGTATAGCACTGAACTATTTGACTGAGAAGTAATTTAATACGGAACAGTAAGTAGAAGAAAAATAAGGATAGAAATATATTAGTAAGCAAGAGATGAAGAAAATTTTAAGAGAATTACTTATTGAAGATCAGAATAGTTGATTATTATGAGTTCTAAATATTAAAATTTTGATGATTTTGTCGCAAAACGAATGGTTCCATTTAAGGTTATTCATATTTTCAGGGTTGAATCATTGAGGAGTAAACTAAAATATTCCTTTTTTTAATTGATAATTAAAATATTTCATATTTGCGCAAAAAATAATTGAGTTCAGGAAATGCCACCCAAGAGACATGCAAAAAATAACTAAAACATCTAAGCCTTCTTTGGTAATGGAAATAAGAAGGACAGGAAAGAGATAAAGGAAAAATAAAAATAATTTATTAAATGTCCTTTATTAGGATCGGTGGGTTTTCAATTAAGAAGAGTATTATAGAAATATAGAAATGAGATAATGAAGGAGTTTAATTTTGGCTAATTAGTGTAATAGTTGGGAAAAATCTAAAATTTGGATTAAATTGGAGATATGCTAAGTTCAATATTGTATCTGAATGTTACTAAAATGTCAGACATTTGGAGTGATATTTATACTCCTGATCACATTGACGATGTAATTTGATATCTAATTTAGTTGATTAGTCAGGAGAATGCGTAATTTCTTAAACATTGGCTCAAGAATTCCTTTTCAATACTGGCCTAGGATTAAGTAGATTAATCAGAGTCATGGTATTCGTAATCGAATTCAATGAACAATTAAAATTGGAATTATCAGATGTTGAACATCTACGGGGCTAGTGGAAAGATGAGCACATTATTGGCTATAGCAAGAGCATATAAAATTGATGTTCTCTTCACTTACAATTACACTGAGAAGAGAGAATTCGAAGAGATGTTTGCAAGTCAACACATCAAATTTACTTAGGAATAGGAAAATACTGAATTTGGCAACAAAAAGAAGATAATAGTTCATAGAGGCACTCTTCCAAAATTCATCAATTCCAGAATGTTATAGATTCAGCGAGTGCCCTTTATATGGATTACAGGTATCGAGTCTTCATAATTGCAGACTGTTAATAGAATCATGAACTATTCGATAACTTTGAACTGGTCCAATATTCTCATAATGAAATAGTCAAATACATTTATTTAGTATCGATAATCGAGCAAAATTACAAAGGGTAATTGGATAGGATCAATACTGAGTTAAAAAGGAAGGTGATCTATGAAAACATCAAAGAATCAGGAGGGTTCTTTGTGAATTTTACAATGCAAAGACCTTCTCTAAGGATTCAGGATTTAGAGATGAATTTAGATTACTATGATATTTTCATACTTACTTTATTTATGAAAGGCAATATGAGGAACATACTAAATTGGTTGCAATTTCATAAAGAGGATGAGAATGTTCATTCATTGATAGCAGAATTAAAGTTGTCTAGTGTTTAATTGCCTTATATGCTAAAAAACCAATTGCCATTATTTAGAACCGTTGACAACATCTCTTAGTTAAGCCAAAAAGCATGGTCATGGTATGATGAGCAATGTGTAAATCTAATAAATGACATAGTAGAAAATAGATAGAAATTATTTATAGAATCTTATGGTAGAAGAATAATCAACAGCAAAAGGCACATATTCTTGATTAATCATGTTTTGAAGGTAATACTTAAGTATGAATCATAGATCAATGCTTTGAGTGTTCAAACTTTTGCTTAGAACACCAGATTAAGAAGATTGAATAAGGAGACACAAGACTTTTATAAACCATTATCATAACTCTTTGAGTCGGAGGAACAATATGAGATGTTTAAGTAATTTGATAAATTTTCAGAGTTTTTAAAAGGCTGATAATATTTGTACAATTCTCCTAAAATCATTTTTTATTTATATAATAATCGTATTTAGTTGACCATAAATTTGAGTTAGAATAATTTATTCATTTTATTGAATTGATATCAAAGTAAAGAGAAATTGAGATAATTTGCCAATCAAGACCAATCGCTATAAAAATATGCCAGGCAACATCAGATTGTAGCATCCAACTCTAGTATTTTTGGAACGCTTAAGTAGAATTTTTGTTATATTTAATAAAAGCACCCCTATCCATTCCAACTTAGTTAACTGAGGAGATTGAAGAGCATGTGTAGAATCTAGAATAAGGACTGGCTAAGAGTATAGATGACAGCAAACACTATTTGAGACTGGAACAAATGAGACTGAATTCAAGCCTAATTCTTTGTTTTTGAGAGAAATCTTTGGTAGATAGAAATTGAATAATACTATGGAGATGGAACAGAGATGCAGAGATATCACCTAATGTGGCAAATATGGTGTTGATTAAACGAAAATGAAAACTATAGGTATATATATACAGAACTATCGGTAGGTTCACCACCAAAAACATATCAATAGGAGAAGAATTGTTCTTTGATTATGGGGATAAATTTAAAAAAAAATGGTTAACTGACTTTAATAAATTATGTGATGATTACTACAAAAAATGATTATTTATCAATCAATAAATACACAAAGTAGGTTATTCTAATCTGCTCCATTTAGTAAAGAGTTGCATTCTTCTTGCTAACCCAACTATTCTCTTCATCTCTGCATTGCGTTGCAGAGGACCATTCAGATCAGTTAAACTAGTGCTCCAAGGATAGGCACCGTGTGTAAGCAATAATTTAACTATCTCCTAATGATTTTCCATTATTGCTATACTCAATGGGGTTCTATTCATCAAATCTATTGCATCAAAATCTGCGTGGTAGTGCAACAGCATCCTTACCATATCCAAATAACCGTATTTACATGCCCAATGAAGGGCAGTCATATTGTAATAATCATATTGAAACACCAAATAAGGATGAGTTATTAAAAAACTCTACATCTGTTCAAGTCTATTTTATTTGGATGCAAATATAAATTCCTTTGAAAATTGACTTGAAAAGGCTTTCTTACTAAATACTTGCTTTTGTATCACTTCTATGATCGACAATCCCAAAAGTTTGATCTTTTTCAAAGAACGTCTCAAAAGCTCTATTCTTCTTCGATTGCGCTTCCTACTACTTTAGGCAAAGAATTTTAAGTTGGATTAGGCATCTATGTTGGGAGTAGACTTGGCTGAAATTTCATGTATTCTCATCTTCCTTTTAATTCCTTTCACGTCTATTTCCAGGTTTTCCCGATTCGGTCTTATTTCCAATTGCTGTGATTTCAACTCTCTCACTTTACTAAACTGCACTGAAGATTATCTATCAAATGCTTTTTGGGCTGTCTACGGTTTTTGTTCGATCAGTTTGTAATTTGTATTTGGATTTTGTTACATGAAGAGTTTTCGATTCTTTTTATTTATCATCAAGGGGGAAGGACTATTTGATGCACAGATCTTATCGACATTTTTGAAGTCCACAGCATCATATTACACAATATGTTTGAGGGAGTGATTTCTCAAAAATTCCCTAATCTACTCATCTGATGGCACATTGATCTTTTATTTCTTCAATAGTGACACCATTTTATTTGGAGGCAACACAAAAAACTTGTAATCGTAATCTAAATTATTCTAACATCATTACCTTTTAAAGCCAATCTATGCTTCAATTGTGGAAACCAAGGCTTGGCTGTATTTATTGTTTACCTATTTGGGGTTGATTACTTGTCGATAATTCTCTTATAATAATCCTATTCAAACATTTAGTTTTGCCTTTATAAATGCTTTAATTAAACAATATTATTATAAATCAATTTTAACTATCCAATCTACAGTAAAATATCACTAAAAGGCAACATTTAAATTTTTAATTATTTTCATATTCCAAAATTACATATCCACATTCAATGAAATTCTCCTTCAGTTTGACAGCATTAAATGGTACTATTACTTTTAAGTCTTTGTAATTATTATAAATTAAATTAACCTATTAGAATCAATACCAATATTTCCTCATATTATGGAAAAACCTGAAATTTAATTTATATAATTGAAATTTTAACATTTTCTAATCATTTGAGTAATTTTTAAATGAATTAGAATGAATTAAGGCGGGTTCAATCCTCTTACGAATCACTAATAAATCACTATTGTAAATTTAGATATTTATAGTGATATTTTTAATTATTTAATTTAACTATCTTTGATCATGAAAAGTTTTGAGAGTTCTATTAAATAACATATTCCATAATAAATTATACGAGCTGCAGAGAAATTTGAATCACTATTTGTAAAAGAGACACAACATCATTAATCTTAAATCTTATACTTTAAGATTATGGCAAAAGACAATAAGAGAATAAAAGAGCAATTATAATAGGAACCTAAAATAGGATTGTCTGAGTTGGGCCATTTGCAATAAACACTAAGGAAATCTGGAACTTTTGGAAATGAAAACTCTTAATCAATCATTGTAAAATATATATATTAATTCTTTAGCACTGCATGCAAATATTGAAACCAGAATTTGAGAGATAAGTATATATTGATGAACTCACAACTGTTATTAGTGAACAAATACCTTATGATAATTCCGATTTTATCCATGATTGTTGTGATATTAATTTATGATAATATTCATATTTCATATTATAAAATCTATGGTGGTTCATCTGATCTTTGTGTACATATAATCATTTTTATTTCAGAAGATCTTAAATTTCTAAAAATATTCATTTCTGGTTTGATTCTAATCCTGAATTATTATAATCTAAGGCTATCAAACACTTTTATTAATTATAAATTAAGTGTGTTCTTGATAAAAGAAATCTTTAAGAAGTTTTTTCATACCCTAACGAATTTAAATGAGGATATTGAAATGAACTATTTAATTTAATAAGTAGCACAATATTTTTGGAAATATTAATCAATAAAAGTTGAATTTAATATCGTATTGTTAAAAGTATTTAGCGATTTTTGGTAAAAACTAATAATTGTAATTAGAATTAATCTATTTGATTGAGTATTTATTATAAAAACATATTGATTGAATTATGATTTTGTTACTCTTTGGTTCCTATTTATTTATTGGGGAATAGTGCAAATAATCATTTAATTAAAGAATTATTATTATTATAAGAATTCACATATTTTCGGAGGACAATTTTTCATTTATTTTCTAAAATTGGTGAAAGTAATTATCTAAATGCTATATTTCTCACAAATAATTATCTCATGACTTTGATGGATCTAAACCGCTGAAAATCAATCTGAGGATGAGATAAAATAATAGGAAAATTTTGTATTATTTAAAATTATATTTTTGATTTATTTCTTAATTCCTTATCTAATTAGCAGATTATTGTAAGAATTTAATTAATTTGTTTAAAAAACAAACTAAGATAGAGTTCTGATTATTCAACATCCTATATAATCAACTTAATATATATTATCATTTTAATATTGAAGGAGCTGAATCTAAATTTATTGATTAGGTACATTCTAAATTGACCAGAAAAGCCTATAACTTAAATGATTAGAAAGAAATTACAAATCTGTAAGTTTTCTAATATTTTTTATTAAATAAGACCAAATTTTCAGAAACATTTCATATTTGTTACCTAACATCCTTATTTTAGCTCAAATTATCAATCGAACTAATTTATTTAAGAATTAAGTTATTGTATGATCTATATTTTTATTAATTATTTATAAATTGTTTTATGGAATATATCAAATAGATATATATAAATTTTGACCATTTTTACTGAAGAAGCTGGTTATAATTATTATAAGTAACCTGTATTGTTAAGTATTCTATACTATGTAATACTTTATAACGTAATATATCAATCTATATTATTGAAATGGTTAAGAACAGTTCGAAAAACCTTTCGAATCCAATAAAAAGTGATATATATTTTAATGAGTAAAGAGATGAATGACATTGTAAATCAATAATATAAATGAATGAGGAGGAAGGAATTTTAGAATAATGTTCTATAATCATTAATAAAAATAAAATTTTAGAATGGGAAACAGTATTATTAGAATATTAATTAGATATTTGTGGGATTGACGAGGAAAAGAAGTAAAACTTATAGTCAGAGTCGAAAGTGATAACTACGCGAACTGTAAATTAAATTACCATTTAAATCGTATAAGCAGATATTGTAGAGGAATTGGTGGATGTAGTAGGTAATGTTGTGAATAAATGTGTTAGTGAATTCCTCTCATGAGCCAGCCTGGTCTTACATATCAAAACGGTATTTAATATATGGTTATATATTGATTAGAGATAATAATAAAACACATGACCTCCTTCAACAAAGTATTAATGCAGCTCTATAAAAATAGTGAGAATTGGAGAGTTAGTGATAACGAATGCAGAAAATGTCAATTCAGTCCAAATCTTTCATACTCGATTGCCATTTTACTAAGTAATAATTATGTAAATAGAAGGATGCAAAGGATTTGTTGCAAATATTTAATGTTTATAAAGAGTGTCTAAAACAGAAAGGGCATAAATCCATTTCTTTTACTGAATAGAACACTCCGAATTTTCAAATACCAAAATAGTTTCATGCAGAAGTATTGATAAGAGCCATCCTTTCGTAAAATTAGTTGATAAACTTAGAGCAATTTAAGAAGGAGACGTAGAGTTTGAGTTGATAAAGTTCGTGAGTTTGGATTAATTGACACTGAAATACTTTGCTTATGAATTGATGAAATAATTAGACGAATTGAAAATTCCTGAGTTGTTTCAATTGAGATATCAACAATTCTTGAACTTTTTATGTATGAAATGGTTAGGCTATGTATGTAGAGAATGGGGAAGATGCGAAACAAGAGGTCTATCTCTTGAGTACTGGGATTACTACAGAAATGGAAGGAGTTGTGGAATAATAATGACTTTTTTAGTTTATATTATTTATTATCTGATTGTAATATTTTTTCTTGATTTTAATACTAAATTACATAAATTAAACATAGGAATCAATCATTGTTGAAATTGAACCTTTTGAGTAAATTCTATTTCATATCCAGAAAGCACTTTGATAACTGCAATAAACTATTTGCCAGGAGCCAGTTCAATGTTGAGTGTAACTCCTCTATGAGGTTTACAAAATTTGAGGCCATAGAATTTATGAAAGGATATTTTGCTAATTAATTTAACATTTGATTGATTGTCAATGAAGTAATAACCCCAACCATCTAATCTATCTAGATTATAGCAACTTTGGATTTTGGGTTATCCCATAGTGTCATAACTTCGTTTTGGTTATTAAACCAGTCCTTTTTTGATCAAGACACTTGGGAGCATTTCAGGAATCTTTTTTATTTATTTGAATTCAAGTTTATCAATTCCATATGATGAGAGAACAAAGAAAAATTCTTGATGATGTTCCCAAATCACCTTTGCAAACACAACATATTCACCCTTTGTTAAAGTGCATTTACACCATACTTCTCCAAATTAACTTAATTTACCAGCAATATATGTGTATGTATGGTTTTCTTCCTTTTTACAAATAAGCAGTTTAGCATTGCTATACTTAGGGTTTCCTGCCCATCTTTGATTTCGTTAATTGATAGTAATGTAATAGTCTCCTTCCTTAGTAATTTTAAATGAATAATAGACAGCCTTTTTCTTGCTTGACTTGATTTGAGTAGCTGAATATTAATAATCTTGTTTGATATGACAAATATGAATGTCTCTAAACTATTGCATGAATGATCCTACATCCATATAGAATACACCAGAATCTTCTTTATCCAATTTTAACTCTTATCTCAATTGTGGAGTCCACAATGGACTATCTTATCCCCAATCTCCAGTCCATTCTTTCTTCCCCCAAGGGTTTCTCAATTTCAACAATTCCACTTATCCTCTTTTTGGATGATTGATTTATCTGATCTTCAGAACTGAATAGGCATGATTAGGAACCAATCCTTGTGTAATGGGTTGGATATCACTACTTTGGGTTGCTGCCACCATGATAACCTTATTGGCAAGACATCTCCTTAGTTGAGCAATGAAATCTGGAGATTGAGTCCAGATAACTTCTGTTGGTGCTCCAGTTAATGCTCTGAGTACTTCTTGCATTGAGCCAGCAGCACTATTTTGATAAGAGCCAAACAATTTGGCCCATGCTTTCTCTAGAACCATAACCCAAATTGCATTATTCTTTGCTTTGGTAAATATGGGTGTTAAATTTGGATAAACTGGGAAGTAATCATCCACATAGATGGCCTTCCATATCCCATCTATACACAATCTAATGCAATAAATGCCCTATTCATTGATTGCTCTAGTAATAAAAACATCTAATAACAAATCTGGTCTTCTATTCCCCAAAGCTGAAATTGAGGCCAGTAAATAGCAGTTTCCTAATTAACCTTATATGATATCTTAAGGCCCAATGTATTTACCAAGTCCAAACCTTTTGTCATCGTTTGCTTTTGCAAAAAACTGATAATCCCCATTGAATATCACATTCAATCTTTACCAGGTAACTGAGTAATTGGATCCAACACTTTTGTCATTTGGTCCAAATCTGAGATCGATGTAATTTTTTTCCTTGATTTTGAGCTCGTCAAAGGTCTTGATGAATTCATTCATGTTGGATATTTACATGTGTTGTAAGGTGACTTCTTCAAATTGAAATTTGCTAATTAAGATGTCTTGCTGATCATTCGAGGATTGTTGTCTTTTGAGTTTGACTTCTTCAACTTCACCCAATTAAAAGGTGACATAGGTTAACATAAATTAGTTTAATTATTCCTAGTTGATTTACCAACCGCAATCCTTGACAAAGCAGACACAATAGTCATCATAATATTTTTAAATGCAATCATAACATAAGCGATGATCACAGATTTCATTATGAAATAACCCTGAGTTATTGGAATGACAATAGTCACATTTATAGGAAAATGATTCCGTCATTCTATTGTCGATATCCACTTTGATCTCTTGTTTTTGTGGTTAGATATAAACATTTTGTTGTGTCAATTTTTATTGTTATTATTTAGGTTATTACACTTGCTGTTATGGAATTACCTATGCTTATTATCTTTATTAGGTTTATTGTTGCTTTGGGTTAATCATCTTGGCACTATTTTATTGCTGCAAAACACGATCTGTTACTTTCTGCATTTAAGATTTGGATTTCGTTTAAATTGCCACAGGAGAACGTTCTTAAATTGATCTTCGAGGCAGAGTATTTTTCTATTAATTTCGTGGAGTATTTAAGTTTTAGTTGTTCTGTTTTACAGCTGTTGCTTTGTTTTATTGAGATGGTGATGCTATAAGATAACTTCCAATTTTTACCTAATTTTTTGGGATCTCCTGCAAACATGGTAACCTATTTCCCAAAAACCATTTGATTGCTATTCGATAGTTTTTGGAATTGTCTGTTCATTAGATCTGCTATGTTTAGAAAATTAGAGCATGACATCTCTGAGCAATTTGCACCCCCTTCAGCAGTAATTTGATCTATACACTTGATACAATACAAGTGTCCACATTTTGCTTTATAAGACGCACTTTCTTTCGTTTCCTATAAACATTTGACACACTTAATTGATGCCTTTATCATATTAATTATTATATATTTAATTTTAATTAAAGCGCTAAGATATATATGACAATCTTCAATTAGAATTCATTAGGCTACAGAATCCATCAGATTTTGAAAAACCCATACTACAAGCATTCTAAGTTCCATCCTTTTTACCAATTTCAATATCTCTTTACAACCCCTTGCTGTTCGAATTTAAAATTATAAAAGCTTAAAAAAGACTCAAAAACGTCTAATAACAGTGTAATTCAAGAATCTTATATAACTAGACCCTCGCTATTACACTGTCTATTTTGAAAAGATCAAGGTTGGGTCAGAATTTAAAGTGTTATTTTTATCATTGAATGGCTTGAAAGATATTGATTCAATCATTTTATAATATTTTTTAATCTCTAAATTTATGCGTTTTCTTTCTTCATACAATTTATGAAAAACAGTTTACACATTTTAGATGCTTATGAATTCCTTAGATACTTATGAATTCCTTAAAGAACAAAAATTATTTATCCTATTGAGTAAAATAATCAATTGAGTTTTAATTATTTTTTTCAGGATTAATTTTTTAGTAAATATCATTGAGTTCTTTTGTTAGAAAAACTGTATGATCTATACTTTTTAAAGCAGAGAAGAAATGATGTTTTTATTTAATTAAAAAAGATATAGATTCATGATGCATCATTTTAAGAGTACTCTTATTCTCCACTATATGCATCATTTTAAGAGTACTCTTATTCTCCACTATATGCATCATTATTATCACTGTTTTTTGATTATTAATTAGTATTACATTCTGAATTTAAATAAGAGGATTTGGAATAGCCCCTGCACTAAATTTAGAGGCCCTATTATTATAAATATTTCTCTTAATCTAATCTTGTGATTATCAATATGCCATTTTCAAGTTAAATCTTCATTTCATTGATATTTTTAAAATCAAATTAACGAGTAATGCAAATTTGGCAAAAGTTAATTGTTTATTATTCCAAAAATCGAGGTCTTTAGTTCTCGCAATTTAAGCAACCTACAACTGTTTATTATTTGTTAGTCTCTTTGAATTAGTCTGATAAATTGTAGTAAAAATTGTCACACTTTAATATGTACCATTCCTCCTTATTTTCAAAGGATCCCAAGGTGTTGGATTAAAAATTATATTCATAGAAGCTCAAAACAAATCCATTCTCAACAATATCCTATTCTAATTCCTCTTTCGCTTATTTTTTCTATAATATAATAACGAAATTTATCATAGCTTTGGCTTTGTTGTTCTTTTTTAATTTGATTCTCATTAGAAAAGAACCCTTCTCTACAATGTCTAAGCTCGTAAAAAATTGATGCGGAATTTTTTTGAGGTTATCTAGGAGTCTCAAAATATCATCTAATTATGATTATGATAACGTAACATTTGGTATATGAAATACACCAAGGTAAGATTCTCTCATCTCATTATTATTCATACTTTTTTATTAATTTCAAAAATGAAAAATTATTATTAAATCAAATCAAACTTCTTTAAAAATAGGTAGGATTTCTGTGAATCTAAGTAAAGTTATTACTATGCACTACTAATTTGTAATCATGATCTAGCTTTCCATAATTATTTCTTTCTAATCTCACAGGATAATAGGAAGATGAAGGTTAAGGTTGGTAGCGTTGTAAAGTTAAATCATTTCTTAATTTATATTTATCATCTAACTACTTTTGACTTTCCAAGACTCTTTTATTTATCGTATCCGTAGTATTATTTCTTTTTGCTGCTGAACCTTCAGTATATCTGAGTCTATCAATATTTTGAAATTTCTCACTCGGACTTTAATATGTTTATTCATATGGTTGATGCCAATAATTCGATAAGGCTGTTTTTGGTAGAGTAGTTGAAAGAATCTACTCAAATTCTACAGGATTGGTTGGTAAAATTAAGCTTTATTTTATTTTCAATTTACTTTTTGTTGTTGCTTATTCGCATTGTGGACAATTTCTAAATTTTGTTAAAGTGCAGCAAACTCCTATTTCATGAGATTTACAATTTATCACCTACTTCCTGTTATAAGAAGAAAATTGTTGATAACAATTTGTACAAAATCCAGTATAAAATTCAGACTCCTTTTCTTCAGCTAATTTAATTTCATCTAATTATTTATTAAAAAGTATCTCCTCCTCATCCACCTAAGAAACTTTATCAACTTCAAAAAAAGGAGACTTATTTTATCTTTTTTAATTTTAATTTAAAATTAGATTCTGTCCATTTGATAAAGAAATATCCTTCTATACTTAAATAAATTCTTCTTATTACTTTGGATTATCTTATTTAGGTTGTTTAACATCCTATATATTTTTTACTGAACTTTGAACTGAAAGTGATTTTTCTTCTTCCGTTTTGTTATATTCTTAAAGGGTAAAACTTTAAGGTGGATTTTATTCAATCAGTTTTTCTTCTTCATGAATAACAATATGATGGCTTTTGCTTTTGCTTTGATTCTCTAGCTTCTTATCAATTTTAGGTTCTTCTTCCTTCTAATTTGAAATTTTATATGATTTGACAATTTATTCACTTTCTTTTTTCTACCCTGCAATTTGATCAGAAATGAATTTAATCAAGGAAGTAGAAAAAGCTATATCTTTCTCACATAGTTGTTCCAAACATTTATAAGGTTTTCTTTATATTATCTTCTAACAACAACTACAACAAAATTCATGTTTACATGCCAATCTGTGAAGGTTTTTCAAAGGAAAATTGTTTTAACAACCTTTACAATTCACAGTAATATTTTTACGAAAACTAACATATTCTGAATCTCTAGATGATGATTAGCAGCATTTTTTATAAAAATCATCTTTAATGATACATATTTAGCAGACAGAATGACCACAATTTAAAATATACTTTTAATCTTCATCTCTATATATAAAACATTCATCACACTCAAACTATAAAAGTTTTATTTAGATATTTTTTCTTTGACTGCCAAATTCCTCTGACTTTGACTCCTCTTATAATTACTTAATATAATTTTAGTAATCTTGTGATTTAAATTGCTCAACGCATAAATTTACCAAACAGTTCAGGGTAACATATCTCATATTTGTATTTTATAAACATTAATTGCAGAATTTATGTTTGCAGTTTTTGATTTAAAATAATTTATAGCATTAGAGTGTATTACATTTTGAACAATACTCCATTATTCTTGATTCTTATACTGGAGATTATAATTACTATATTTGATTTTACTTTTTATCTACCTATTCATTATGATCACTTTTTGCTTAGATTAAATAATTATTAAATTCCAAATAATCAATTTTATTGAAGCATTTATTAACCATACAATACTTTTAGTGTTTCCTTTCAAACATACAATCGTAACAATATTGATGTTTGCAATCACGTAAAATAAATAATTAATATTAAAACTTCCTGAAACACAAATTACATTCCTATAAGGGATCATCAGTTATGGACACTATTTGTTGTTTTTTATCGTCTTGCAGTTGTTATTGAACACATTGCCTTGTGCTTTCATAATATTTTTACAATTCCTTACTTCTTTCATTATATTCTTTGAATCTAAGCAGTTTTTCGATTTCACTTTATAAATTATTTTTGAAGTAATATTTCCCACAACAAATAAATGGAACAGACTTTTCAATACATTTATAACAAAATTAGTGTTAACAAACGACTTTAATTTATTCAGTCATACTTTTGCAATTATTACAGTAATTAGAGGGTATCTTATAGATTATTGGTTCAGGGATCAAATAAAAATATTTTTCACTATTTGTACATATGAGATCGATTGAATCTTTAAACTATTCGCAATAATTTTCATAGTTGTTAATCGAAATCCTCATTTTAAAAAATTAAGCCAGATGAGGAAAGGATATATCCTATCCTTTGAGCAATCCCTTTTCACAACAAAATTCATATAATAATTTTTGAGCAATTTCACTCTTCTGGTCTACTTAAAATAGATTTTAAAAGAACATCTCAACAGGATTTATTAGATCTTTCGATTTTTGAATCACATTTCTAATTTCCCAATATTTTGATATGTTCCTTGAAAGGTTCATAAGTTCCGTAAATTCTTGTAAGATTTTAGGTTATTTTCTATTCAAAGCATAATGCATCAAGGAATATAGAATAGCTGCATTCTTGTTTCTTCCCATGTATTGCAAGTACTTGTAATCTTTCAGGGATGGATCTTTGAGCCTATCTTCTTCCGTGGTAGTACATATGAAGAAAAGTTGGACTTCTTATGACATTTGTATTATAATAAATTTATTGCTTATAGAATTAAAAAGTTTAAATGATAGTTTGATTTTATATTTGAAAAACAAAATAGGCTTTTGGAGCCCAATCAATCTTGTTTTTGGTCTTTATCGTTTGAAGAGAGTGGTAAATATAATGATTTTATTTCTTTTACTTTTTAAATAGAATACAAAATTGATCCCAGATAACTAATGATAATGCCTGCAAGAATTTAAAAGTCGTACTCTTCCTTCAAGAAGAAGAAGGAGTAGGAAGTGATCAAAATGTCCTTGATGTTGTGAGTGATCGCAATGGCAATTGGGGAGTTGTACATATTGCACAAGTTGGTGGAATAGCACAACATGAACCCCATCAATGCAACCAAAGTGAAGGCTATGAGGAATTGCTCACTCATGTAGGTTGTAGTCATGAAGTCATGTAATTCCTAACTTGCATAAGCGCCGATAAATAGAAAGGGAATTTGATTACAAGAATTCTAGAAGAGCAATTCCAGAGGATCTATTTATTTTTCATAATTCAGTTGTTTCGATTTGTGTAATGCAAGAGCATTGAATAGATTATTCATGAGAATGAGTCCGTAACCAAAATAGTTCTCATCCAAATGCTCCTAGCCTTAAACATATCACATTCTATAATGTACCAGCAATGATGGCTCCCAGAGTAATGAAGATCACAGACATAAAATTGGAAATCTTCCACGTCTTCTGCATCATGAACACAAATAAAATCAGCGTCCTTCGCAAAGTCATGTACATTGAGATATTCATTATTTGCAATCCCTTCATCCCTGAGAATGTTTGCAAGGAATAAATGAACGAATACAATAGAGTATCTTTCGATGAGTGATTCCTCTTTCCCATAAACAGACAAATTAAAGCTGTAAGAATATTCTCGTACAACAATAACTCTAAATAAATAAAGCACTGTTACCATGAATGTCATCCTGAATTGAAACTTAATCCATAAGTATTTCACACTTAGAGAAAAACAAAACGAGCATCCACCATATAATACACAATAAAATAAACCTAATATATGTTTCATAAAATTAATAATGAGAAATTATTAACTTCTAAAATTAGATTCACAAGTAAAGTAATGCCCTTCGTATTCTTATCTTCTCCGAAAAGGAGCATTCTCTTGAAGTTTATTAGCACTCTGTTAATTTAGTAGATGCAAATTTAAGTTTTATAATCAATTTGAGAAATGGAAATTTACCGTATGAAATCCTTGGATTAACCAAAATATTCATTGTGAAACCATCTCTATCATTGAAATGTAATTCTTTAAGCACCTATAGAGAATTGAAAACAACCAATCCTTCTAATTAGTAATCTACAAAGTCTCCTAATTCATAGTTCCTAATGTTTATTATCAATGAGAGACAAGCAAATCATAAGTTCATCCATTCCCTATATGGATTTTAACATGTATTATTCAATCAAGTTATGTAATTCTAATACATAACTCATTTATATTTTTAAATGAAAAAACATTATCAAATATCTTTCATGTTGGGAAATTTTAAGAAAAGTCAAGAGTAAGATTGAGAGCTTGAAGTTCCCAAAAGATTTAGTGAGTACTTAGCAATTGAATTACAAATACCATACATATAATTATTATTAAGAATGTCTCATTTCGACGAACTCAAACTTATATTTAACTTAGACGCCTAATACGTACCTGAAATGGCTCGATTCGAAATAAAAGGCATTTTAGGCAAGGGAGCATTCGCTACAGTTTTTTCTGCTCTCGATAAAGTGCTTAAGATTTAAGTAGCAATCAAGATGGTAGACAAAAAACTTTTCAAAAATAAAGAGCAATAAGATATTGTAAGGCAGGAAGCGATGATGCTTAAAACACTTGAACATAATAACATTGTCAAAATCTTAGCTGTAAGAATTTTGATCTTTAACATAACTTAAGTTTTTCGAGACTTCTTTGAAATTTTATATCGTAATGAACTAGATAGATGGAGTCACTTTGGAAACTCACATGAGTAACGTCAAATCAGCTGAAGTGGTTTCTATAACAAAACAGATTCTCGAGGCTCTAAGTTACTTGCACTAAAGAAACGTAGTTCACAGAGATATCAAACCTGAAAATATTTTGATAAGTTTTTCAAATTCAGAACTGAAAGTCACCTTGATCGATTTTGGGTTGTCAGCTTCTGTGAATAGAATTTAAAATTCAATGAATGGTTTGATGTTCCAAAATTGTGGTACACTCTTGTACCAAGCTCCTGAGTTAATCAAGAAAGCCAATTACACAAGAGTATTCATTCATATTACATAATTAGTCAGTAGACCTTTGGGCTTTGGGCATCGTTGTGTATCAGATGTTAAATAACGGTTCACACCCTTTTTATGAAAGAGGCGACACAAAAGCCATTTACGAGAATAAAATTAAATACTCATCGCTAAACTTTTAATTTAATCATAACATCGATACCAACAACTTTTTAAAAAGAACTATTGCCTACCTACCTGAACATCGATTAACAGCTGATCAGTGTCTGGAACATCCATGGATCACAGGTAGGGGTGACATTTCAGTTCCAATTACTTTGAATGAAATCATCTAATGCCAAATAGAGAAGGAACAAAATATCACAAAATATATTAAAATGATTGTGTTCCTAAAATACTTGATTCTATCATCCTCCTGTTATAGAATACCCTATAGAATTGAAGCGAACAAGCTTATTTAAACAGGTTCTCTGACAGAACAGATGTCTGATCAATCAACTGCCACCATCAATTTCAAAATACGTCCCTTATATATCAAGTCATAGACCAGATTGGACAAGGATGAAAGTGTGAGTAATAGCAGCAGAAACACAAGTGATATGTTCCCAGACAGCATTGCCCAGGCTAGCACACCTGATAATAAAAAGATGATGAGGAAGAGTACTTCGATGAATCCGTAAGAAATTATGATTTAACGATTAAATTAAACTCAAAAGAGATTGGTTAATTTTCCTAATAAAGAGAAAAGTCCAATAATTCAAACAAGAATACTCAAAAACACTTAGGCATCCGACTCTATTAGCTCGAGATTACTTAATAATGATAGTTGGAAGAAATTACCAAATAATACTAATCAAAATAGTAGATTAAGAATTATTCAGCGACCTAATTTCTCAAGAAATCCCACCTAATTATGAAATTATTTAAAATGAAAAATTAATTATTTAAATCAAAATATATTATTAGAAAGTACAATTGCTTATTAATTTAAATATACCAGATATTACTAAAAATAGACCATACTTCTTTACTTGTTTACCTATTGTTTATAGATGAAGTTTGAAATAAGGAAAGAATAAAATACTTATATCTTCATTATTTATTGTTTACCTACTTGTATGTATTAATATACCACATATTTTGATTTAAATGTTATAACTCACGTGTCTACTTAAATTTTAGTTTCCTGTTAATTGGAAATTCCATTTCCTTCAAGTTCGCTATCTGGATATATCAATAATTCAAAATCTTAGTCCCTAAAATATTATTATGATGAAGGTATGATATTAGTATTTTCTACTACTTTCTATTGAACTTGCAACAATTTGGACTCAGTTTATGAAATAGTTTAGACATCGTTGCTTTTCATCATTGGAGGACTGCCATTGTTTGGAAGCTAAGTAAAAATATACAGTACAATTGCATTTAATTTATACTAATAATCTTGGTTGATACTGCATTCCAATTTATTGATATTTTACTATTCTTCTTTAGCACTGTCAGCATACTGCATTTGTAATGGTATTCCCTAATTATGAATTTATTGGATCGTCTTGGAAGGCAGCAGATTCTAGATTAGGAATTGCAGCCTTGATATCTCATAAATTTAATTAGAGATGGTTAATTTGATTTCACTAATATGAGATAATTTTTGGTATTGTTGTTTAAAAGATTGCAGATCCAATTGTCTTCCATTCTTTTCAACCTTATTGATGCTCCCAAAGATATTCTTAGTGATTTTAATGTTCTTAAAATCAGGATAGTACATTTAAATGACATTGTTGATGGCTTCGAATTCCAATTGGCTTTGATTCATGACAATGACCAAATAGGATAGTAACAGTAGTGTAGATGCAATGGATCCTGCTTCTGCTAGCACTTCACTGATTTTAGTATAGGAAACTGAGATTTCAATTTAAATGTTATCGATTTTATATAGGAATGCCATATATACATTATATCCAAATAATTTGTTGTAGTATTCTAAATCTAGAGAGGCACTAACTACACGGTATTCATTAATGTATTTGTAATCATTGATGGATTCAAACAAAAAGCCAACATCGACTTCCGTCTAGGTAATTTGAATATATGTTTGTGTTTGGTACACTTTATTAATTTGGAAGGGGATGATTTATTCTCTCCCTATTTTTTCGAGACTTTCGGTTTAAGTATTGTACTCTTTGGCATAATGCTTAACTACAAGAGCATTGGTGGCTTAATCTTTAAATTGTTGGATAACAGTATCGTTTGCACAGGCCTACCCTTCTTTTAGAAAGACCTCAAGACAAGCTCCCAAGGTGAGCAAGACTTCAAATTCTGGATTGGCTTCGTCTCTTGCGTCACTTATTGATATGGTCATATTGGTAAAGCTGACGGTGTGAAAGGTATCCTAATTTGTGATAATTTCATAGTCAGGAACTATTGGTTTGCCAAAGGGAAGTCTATTCTTGAAAATGTACACAAGAGGTTAGAGGATAAGGGCGTCAGGGTTGAATGGATCATAGATAGAATAACCGAATTTTCTTAAATGAACGTCTAAGAATTGCTCGTTGATTTCAAAATACTGATTGTTCTCTACTTTTGAGGATGTAGTGATCTTAGGTAGTATTTATCCTGTTCTCCATTGAATGATTATATAAAGTAAGTAAGCGAAGCTCAATCCATACAATAAGATAGACATGATACCTCCCCAACATGTTTTATATTGAGAGGTAGAATATTTGATACTTGGTTGGAATGCAACTCCAAATTGATCTATGCTTTTGAGTAATTTTATCATATAGTATAATAAATATCATTTGATTTTATTGATTTCAAAAAACTAGCCCATCAATTATGTCTCAGTTCTCTCCTTCTTGCTAATCAGCAACTCGAAATCTTGATCACTGAGCTCTTGCGTACAATTAAATTTGCCAATTGAACTGTGAAATTGCGATTTGAGTTGTTAGAACACCTCAGGCTTATTGTTTAAACTAGGTAATATAGAATTATGGGAATTATCTTGGAGCATAGTCTATTACCCGGAATGATGCTGTTGCTAAGTCATCTCAATTTTGCTATCATTGGAGGGAGCCTAGATCACATATGAAATCCTTACCACTCTGGAATCCTTAGAAATCTCTATTTCTTGATTATCCATTTCATTGTCCTCCTTGGTGTTTTCTATGAAGTTGTTTTCTTTGATCCCAATCTAATGTGAAGATATGAAATGAGATCTGGTTATGATAGACTGTAATATAAATTAGAGCCTTGAAATTTCGTAGATTTAATTCGTTATTGTCAATTTCACTTGAGCCACTTCTTTCAATTTCCCATAATGCGAATTAAATTTCTCAATATTTAGATTTCTACCCAATAACTAAATCCTGGTGATCTTGCCATACCAATTCTTTCTGTACTTTAAATACTTAAGATTTGGATAGAACATATTAATCACCTGCGATATAGCCTCGCTCTCCAGAAAGTACTAATTAGTCATTATGACAAATGCTGAGGTCAATAATAGAATAGACACTATTGAGCCTGTATCAGCCAATACCTCATTAACCTTTGGATATTGGATATATTAGATAGATTTTATTCCATTCAGTTAATAGTTGTTGATAAAATAGGTGGTAGAGTTTATCACTCCTGCAAAGAACTTGCTATTCACCTGCTAACCAGCTGTTGAGATATCTAAGATAAAGTCTCTCTAATACGTGTTCTCAAATAGCAATCCATTATCGATTACAGTCTCCTACATCTTCAAAGTGCTCGTTGAAAAATAGACAGAACTTGGATCCAAGGCCACAATAACTTCGGATCCGAATGTGTTGATCTTTTCTTACTGAGCATTAAATTATTTGATGAAAGTTGTAAATAAAAGTGTATTAACTTATTAATTGAAAAAGCCTTTCCTTGTCGTTGAATTGGCACACTTCAAGTCTGTGTTATTTACTAAAAGTTGAGGAACACAGTCAATCAATATGATCATGTACTCCAACTCTGGGTATTCTACTGTCCTATCTTTACTGATGGCCAAAGTGATGTTATCGAAGTATATTGTAACGAACTCATCATCAGCAGTGTTGTTTATTAAGGGGAGACTAGGAGGAGTAATCAATTGGCCATTCACATATTAGAATATCAATGGAAGCATTACTATATTCTAAGGATTGAAGGGGTCTATGTTTGTGTCATTCATCTTTCGCATTCGAATTGAAAAGAGAGGTTCATCAAATTAGATTTATTAGTTTTCTATCACTTCACTTGATACTGTGATTTTGGGTAACATCCCTCCCTCCTTCCAAATAGCAAATTAGTAAATGAAATATCCTAAACTTATTCCATAAAGTAATATAGATAATATTCCACCTAAAACTGTTTTATACTCACTATCTTATGTAATACTGGGTTTGAATACAACTCCAAATTGATCAAGGTCTCTAAGGAACTTCTTTATAACCTAATTTAACTTAGACATAATAATTAATAATAATATTATAAAAATTTCTTGAAAATTCTGTTAATAATTTATCTGTCTCTTAGTAATTATATAATCATTTCAATTTCCTTCTATTAATAATAATAATAATAATAATAATAATAATAATAATAATAATAATAAATAAATTCTATATAAATAGTAATATGGATAAATAAAATACAAGAAATTTATAAATATTTATTCATGATTATGTTAGTCTCTTGTTGTTCTATCTTTATGCGCAACTCGAATTCTTTTTAGAACCAAAATAATATTGTGGAGTATTCAAATAAGCACTCTGATTTTAAGAGGAGATTGAATTGATATCCATAGTTTCATTTTTTCTCAAGATGGTTCTCAATCTTGGTTTAGTGTGCACGAATGAATAAAAGTTATATTCAGGAGTTTTCAAATATGTTGGTGAGTTCTAATAACTCGATCTCAAAGAATCTACTTTTTCAAGACCATCCAAATTCATTTCCTTCTGTCCCTCCTGTAACATAGATGGTCTGATAAATCTCCTCATCTTCAAAACCAACTATAACTTTTACTTCAATATCTTCATCCTTATCTTCTTCGGTTCGCAAACTCCCTTATAAATCAAATCTTGCAAAGCTTAATTCTTCCTTTAACGAGAATTTCCCAAATTCTGAGACAATTACATCCTCAATGGAGATGTCTGTCTCTTCACTTTGTTTCTCACAAATTCAGAAATGGCATTTTGCTAAGTCAATGGATTCGTTCTATCATAATCAGTCGGTAATTTCAAATAGACATCCTCGTACCTAACTGAATCTTCCTCCTCATTAAGATCCTTAAACAGCATTCTATGAATTCTGTAAGTTGGAACTATGATTTCTAATCCTGCCAGCACAATTGAAGCCAAATTCAAGGATTGACAAAGCTTACTTGAATTGAATACGAAATCTACCCAAAATTGCATAGTAGCAAATAGAATTGGACTCAAATCTATTAAGTATAGCATTTCTGAGTCGAGATGACTACTTTAGAAAGGAGGCTTCGAGTTTCTTCTCAATAAAAGATACTTCTCAATCCAATAATAACTCACCAATCCCACTTACCCAAATAATATAGATATTGGGATCAGAGGAGCGAAAAAAAAAGTAAGCCAAGTTGTTTTACAGAGGTACGAGTACTGATCATAAAATTCGACTTAAGGACCCTCAAATAGTTTATTTGCTTAATATTAATCCAGATCCTTGTTTTTCTCAATTCGTAATTGTCTAATTTTCTTAAGCAAATAAAGAGGGTTGAAGTACAAAGACAAAGGGATGAGAATGGCATTTGTCCCTGAAACATACAAGAAGTCATCAGCAATGCCTCCCTATTATTGAACTGCTAGATTGCTCAGTTGATTCGGTTGATATTTCAGCTATGGGTTGTATGCACCTATGATGTTAATTATCATCAAAAGCAAACAGGAATTCACAAATTGCACATAACTTAATTTCTATGCTATGGATGTGTCTTGATGAGTTTTGGTTACGTGTCTCTCCTAATTCGCCAAGAGTGTGATAAAGTAATATATGAGACCCTCTACTAGTGCGATTATTAATGATTTAGAGAATGACACCATGGTCGTGACCAAAAATTAGTTATTATCAGACTGTAAGAAACTATTCTATGTTTATTGATGACGATTACTTAAAATGCATTTAAACCATATAATATGCCAAGAGAAAACCCAAGTAAAAACAGAATCACGAACCAACTGAGTATCTTCCTCTTTAGCTGTGTATTCTAATCGACACCACAATTCTCCCAAAACACATCATCTGGCTCAGGTGCTCTATTTATATAGATTAGTTCTCCTTTGAAATAGAACCCCTTGCTATCCTTTTTCTTGATCAAAGATTTGACAGCAATCATAAAGGCTTCCCAATATGATAATTTAGTCTACTCCAATAGACTTTTTAGCTCTATTTTTATTAGATCTTTAACTTACACTTCTTCGTTTAAAATGTAATGAATGCTATGGGTGTAGTTTATCTGTAACATCCATTTTCAATTTCGTATTCAATTATCTATTAAAGTTGAGAAATCTCCTTAATTTAATTAATTAATTTTTCTCTGTTTTTTGTCTTACTCTGTTACAATTGCTTCTCCAACTTGAGCTTTTCCCTGCCCTTATCAATAAATTAAGATATATCATAAGCTATGTTAACTTTAACTACTTCGTAATTGTTATCGGGATCGAATTACTTGCAATACTCCTCCAGTGCATGTTTCAACTCCTTCTCATCATAGTTATTTTTTGGCAGGTGATTCAAAATGGCTGTAAAATCAGAAGGCGACAACAGTTCCTTATCTATTGCAAACTCAACTCGTTTCTACTTTTCCCTTATCAACACCATTGATATTTTCATTATGATAACTGAACACAGCAAAATAGAGGATTGAATTACTTTCTATTAACTTTCGGCTTGCTTATTGATGAATGACAATTGGGACATCTGAGAACGAAGACAAACCTTTGTGTAATGATGGCAAATCTATGAACAATCCGAAAAGATCTTAGTGAAATAATTGAAATCCTCGTGTTCCAATGGGCAGTTCTATTCACAACCCTGTTATTGCCACAACACATACGCGTAGTTATCCTTTGAAATGCAGTCGTTCCCCAAAACGTTGAAGACTATGTTTGGAACCATAAAACATGCCAACATCAAAGAGTATATCACAATTACCAAAATCATTTGATTAAAGAATAAGGGAACCCCTTAACCCAAGAAGGCCAAGTCTAAGATCTTAATTGATAAGGGCAGGGAAATTTTGGAAACGCTGAGTCCACAACATGGACAATACTCAGAATTCTCGAAACTATAACCGCAACTGGTGGCTAACTAAAATCTTATATGTTGTAACCTTGTGTTTCAATGCGTATTCCTTCAGGGGTGGCTTTTTGAACAAATCAAATTTTATGGTGTTGCCCAAAAATTATGGATATTCCATTTATTATTTTATATAAAAATGCTTTGGTAAGATTGCTGAATATTACAATAGACAACCAATTATTGTTTATCATAATATTCTATTATCATAATTAATTAATTATAAAAATCATTACCAAATTACGAATTTCCTGTCCAACCCTGTGGATACCATCGTCTTTATATCATTTGTTATACAAATAGATGTGTGCTAAAATACATACTAATCATTTCTTACTTTTGTATCAGATGTCTTGTATACAGAATGCAAACTCCAATCCCTAAGAATTCAAAAATTTTATGTTTCCATCATAAGAAGCACTAATAAAAATTTACTATAAATTGGCTAAATTTTAGATCACTCACCAATTTATTATGCGCAGGTATCTTTTCTATCACATTTCTTCTTCTTATATCCAAACCCTTATGAAGTTATCATCTCCACCAGTTGCTAGATGATAACCGTTCGTATTGAAATCCCTAGCTAATATTCCTTTGACATGACCAACAAATGGCAAAATGCCTTTGCCTATTCTCAAATCTATCCAAATCCTCCTAAATCCCCTGTAAACAATAAGGAACCATCTGGATGCAAGGCTCCTGAGTAGATTTCCCTGGAATGTCCAGTCTAGACCATTGATTCAGTTTAAGTTTCTATATCTCATAATCTCCATGTCTTATCAAAACCCATACTTATCAATCCTTCACCATCCTAATGAAATATTACTTTGTTTATCCTGTCTTCATGGCCTTTCAATCCAATCGACTTTTACAGCATTGCCAAATTCTCTACCTCTTACTAATCCAAATCCAATGTCCATAATCTAATTGACAGATCAGCTGATGCAGTGGCAACATTGGCAAAGGATTACGGAGATATTGTTAATAAAGATTAAGGATGAAAAGCAACAGAATGACACTTAGTTAAATGTACGAAAAACTTGACTTTAGTGAGGCAGTTTGAATGTCCCACAATTTACATTCTCCAGATCCACTGGTTTACTTTCTACATTTCCTCCAACACCCCTTAACCTTCTTATAAAGCCTCAACAGTCAATCTTCTTAATCTCTGTTTCCCAACTCTTAGTGCTGCATTGTGAAAAGATAACTTGGCAGCCCTCAATTATTCAACACACTCATATAAGAAGTATTCATTCTCTAAATTACCCATATTATGATTGTTCTATTGTTAAAAAACTAAGGCAATCTCCCGTATTACATCAAGTGTTCTGTTAACAATGAGTGTAGTCGCTATCCCCTATCAGCAGCACCTTCACCAAAATAAGTTACTAGCTACCCTAATTATCTTAACTATGACTTGATCTCATTTTCCTGAGTAGGCACCATCAATTTACGTGCTTCTGCCATTAGTTTCTATTTTCTTTCTATAGTTTTTATTATCTGTCAACATTCTCTGTTGTATAGGATATAAATGGCAATGATTCCTGCTGCTGATTTATTACTGTGGGTGCTCTCGTGCTCAATTAGGATATTTAGCTTAAATTATCAGTGACTATTTGTCCTTATTATAATTATAAATTCATAGATTAAATTAATATAAATTATTGCTACTAATAATATTAGATATAACAAATTTCTTCTTCTGACTAAACAGACCTTAATTTTAACTTGTAAACTATCTCACTTTGCTAATAAATTTGCTAATACAAAAATCAAGAATATTTTTATCTAATTATTTTAAGGAATTTGATAAATTTATATAGTTTTTACAAATGTCACCAAGTTGATTATTATGAATATTGACGAAGAAATCCTGAAGGTATACGCCTTACTTAAGAACTCTGCTGAAACATTAGAAGATGTGTTACATAAATCATTTGAAATACCAGTTGACAATTGGTCCAAGGAGAAACCTGTATTACTATTCCCTGATTCTGGAGATGGCTTATAAGACTTATTAGAGTTGATGAGCAGAATCGACAAAAACTTAGATCAAGTTCGCGTGAACATCAGATAGTTTGAATTGAATAAATTCTAAGTGATCAAGGAAGAAGAATTCGATCCCCGCTATTCCCAACCGCTGATTGATTACGAAATCGTTTAGAATGCTGAATAGACTCAAATGAATAGAATGAAATCGAATGTGAATAGATTACAACGCCAAATTTAGGCCTATTAATAAAAATATTAATAATGAATTAATTAGGCATTCTTCTTCTACTTGACTCACCTGAGAATCTCTAATTCGGAATTGATAATTCCCAATGGATAGTTGGAAAGAAGTTCAAAGGAGTACAAGGCATACCCTTTGGTACCCACTATGTTCATTATTCGCTAAAGGAAGAAGGCTATCAATTCAAGTAAGGATTCTTCTTCATAGTTTCACCAGAAAACAAATATCTGGTAAAGCAATGGAATAGTGAATTATAAGAATTCCTTACTTTCAAGGATTGTGCACCATACATACACACTTTAGAAATGCATGACTTCGATTTGTATTTGGGTATTTATCCAATGGATAAGTATGAAGTATGGAAATAATGTGTGAATCTGATCAATAGAAAAGTCTTAGACAAATTGGATCCAATCAAAAATGTATGTGTTGAAGAATACAATGACAAAGACATTGGAAGCAACAACCCTTTGCATTCTACAATCTATTATACCGATATACCTAAATTAAAGAACCCAAGCAAATCTCATGGATAATAATTGACAGCCTTAAATTTTGATAAGTCCACAATAGTAGAAGAATTATTGAAATCAGAATATCAAAATGAATATTCTCTGCTTTTGGGAGAAATCTAATATGCATTCGTTAAGTTTTTATTGGGAGAACATTTTGAGTCATTCGAACAATGGAAATAACTATTAATTCTAATTACATCCTGTGAAAGATTGATAGAAGAATAAACTAGTTTTTTTATTGACTTCATCCCTGTATTTTACCATTAGCTACAACAAATGCCAAACGATTTCTTTGTTGATCCCATTAGTTCAAGCAATTTCATCTAATCATGCATTAAAAACTTGATCGAATTATCATAGAATGACAATCCAAATTTGATTAGATAGAAGGTAATCTTCCAAAACTAATATTAGTTAATCCAAAGATGTAATAAATTGAAAGAGTTAATCAAAGTCAAATTTGTACAAGATGTCGTTTAGGCGGAGGATGAAGATGAGCCAGTTGTAGTTGAAGACTTCAATTTTATTTAACTATGATATATGTAATTAAAAATATAATCAAGATTATTGTTAAATTTCTTACTGCATGTCATGTCCCTCACTTTACATAGTCTTGCTCTTTTATAATCGTGCTGGCTAGATGATAGAGAGTCTCCTCTTTTCTTCCTACACAATCGACTTTACCCTTGAACCTCTTCTCTTTTCATCTATCTTTAAGAATCTGTCCACTCTTTTGAATTATACCCAAGCTTTGCCATCCATCAATTCGTCTAACTTCCTTTAATAATCTAATTTTTACTTCTATATTTATTTCTTCCTCTGAGTACCCATTTTCTTTTACAATCTCCCAAAATGCCATCCACTCGTCCTCTGTAATGTCTCCACTCTTGTCAAAATCAACTGCTTTCAAATAGTGCTTCTGTGTTTAACTTTGCAAAATTGGACTTCCTTAATAAGTTATTTAAATGGTTACCAAAACTATTCAGTTCCTTCCTTGTCGATAGTTCCGGTCCCTTTGATATCAAGCTTTTTAAAAATCTCACTTGCTTTCTCCCTAAGTCTTTAACTTAGAGGCTCGTGAATTTTTGCAGTAGTGCAACCCATATTTTATTAATTTATTTGAATAAAATGGAAAAACATCAATTTCTATACAGAAAAAAGTTTGGATAACTTATTTGAACACGAGTGAATTCAATCTTAAAATTTATAGAGGAAGTAGTTACATTTTAGATGACATGACATCAACAAAAATACTTGACAGATATACTAAATGTATATGATGAAGAAAGCCAGCATTATGAAAAAGGATCGATAAATTCAGATATCTTTTAAAACGAGGTTAAATTATTGTTAATGGAATATTCAGAATTAAATAAATATATTTTAGTATTTTAATAATTTTATTCTTATCAAATAAAGATAAAGGAACAAAGATGATTGATAACTAATAAAAAAATAATTAGAAATCTGATAGGAATTCAATAAATTGCTTGATTGCATGACTAAATTTTATCACATTCTTTGGAATATGGTAAAAAGAGGTTATTTACAAAAAGGGACAATTATTTTGGTGATGGTCGTGGTTAAAAATACATTTAGATGGAAGGAATATTAAACCTGAAGAATTATCAATAATAGTATCTCTCAGGCATTTTCTTTGTATTTATAATTTATTAAACTATTTTATGTTAGATTGTTAATCTATCCTAAATGAAGCAGAAAATTATTTTGAAGATAAATCTTGATTGCCATTATTCTATAGTAAAATTAATTGTTATATCTAGTAACCTTAAATTAAATGAACATTATACTAAGAATAAATTCTTATAGTAATTGGATTTAATGTTAATAGAACAATATTTGAGAGCATATCTAAGAAGAATTAAGTTCACTTTTTTTTTATTTCATGGTTCACATTGTTCCCAGTAACATTACATTTTGGATATTTTGACTAATATATGTAAAAATAGTAATTTTAATTTAAATTTGCAGTAAGGAAAGGATTTTAAAATATAAATTTATACATTTTGGATAGGTAAACATAAACAGGATTTGTATTAATGAACAACCTATTAATTCTATATTTTTTTGGAACAATTTTAATAAAGTTTTATATATAAATCTTATATCATTTTCCTCGTTTCTACATTAATTATTCCATTTCAAGAAACAATCTTTCCAATTCTATCAACTTAATTAAAAGAAATAGTTTGGGATCAATAAGAGCAATTTTCCTATCCTTATTTTATTCCCCTTCTTTTTGATAGTTAAAATATTTATTCATGTAACAATTAACTTAACCTTATTTTGAGCAATACTTCTCAAGTTATAATTTTCTTGGATATTATTGATTATTTTGCTAAAACTAGAAGTCCCCATTAAATGTTTCTGCTTCCAAAACTTTGCTGAACATATTTTTTATAATTTTATATGATTCCTTTGAGTGATTTAATGAATACTAAATAATTCCCTCAATTGAACGATTGATATATTTCTTTATATCTGCCCCTAAAGAGATAATTTTAATTTGCTTTTATTAGGCCATATTTATCAATTATTAAAGTTCCTTGAATTAATAGTCATAAAAAGAGTGATTGATAAATATCAAATATTTTTTGTAATGGCAAAATCTTTCAAACTAATCAAATATTTATTATAATTATGGATCAGAATAATCTTTTGAAGCTTCATCTTGGTAATCAATTAATTTTTCAATTAATAGAGTATATTCCTAATCGGTCCATAAAGTAGCGTAATTTGACTTTATAATTATTAACGGATTATTCAAAATCATCAAATTACAAATTATCTAATATTATCTACATAGTTCAATTAATTAAGATAAAAACGGTAATACAATTTCTAACAATGTTTCCTTCTAAATTGAACTTAAATCTAAAATTACATAAAAAACATAAAGTGACTTTCCCCCTCTATTTTTTCTCCTCATAATGTCTCTAGCAGTTCCGTTAGTACAAAAAAATTTGATGATGCCTTTTATATCTATAGTGGTTCCTTTTGATGATAAAGAATATTTTGTAAATGTATTTATCTCTAACAGTCCTTTTAAGCTATTTGCTTCTTTTGAGTCTATCTAGAAACCATATTCATTCATTTTTTATTTTAATTCTTCCTTTTCTTGATTGCCTTATAACCTTTATGTTTTCATTAATGGCTATTTTTTATCTATTTAATTTAAAAATTCTAATAAATTATTTGAACTACTGATAATTTATCCATTTTTAATATTAATAGTATTAAATTGATTGTAATTTTAAATTTGAATTATCGTATTGATTCCTTCATTTTATAATTCTGTTTTACAAGTAGCTGACATTTCTAATAATTATTCAGTAAATAATAAAATAAAATCATTATTATTCATGCTATTCTCGTTTACAATACTAAATTCCTTATTACTTTTCCCAATCAAAGTATGTAAAATTTCATCAAGAAGAGAAATTGTTAAAGCCTCTTCTTTTCGCTTCAAAAATACTGGTTAATGTTATCCAGATAAGATAACATCATAATTCTAATTTAGAAAAGATAATTGCAATAATAGTTATCCAAAATTTTCAAGGAACTATTGTTTTGCATTCTAATTTATTACTATTATTCTAAATTACAATTTATTGATCGATTTAAAGGGTTTTTTATATTCCTTCCATTGTTGATAAAGTTGTTTTTCAGCAATAGATATTAATTAATTATACTATGTTGATGTTAGTTTTGTATTCGATTCTTTTGTACTATTGTATGATCGATTTAAATGAGTAAAGCGACTAGTATTAATAAGGTGCGATATTGGCGTTAAAAAAGATAGGTTAAAAAAGAAATTATCATCAAATAGTAAATCGTCTTAATTATTAAGTTCTTATTGATTGTATGCTGAATTTGAAGTAGGAATAAAAATTGGAAATAATAACCGTGATTTTTAACTAGTATTTGTATTTGGTTGTTATGACATATTATTTTCATTTAAGTGTAAAACTTAAATTTAAGGACGATTAATAATGGGAATTTATTAAGATTATTAAAAAGATAAATTTGATTAGTTGCAATTGTCATAAGGTTAAATTTATTGACTTTTAAAAGAGGCTGATTGATTTAATGGTTAGTTTTAATTTTAACTATTTTATTAGTATGAATTTTTTTAATGAAAGCAATTATAGATATAAATGGAAGATTGCTATTATTGTTAAAAACATTAAGTATGAGTTGATGCTTAAGATTATTAACTTGGTTTTTATTCATTATTAGTGTTAGTTGATACTGATGTAAATTAAACATTTGTAATATTTATTGATTAATTTAGTGGTTGTTCATTATTAGTGTTAGTTGATATTTATGTAAATTATAAATTCTTATTATTTATTGGTTAGTTTAGTGGTTATTCATTATTAGTATTAGTTGATATTTATGTAAATTATAAATTCTTATTATTTATTGGTTAGTTTAGTGGTTATTCATTATTGGTGTTAGTTGATATTTATGTAAATTAAACATTTTAATTATTCATTTATTAGTTTAATGGTTGTTCATTATTAGTGTTAGTTGATATTTATGTAAATTAAACATTTTTATTATTTATTGGTTAGTTTAGTGGTTATTCATTATTAGTGCGAGTGGATGCTTATTAGAATAACAAATTATTAAATTTAGGGAGTTATCCAAATAATAAACCAGTATTAGTATTAGTTATTGGTTATGTGAATTAAACATTTTTATTATTCATTTATTAGTTTAATGGTTATTCATTATTAGTGTTAGTTGATATTTATGTAAATTAAACATTTTAATTATTCATTTATTAGTTTAATGGTTATTCATTATTATTGTTAGTTGATATTTATGTAAATTATAAATTCTTATTATTTATTGGTTAGTTTAGTGGTTATTCATTATTAGTGTTAGTTGATATTTATGTAAATTAAACATTTTAATTATTCATTTATTAGTTTAATGGTTGTTCATTATTGGTGTTAGTTGATATTTATGTAAATTATACATTTTAATTATTCATTTATTAGTTTAATGGTTGTTCATTATTGGTGTTAGTTGATATTTATGTAAATTAAACATTTTTATTATTCATTTATTAGTTTAATGGTTGTTCATTATTAGTGTTAGTTGATATTTATGTAAATTAAACATTTTAATTATTCATTTATTAGTTTAATGGTTATTCATTATTAGTGTTAGTTGATATTTATGTAAATTAAACATTTTTATTATTTATTGGTTAGTTTAGTGGTTATTCATTATTAGTGCGAGTGGATGCTTATTAGAATAACAAGTTATTAAATTTAGGGAGTTATCCAAATAATAAACCAGTATTAGTATTAGTTATTGCTTATGTAAATTAAACATTTTTATTATTCATTTATTAGTTTAATGGTTGTTCATTATTAGTGTTTAGTTGATATTTATGTAAATTAAACATTTTAATTATTCATTTATTAGTTTAATGGTTATTCATTATTAGTGTTAGTTGATATTTATGTAAATTAAACATTTTAATTATTCATTTATTAGTTTAATGGTTATTCATTATTAGTGTTAGTTGATATTTATGTAAATTAAACATTTTAATTATTCATTTATTAGTTTAATGGTTGTTCATTATTGGTGTTAGTTGATATTTATGTAAATTAAACATTTTTATTATTTATTGGTTAGTTTAGTGGTTATTCATTATTAGTGCGAGTGGATGCTTATTAGAATAACAAGTTATTAAATTTAGGGAGTTATCCAAATAATAAACCAGTATTAGTATTAGTTATTGCTTATGTAAATTAAACATTTTTATATATTCATTTATTAGTTTAATGGTTATTCATTATTAGTGTTAGTTGATATTTATGTAAATTAAACATTTTAATTATTCATTTATTAGTTTAATGGTTGTTCATTATTATTATTAGTTGATATTTATGTAAATTATAAATTCTTATTATTTATTGGTTAGTTTAGTGGTTATTCATTATTAGTGCTAGTGGATGCTTATTAGAATAACAAATTATTAAATTTAGGGAGTTATCCAAATAATAAACCAGTATTTGTATTAGTTATTGCTTATGTAAATTAAACATTTTTATTATTCA